TACACAAACTTAAATCCTAGTTACCCCTTCAGATTCAAACCAGAAATCATGTATATACATGAAGCTAGATGAAGCCTATTTTGTTAGTACTCTATACAACCATTAATATCATGACAGAAAGTATATATATATATATTTATATATATCTTACAAATTTTGAGGTAATATTTATACCTTAATAAAAGATTTAAAGAGTCAAAATAAAACCGAAGGATTATGAGATTAGTGTCAACAGAATAGTCCCTTAATTTTGGTTTTTCTTTTGTCTCATACCAGGTGGCTTTTCTGATGTGAGACAGACATTTCATACTTTCCTTTAACAAGCATGCTTGGGTTTAGAGAAGGAGAGTGCCACACTCCATCTCCAAAGCCAGTTTTACTTTTTAATTGAATTGGGACCACAAAAAGACCACTTGACTTTTATGCTTAATGAACATTGGGGTTTTGCCTGCATGTATCTCTGTCAGATACCTTGGGACTGGAGTCACAAACAGTTATGAACTGCCATATGAGTGGTGGGAATTGAACCTAGGTCTGTTGGAAGAGCAATCAGTGCTCTTAACCCCTAAGCCATCTCTCCAGTCCCTCCACTTGACTTTTATTTTTTTATCCTTTTTATTTTTTATTTTTTGTTTTTTCTAGACAGGGTTTCTCTGTGGCTTTGGAGGCTGTCCTGGAACTCACTCTGTAGACCAGGCTGGCCTCGAACTCACAGAGATCCGCCTGCCCCTGCCTCCCAAGTGCTGGGATTAAAGGCATGTGCCACCAACGCCCGGCTCCACTTAACTTTTATATCTGTAGGAAGCAGCAGAAACAAACATGTGGAAATATTTATGAGATTTTTATCCTGCTGGAAGTGTGCTATACCATTACGTCAATTTACTCTTTTCCTTGGGACATTTTTCTCTGCATGATTCGTTCTTCAGATGTCTCATTTGTCCGGTGGTCTTCAGACTCCTTGGTTGGATGCTTTTATTCTCCTGGGAAGACAAAAACAAAACCCTGCCCCAACCTTAACTGTGGGGAGTTTCCCTTCTTGGCAGGTTGAGTGGCCGTGTTGTCTGATGAACTGCTATTGCCTGTTTGATTCTGTTTGAATTTAGTCTGTATCAAACCTGATGGTATCCATAGCTTTTCTTTTCCTGTGGAAACAAAAGCAAAACCTCTTCCTTAGTGTAATACATATTCTGGTTTCCATTCTGAGATCAACACATTCTTTTTTTTTTTTGATTGAACAGTCTTTATGTATTATGTGTACAAAAACAGAAACAAACAAACAAACAAACAAACAAAAAAAGAAGAGCCCAGGGCCCAGCATCCTGGAGTGCTGGTGGTTCTGCCCTTGCAGTCTGAAGGTGGACTGTGTGTTTCCGGAAGGAAAATCAGGAAAGAGAGCCGGATCACTCTCTGACCCTTGTGGAGTCACTGAAGGAGGACACCGGTGTCTGGCTCTGTTTTGGCCTTTCATATTTCTTCCTCCTAAGCCACTCTCTCTCCTGCAGTTATGTGGGAGTGCAGAAGGAAACAAGACTGGTAAACAGCTGGGCGTTGGTGGCACACGCCTTTAATCCCAGCACTCGGGAGGCAGAGGCAGGCGGATCTCTATGAGTTCGAGGCCATCCTGGTCTACAAAGCGAGTTCCAGGACATACTCCAAAGCTACACAGAGAAACCTTGTCTTGAAAAACCAAAAAAAAAAAAAAAAAAAAAAGACTGGTAGACTGGTAAACACCTTTGTGATAGGGGTTGAAATGTACTCCCCCATGCAAGAGTTAACCTTGAATGACACATTGCCCCAACCCACAAAGAAAGTCACCTGTGACGTGAGGACCCCGGAGCCGGAGTCATCTCATGGGAACTGGACTGCTTCTCTCAAGCCATGACAGCAGTGTCTTTCCCAGAGTCCCTCATGGTTGATCAGTGATGCAGATCAGTCAGCCACCCACCTGGCTGAGATGACCTGCTCCGTCTGTTTGGAGTCCCCCAGTCTTCTGGTGTCCCTCCTTTTCACGTCAGCCACTTAGAGATAGACTTGGATTCCCTGGCTCCTTTATCTGTCTTCCCAGTGCAGCCGTGGTGATTTAATGGAGTTTCTTTATTGTTTGTCTCTTTTGCTAGCGTGTTGGGCAGGTGAGTGTCTCCGCTGTTGGAACTTCTGGAGCTGGAGGCTCCGTCCTAAATAGATCACATGTTGAACCTCCCTAAGCTAGGGGTTGAATTCCCTGTCTCTCTCAGACAAGCTAGCCTTAAATTTGTAGTAATCCTCCTGCCTCAGTCTCTGAGTACTTCAGTTACAGGTGTAAACGGGCTCTTTACAGCCTGGAATTCCCTTGGTTCTCTAGTACCCAAAGGGTGGTGTATTATAGTGATTGGGTTTGGAAGACTGCTTTTTACTATACCTTTACAAGAACAGGATAGAGAAGAATTTGCATTCATGGTACCTGTTGAAAGGAATCAGTGGGAAATTCTCTCACAAAGGTTATTAAACAGCTTTTGTCTGTGGGTTTTACTAGAAAATTTAAGGGACTGTTTAATTTTTACCCCCATGGCTGTCAACATGGTGCAGAGGGGAAAGATACCTGTTATAGAACCTAGCAAACAGCCGGGCATTGGTGGCGCACGGCTTTAATCCCAGCACTAGGAAGGCAGAGGCAGGTGGATCTCTGTGAGTTCGAGGCCAGCCTGGTCTACAGAGTGAGTTCCAGGACAGTCTCCAAAGCAATACAGAGAAACCCTGTCTTGAAAAACCAAAAAAAAAAAAAAAAAAAAAAAAAAGAACCTAGCAAACTGTATTTATCCCCAGCACCCACACAGTGGGATGTGAGAGCCCCATATTTTGTTCTCTTATTCACTTACCTTCATAGGAGTGTGGTATGCTTCCCCTACCAAACCTGACAGCAAGACTTCTTGGGAAGCAGAGGACTGACTTCTGCAAGTTGTCTTCTGACCCCCTCCATGAATGTACACACACACACACACACATGCATGCACGCACGCACACGCACGCACACCCCTTACAATGTGATGCCGTGGTCTAAATGTGTTGGACTGACTTTATAACTATTCTGAAATATGTGCAGTCTTGGAGCCACAGACTGAACATGCCCCACGGCCCTTCCGAGGAGCTGAGAGGCAGGCATCTGAGCAGGGGATGCTGACTAACTGCGGGGCTATGGTGGAAAAGGGAGATCTCTTTCTGCAAGTATTGAAATAACTGTGACTATCACTGCTGCTCCTGGAATGTCTCAGCATGGACGACAGGATGAAGCAACAATAGGTAACACCAACAGGCGTGGAAGAAGCAAAGCCACTCATTTTTGTTTGTTTGTTTGTGTTTTGGTTTTTCAAGGCAGTGTTTCTTTGTGGCTTTGGAGGCTGTCCTGGAACTAGCTCTTGTAGACCAGGCTGGTCTTGAACTCACACAGATCCGCCTGCCTCTGCCTCCCGTGTGCTGGGATTAAAGGCGTGTGCCACCAACGCCCGGCCTCAAAGCCATTTCTTATGCGACTTAACTGGGAGAGGTTGCCAAAGCAGAAAGGTTTGCAAAGCCCAGCCTCGGCACTGGCAAAGGCAAGAACAAGGGGCCCCTGGGTATGTTGGTTCATGCCTGAAATCTCAGAATTTGGGAGAACCAGGCAGGAAGATTGTTGAGTCAAAGGCCAGCCTGGGCTACAGAACGATATAGAGTGAGGTTCTGTCTCAAGCACACCAAACCCACCCCCCACCCCCCAAAAAGGGTAAGGTAATGAAGCCAAACAGAAAAGAAAACAGCAGGCGACTTTGAAGCCTGATTGGCATCAGACACTGACTTTAAACCTGACCAATCAGCCCGGTGTGTTTCCTTCAAGTCAAGACGGGCTTTTGGGGGGAACCCAGGCAACAGAAGTGGATTGTGCAGCGGTCGCAATTCAGGCTCCCAGGGGTTAATTCCCCACGAACGCCAGGCAGTCGTTCCCCGTTGAGGCGCCCGTGTGCCAGGGGTGCCAAGTTGACCACCGAGATTAGCATTTACGTTTATGGACCGCTTGCGTGCCCTGTGCCAGCCAAGGCCAGAGGAGGGCACTGACCCTCCCCCCGCCAAACCGGAGTTACAGACAGTCGCGAGCTGCCACACTGGGTCCTGGGAGGAAAACCCTCACTTTGGCTACGTGAGGTGGGGACTTAGGAGGCAGAGGGCGCCGGACTGAACGTGGGGGCTCAACCTGGGAGCGTGTGCTTCTGGCTGCAGAAGGCTGGCGAGTCACGTGAGCGACACGAACTTCCAAGGGGGGCGATTTGTTTAGAACGAAGAGATTTGGCACTGGAGTTGCTTTTTTAAATTTATTTTCACTCTAATCTTTTTCTTTTTAAACATTTATTTATGTATTTGTCATGTATACAGTGTTCTGTCTGCATGTGTGCCTGCAGGCCAGAAGAGGGCATTATTACAGACGCTTGTGAGCCACCATGTGGTTGCTGAGAATTGAACTCAGGACCTCTGGAAGAACAGCCAGCGCTCTTAGCCTCTGAGCCATCTCTCCAGCCCCTTAATTTTTTTTTTCCTAGGGTTTGACTATGTTCCCTGTTGGGCCTGGAACTCTGCATTGTAGATAACTGTAGCCCAAGGTGGCTTCAAACCAGCGGCGCCTCTGCACAGGGGCATCCTCCTGCTTCTGCCTCCCCGAGTGGTGGGGGATGACGGGCGTGTGAGCCACCGGGTCTGGCGGGCATCGGGAACTCTGGATTTTCCTCCGTGGTCACTGTGTCCGATTCTCATATCGGCCAGCTGGTTAATTTCCCGCTGTGGGGCACGTTTCTCCTGGTTTGTTTTTCTTTTTTTTTCTACCCCCCCCCCAAGACCTTTAAGAGAAGCGCTCACCCCTTCTCGGTCTCTTTGGGTCCGCCCGGCCTCCCTCCGGCCGTCGGCAGTGGGACGGTCCATCTGGACTCCTCCCCTTTCCCCCTCCCCCGGACGCCGGCTCTGCGCCGGGGAAAAACCAATAGCTGGCCGAGCGTTCCTTAGGCGTCTTGGGACGCGGCGACTCGGAGGCAGGGCCGCTCGATTCACGCTGCCTGGCTCCGTGCGTGCCCCGTGCGCAGCAGGCTCTTCGCGCCTGCGTGGTGCGCCCTCCTCCCTTTCTGCCTCCTCTGCCGCCATGGCGCCCGTGGTTAGTACGGCTCCGCGTGCGGCCGCGGCTCTCGGAGCGGCACGTGGGCCCCCGGCTGGGCCGTCTCGGGGCTCAGGGCCGCGTGGGCGCGGGGCGGGGGCTGCACCCTGCAGCGTCAGGGCCGGGGATGGCCTGACCTGGCCGGGTGGGGCGGGGGAGGCCGGGGCGGCAGCCCGGGGCCCAGCACGTTGTGGGCGGAGGAGGCCGCGGCTCGAGGCGGACGGGAGGAGCCGGCGGGGCTCGGGGTGGCGGATCGGGCGCCTGCACGGGATCCCCCCTTCCCTGGGAGGGAGCGCTTAGGGGCTGCGGGCTGGATATGGTCTTGATCTCTCGAGCCCGGCCTCGGGCTCGCTCCGGGCCCGGCCACTTGGGCGAGGAGCGGGGAAGACGGATGTGAGCGGCCACCCCGGGGCAGCCGAGTGGGCATGGCTCTTCCCGGTGTGGCCGGGTTTCGGAGGCGCGGTCGGGGCGGGGGAGGCGTCTTCCAGCGCCCCTGGAGCAAGCAAAGCGGCTCTCGCCCGGGTGCGGCTGTAGGCGGCTGCTCTGTGTTGTCGGGGCGAAGATGGCATCCTCCGGGCTGAGCTTAGAGCCTTCGAGTCGGGCGCTACCTGGAGGTCGCGCCGCTTGGACACGATGGTTTTGAAGGGGCGACTCTGCCTTGCAGTTGGGGGTTCCTGGGGTGCGTTTCCGGTTGTCTTCCGTCTTTCCTACCTGGGCTTCAGTGCGTTAGTGTGCTTTTTTGGGGGGCGGGTGTTCAAATCTTCTTGGGGGTCCATTGTGGGGCAGGCCGTCCTGGTGATCTCTTTTCCCCAGCGGGTAGATTTGTTGAAAGCAGTCTTTTTTTTTTTTTTGAGACACCTGGGACAGTTTTGTACTAACTGAAGAAAGTGCAAGCTTGGTGATGGCCTCCTGAGCGCCGAGGGAGGGAGGGAGGCTCGTAGTTGGCGTGTTGGGAACTGCCAGACCTTTAAGGGCAAAGATTTGAGTGGCCTTAGAAGGTCCGGGGATCCGTAGAGGCATGGACGGATGTCGCTTTTTGTAAAAGTGAACCGATCCGCCCCCTAAGTAGTTTGGAAGTTCTTACCACACCTTTGACCTTTAGGAAGCCGGGTGGAAAGGAGTATTTACTGGGGGAACCCTCCGCTGTAGCTGGTGTGCTAACAGACCTCCGTGCTTGTCAACACTGGGGTGTCTGGAGAGGTTGAGTGGGACGGGACCATTAACAGGTCCTCCTTCCGTTAGCGTGTAGAACACGTTCCTTGGCACTTTTGAGGGGGGACCCTTCATCTCCCTGGGTTTGTGTTTGTAAGGACTTTTATGCCTCCGGCATGCTTTGTTTTTTTAATTTGGGGGACGCTACCTGAGCCTTCACCTCCGTTTTCTGTAAACCCTTAGAAAAAGCTCGTGGCGAAGGGAGGCAAAAAAAAGAAGCAGGTTTTGAAGTTCACTCTTGACTGCACCCACCCAGTAGAAGATGGGATCATGGACGCTGCCAATTTCGTAAGTGACATTCTGTTGCTGCTCTGGGCTGGGAAGCAGTGAGCTTTGGGGGATACTTTGGGGAAACCTTTTGGAGTAGGTCTCTGTTGGCCTTGGAGGCAGTCCCAGACTCTACCAGAGGGGCAAATTAGGTATTTATTGCCGAGTCTCTGGAGTTCAGCAGGCTAAATGAGAAATACGTGTTTGTTGAGTTTCTGTCTGTGTGGGCAGCCTCGTCCTGAGCCTCTCTGGACCCTTAGCCAGATGTTGGCGGTGTTGCGAGGCCTGCATGTGTTTGCTTTATCTGCTTGCTGAGCTGTCCTCGGGCTTGGCTTTTACAGACTTGGTGCTGTCCTGAGTTCCCCTCATTTAAATTTTGTGCATGCTTGTTTGCTGCAGGTGTGTCTGCACCATGTGTGCAGTGCCCATGGAGGCCAGAGCAGGACCAGGGCATGTCTCTGGAACCAGAGTTACAGGTGCCGAGAACTGGTTACCTCCAGCCCTGTGGTTTTTTTTTTGCCCCTGTGTTTGCCCCAGATTCCCAGTACCCCTGTGTTCCCTTCATCTAGGATTACTGTCTCTCTGCAGCCCCATTTTGGCTCTTGGGACTGAGGCTTTGGTGTGCACACATCCCCTAAGTTTACATTTGTTCTTCACATTCTAGAAGGTCAACTGTGGTCAAGAATAATCATTTCTAAAAAGCTGAAAGTTAAAACTTACAGGCATAATTGATAACCATTAATAGTACACATGGAATCACCTTTGTGGCTACTAACCTTAGATGTGCCTCGATTAGCTCCTAAATCCTTTATCCAGTGACTTTTCCATGGCTTTGGTCCTTTGCATGTTGGTGGGCTCTTTTTTCTTTCTTTCTTTTTTAGACAGGGTTTCTCTGTATTGTATTGGAGACTGTCCTGGAACCCACAGAGATCCTCCTGCCTCTGCCTCCCTAGTGCTGGAATTAAAGATGTGTGTCATCAATGCCCAGCCTCTTTTTTTTTTTTTGAGGTGGGGTTTCTTTGTAATAGTCCTAGTTGTCCTGGAACTCACTGTGTAGACCAGGCTGGCCTCCAGAAACTGAGATTAAAAACATGCAATACCACGCCTGGCTTGGTGGCGTCTTTTTCTTAATTAAAAACTGTATTATTATTATTATTGCTGTCCATGGCGCACACGCCTTTACCCCAACTTTTGGTGGGCAGAGGCAGGTGGATCTCTGAGTTTGAGGCCAGCCTGGTCTATGTACTGAGTTCTAAGATAACCAAGCTACTTAGAGAGACCCTCTCTTTAAAAAAGTGTTTTTTTTTTTTTTTTTTTTTTTTTTGGTTTTTCGAGACAGGGTTTGTTTCTCTGGCTTTGGAGGCTGTCCTGGAACTCACTCGGTAGACCAGGCTGGTCTCGAACTCACAGTGATCCGCCTGCCTCTGCCTCCTGAGTGCTGGGATTAAAGGCGTGCGCCACCACCGCCCGGCCAAGCTTTTTTTAATGTGTGTGTTTTGCCTACATATGTCTGTGTGCACATGCATGCCTTGTTTGTTACCTTGGAATTCAGAGGAGCGCGTCCAATTCCCTGGAGTTGGAGTTAGCGATGGTTGTATGTATGCTGAATGTCCCACCAAGTCTCTCTAGGCCTTGGTGGCTATTTTCTGATAGTCATTTATGTCTTGACCCTGCCTGGTGTCACCATATAAATGATCAGCAGCAGTGCCATCAGCAAACCCTTCCCTTCGCACTCAGCTCTGCTAATGACTTGCCTTCTAGAAGACTCTTGCTGGTAAAGCAAAGCTATGTTTTCTGATCATTGCCTTACTGTAGTTAACATGTAGTTAAGTTTGGTATTGGAGTTTTTTTTTTTTTTTTCTCGAGACAGGGTTTCTCTGTATTTTTTTGGAGACTGTCCTGGAACTCCCTCTGTAGACCAGGCTGGCCTCGAACTCACAGAGATCCGCCTGCCTCTACCTCCTGAGTGCTGGGATTAAAGGCTTGGGCCACCAACGCCCAGCTTTGTATTGGAGTCTTAAAAAGAGCTGTGGATAATTTCCTTTTTTGATTGTCCCGGGATTTAACTCACACATGCTAAGTGAGCATTCTTAGCTATAGTTGAGCCACATCTTCAGTCCCTCACTGTAGCTCTGAGCCGAAAGGGACTCCATCTCATTGCAGTGGCAACAGAAGAAAACAAAAAGTCCCTTTTGGACGAGGCCCCTGAAGGCTGAGGGGAATGGCTTGCCCCGGCTCACATGGTGCTTTGCAGAGTGTGTCTGGGCTCCTGGGTCCCTGTCGCTTCTGCTGTATGTACCATGCAGGTGACTCCAGGCAGGTCTGTAATTGTTATGTGTTTGTCTTTGCTCTTCCTACTAGGTAAGGGCTCTCTCTAGTGCTGAGAGCTGTACCTCATGCCCCATGGGCTTGGGTTGCTTGCGGCTTGGCGTGTTCGGATGAAAGTTTGCCTCCTGGTCTCCTGCTTAGCCTTGACCCTTTTGGTTTGGTTGCTTTTTGGGTTGAGATGGGTAGGATCTCACTGCGTTGCCCTGACTTGCTCTTGACCCTTTGACCCCGAGTGTGCTGCCCTCTAAGCTTTGCGTGTTGGGCACGTTTCGTCATGCGTGGAGACAGTCAAGAGTGCTCGCATCGGATTGTTGAATAGTGCCGTCTTATCGCACTTGCCTAAAAGCTTCAGGACTCAGTCTGTCCTTCAAACTCTATTGGGGAACTCCACAAAGTTGTCCTCTGGTAGTCAGACAGGCGCCATACACACAGCATGTGTATACACACCATTTAAGACTGAAGGTTTAAAGATACTGTATGTTGTTGGGAGGAAGTGGGAGCTAGCCTGCCCCTGGGACCGGTGGGCCCACTGCGCTCTGTTGATGCCTGCACTGCGCTCTCTGTTGATGTCCCCAGGAGCAGTTCCTTCAGGAGAGAATCAAGGTGAATGGGAAGGCTGGCAATCTTGGCGGAGGGGTTGTGACCATCGAACGAAGCAAGAGCAAGATCACTGTCACTTCTGAGGTGCCTTTCTCCAAAAGGTATGACGGGGTTTTTGCTGTGCAGCTCTGTAAAGGGCAGTGAATGAGCATGTGTGAACATTGCCACTGACACACACACAAATTTGTGTTTAGTTTTTGGCTTTTTGAGCTAGGGTTTCTGGCTCAAACCCTGGCTGGCCTTGAACTTGCAGAGATCTGCCTGTGTCTATCTCTTGATGCTGGAGAAATTTTTTTTCTTTTTTTTGGATTTTCGAGACAGGGTTTCTCTGTAGCTTTGGAGGCTGTCCTGGAACTCACTTTGTAGACCAGGCTGGCCTTGAACTCATAGAGATCTGCCTGCCTCTGCCTCCTGAGTGCTGGGATTAAAGGCGTGCGCCATCAATGCCCGGTGAAATTTTTTTTCTTAAGATTTATGTTTACCTGGGTGTTGGTGGCGCATGCCTTTAATTCCAGCACTCGGGAGGCAGAGGCAGGCAGATCTCTGTGAGTTCAAGGCCAGCCTGGTCTACAAAGCGAGTTCCAGGAAGCCTCAAACAATAGAGAAACCCTGTCTCAAAAAACAAACAAAAAATTTTATGTTTAGTTATGTGTTTGTAGGGCACCTGCAGATCTGGAGCTAGTGTTACAGGTGGTGGTGAGTTGCCTGGTGTGGATGCCAGGATCTGAACTCTGAAATAGTGCTCTTAACTGCTGAGCCTTCTCCAGTCCTATTAATACCTAGGTGACTCAGACTTCATCTATGTTTTGTTAGTTTTTTGTTTGTTTGAGGCAGGTCTCTGTAATGTAGCCCTGGCTGTCCTGGAACTCAGATCCGCCTGCCTCTGCCTTCCTGGTGTTGGGATTAAAGGTGTGCACCACGCCTAGCCATGCTTAAATTGTTTGCTTCCACTGCTGTTAGGTCATGGTGGTGAGAGCCCCCCCCCCTGCAGTTTCATGTAGCTCAGGCTGGACTTAAACTCACTCTGTAGCCTTGATGCCTGATCTTGTCTCCATCTTCTGAGAGCTGGGGTTACAGGTGCATGCCACCTCATTCATTTTCTAGTTTTCTTATAGGTGCTCTCATGGTATTGGGTGAGAGATCTGGTGCCAAATGGAGTCTTTCCTTGCAGGGGTGTGACACTGACCCTTAGCCCCTGATACTGAGGATGGTGGCATTACAGAGTTGGGCATAATTGGGCCTGCCTCCCTGCTGGGGTCTGTAGAAAGTGTCCCATATCCCCCTCCCTCACAGGGTTTCTCTGTGGCTTTGGAGCCTATCCTGGAACTCGTTCTGTAGACCAGGCTGGCCTCCAACTCAGAGATCACCTGCCTCTGCTTCCTGGGGTGCCACCACCGCCTTGGAGAAGCTTTTCAAATAGAGGGAGATTTTAGAGCCCACTGGTTAAGCCCACTTGTCCGCAAATAGGTGGTGATTGCCTGGCTGTGGTGAGACCAGTCGTGCACACCAGACAGCCTGTGGGGAAAGAGGCTGCCCCCTTCTTGTGGCATTTTTACTCACGTGGCAGGACAGCCCCACACCCCGTGAGCTGTGATCTGATTGGCGCTCCCTTGTTCTTGGGGACTTTAAGGGTGTTCCTCTGTAGCTCAGGCCTGCTGCTCCTGCTTTAGTCTCCTCTGTACTGGCGTAAGACTCCCTCAGCCAGGTGGCTTCCTTTTATTTTTGGGAGACTGAGAGCTGAGCCCTAGGGCTTGTACACAATAGGCATCCAGTTATGTCCTCAGGTGTCACTGTCTCATGGTCCCTTTTTTTTCGAGACAGGGTTTCTCTGTATTGTTTTGGAGGCTGTCCTGGAACTCGCTCTGTAGACCAGGCTGTCCTTGAACTTACAGAGATCCGCCTGCCTCTGCCTCCCGAGTGCTGGGATTAAAGGCGTGCGCCACTCCGGCAAAGAGCAGGCATCTTAAGGCCCATTTTGTGTGGTAAAGTTAATTTGCAGACAGGGTTTGTGTGAGGCCTGGCCTTGCTTCATGACTAGGAATAGCTAGCCGTCAGGATTCACCTCCTCACATCTTCAATAGTCAGATACAGGCAGTCAGCCTTGTGGAAAGTGCAGGCTTTGTGATGATAATTCAGGCTAAGGCAGCAGATACAGAAAAATTACAGTATGGTCGAGCGGTAGCTCAGGTGTGGGGAGTGTTTGTTCAGCATGTGCAACACCCAGCAGAGGAGGGAAGGAGCCTGAAGAAACTTGAGAGGCAAGACAGATGTAAGCTTGCAGTCTCAGGCTGAGCTTGGTGGATCATTTGAGCCCAGAGTTGAGGCCACCCTCAACAGTGGGACCCATCTCATAACGAGAGTCAGCTCTGGAATGGCTGGGTGGCACATGCTGTGCCCATGTGTTGGATAATGGGCATCCTACTGGAGAAGTTAGGGAGCTCAGAACATTGGTTAGTTGTGGTGATATCTTTCTACTTCACATTAAAATAAATAGCCCTGATAACCCCCATCTGCCACCTCAGGGAGGCTTGCAGAAGGATGAGGGAAATACTTGGAGTTGGTTGGGAGGTTAGTGGTTCTTAGCAAAGGGGTTAAAACATGTAATTGTCAACTTTTTCTAGTAGTCACAACAGGCCATTTTGTAGGTGTTTGCTATTGTTTAGGGGACTAGCTGGTGTGCACTAATACGTTCCCAGTTTGATTGCCAATTTAGGGATGCATGATAGATTGTCTCTTTAGAATACTAGCTTGGTGTACTTGGCCTGTCCTTGTTTTGGAAGGCTGAAAAAAACATGTTAAAAATGGTTTTATTTTATGAAGTTCAGATATTTCAGAATGTAAGGAAGCCACCAGTTTTTTTTTTATAAAGATTCATTTATTTATTACATATACACCAGATTGAATTGTAGGTGGTTGTCAGCCACTATGTAGTTGCTGGGAATTGAACTCAAGACCTCTGGAAGAGCAGTCAGTGCTCTTAACCTCTGAACCATCTCTCCAGCCCCAAGCCACCAGTTCTTAAGAGTTTTTTCTCTGCAGGTATTTGAAATATCTCACCAAGAAATACCTGAAGAAGAACAATCTTCGAGATTGGTTGCGCGTTGTCGCCAACAGCAAAGAGAGCTATGAGCTGCGCTACTTCCAGATTAATCAGGACGAAGAGGAGGAGGAGGACGAGGATTAAGACACATTGGTCTGCAATGTTTTGTATTAATTCATAAATAAAATTTAGGAACAAAATCAGTGGTTTATCATTGTATCTCTGCAGTGTGGTTGGACAGGAAATTGGAAATGACAGGGCCTGGGGTTTAACTGGCTACTGCTCATCTGTATATAGACACTTCTGGAAAATGTCAGCTCTCAGTAGTAATGCCCAGGCAGAGCTAGGCTGAGGGGGCTGCCTCTGACTGAGCAGTAATGAGGTGGGTTGTTCGAGGCAGCCAGACTGGGGCTTAAGCCTGCCGCTTGGTTATATCAGGTGTCTGTCTTAAGGAAGGTTTGAGAACACAGTGTTGTGTTCCTTGTTCTTTATTAAAAGCAGGCAGGTATTGTCTTTGTGGGACTTTGCTGGGAAAATGGCAGTAGGTCAAACAGGTTTCAGGGACATTTGTCTCCAGTGTTGATCACAAGTTGCTCAGTGTGCACTAACCTTTTTCCTTCCTGTAGAAATGAGGGTTTTTTTTTTTTATGTTACTGCTGTATAGTCTGCCTGTATAAAAGGATTTGCAAATATGCCAGACATCCATGCCTTTGGAGCTCTCCATAGGATTGAGTCCAAGGTCAGCCAGGGCTAGTGGTGAGACTCTAAAGTCCTTATATATAATGTGCGTATATGTACATAAACCACAGCCTGTCCAAGTCTTTGCAACAAGCAGTTTCACTAGTCTCCAGCAGAGGGTGCTGGAGACAGCTTCCAGGTGTTCCCAGTAGGGGGAGCCCTTCCATTCCCAGAACTCAGGAGGCTTTCAGGGAGGGGAACGCAAGATGGGTGTTGCCCAGGAAATTGCTGCTTCCTAAGCTGTCCCTTAAGGTCACAGCTGGACTTAGTAATAAAAGTCTTAGTCTGGGGCTACAGCCCCAGTGGTAGAGCTCTTGCCTAAAAAAGTCCAGGCAGAGTGCACCTGCAGGTTACTGGGACAGAGAAAGGCCTTGTGGGGTTTTCTTGACACTGTTCCTGGAGTATTGATAGGTGGTAGACTTGGAAAGACAGGATGATGCCTTTGCCAAGGGTTAATTTGGAAAAGTTCCCGGCACCTTAGGGTGCTCCTGAAGTCAAACTCCCGCAGCAGCATCTGCCTTGCTTTCTAACAGCAGCTCAAATGTCTGAAGGCTTGCTTCCCGCTCCTGGCCACCCTCGAGGCCTGTGTTCTGTCAGTCAGCTGTCAGTCGAATGTCCCAGCCCTAAACACATGGCTCTTGGATTGAATTTAACATGTTGAGGCTTTGCAATCTTACTTGTAGCAAAGGTTCCAGCGTTTTCTATTTCTATGCAAATTTCTTGAAGCAGAACAGGAGGCAGCATCTTCTTCAGACCTATAGGTGCGGGCCCCTTTCGGAGAGAATCCCCGGATTTGTGACATGGGTCTGCAGACCTTGTTTGTTACGTTGATCTTCCCATGTGGTTATTTCTAGGTTGGTTGTACAATTAACCCAGGGTTGACTAGCATATGCTTTGAAAGAGTAATGAAGTGGGAACTCAATGGGTCTTCTACGCCTTTCTAAACTCTTGTAACTGAATGTTGATCACATTTTGTATTAAAGTGGCTAACACATGGCTACTGTTACCGTGCAAGGCTTGCTTTTTTTCTACCTCACACAGCCTGGTAACCCTTCCGTCACCGGTGAGTCGCGGTGGGCATGGAGAGAAGTGTTCTTTCTTTTCTGCTACCTCCCGCTGGACAGCCTCCGAGAGGTGGGTTGGAGTTGACTGAGCTTGGAGAGTCATGTCCCAAGCAAATGCCATTTTCTGATGGGCACCATGAAGAGTAAACCTGAATCCTATTAAACCCACCACAGCATCTGTCCAGGGCCCCTTCTAGACATGTCCTTTATGTCTGGCCTCGTGCCTTACCTGTCTTTACCGGAAACGTTGGCACAGAAACACTGGAGTTTAAAGCTGTGGCTTCAGTTCACGGAAGCCATAAAACAATGCTGGCACAGGCTTGCTCCCTGCCAGCTGTGGTTGCTCCCGGTCTGGATCCCTCTGAGTGAATGTTGGTGCAGCCCAGGAAGTATCTACGTGGAAGGCTTACTCATTTCTAAATTCTGTTTACTTTGAGAAGCCGCCACGGCCCCTGCCTTTCATGGGTGAAACTATTCATAGTGTCCTCCCAGCAGGAGCCACTCAGATGGACAGGTTGGTCTCCTGCTGGTACCTTGACAGAGGTGCTGAGAGCTAGCTCTGACCAAACACCTGCTGCCTGAGGCGGTTATCCTTTTGTGGGGGTGGGGCACAGCTTGTTGGAAGGTGAGCTTAGTGAGGGGTCAATTGCTCCTTTTTAAAGTCACAGAAAATGTCAGGAGATGCCGAAAGTATGGGCACTTGGAGATGTGGTCCCCTGGACTGACAAATGCCGAAGCCATCTGGGACTTGAGGACGTTGGCCTTTTATGGCCACCACAGGGGTGGTGGCATCATAAGAGGGTGATGTGCTGTTCTTCCGTTCTCATAGGCATGACTGGCTGGTAGAGGCTTCATTGTAGGAGACCCCATTGGCTGAATCGTAGCAATTGCCCTGATTTGGAGGTTGCTTGCTCAGGGAAGGACTGGTTGTAGCACGTCGCTGCTCCACAAGGCGACAGGTAGAGGGGACTAGGGAGTTGGCTCAGTCAGGATAGTGTTTGCCACAGGAGCACTACCTGGGTGCAGAGGTTCGCTCCTGTCATCCTGGTCCTGGGGAGGCAGAGACAGGAGGACCCCGGGGACTTACTGATTAGCCACTCTAGCTGGTTAGCAAGCTCCACATTTAGCGTGAGACCCTGTCCCAAAGATGAGAGAGTGTTGTATGGTTAGGAGCACTTGCTGCTCCTAGAGGACCCGGGTTCACTTCCCAGTACCCATGTGGCAGCTCACAGCCATCTGTGCTTTAGTCTGGCCTCTGGGCACTGCTTGCATGGTGGCAAACACAAATCTTAAAAAATGAGGCGGACAGCCGGGCGTCGGTGGCGCACGCCTTCAATCCCAGCACTCAGGAGGCAGAGGCAGGCGGATCTCTGTGAGTTCAAGGCCAGCCTGGTCTACCGAGCGAGTTCCAGAACAGCCTCCAAAACAATACAGAGAAGCCCTGTCTCGAAAAACCAAATAAATAAAATGAGGCGGAGCTAACAAGATGGCTCAGCAAATAAAGGCATTTGCCATCAAACCTGAAGAAACGAGTTTGATCCCTCAAACCAGGAGTGAATTCCGTAAGTTGGCCTCCAGCCTCTCTGGCATTCTTGTGTCCCCTCCCCTAAATTTAAGGGAAAAAAAAGACAGGGAGCAGTTCATTGAGGAAGACCACATTGTCTGGCCCCCACACGCACCCATCCATGAACCTGCACCCATAAAGTGGAGCACACATCTTAAACGATGCCAAATTCTGTTGTTTAAGAACCGAGGATGTCTAATCCAGCCATGTCCAGGCTAGTGAGCTGCACCCGAGCCAGAGCCCAGGAAGCGCCCATCAAATGCTCCAGGCTGACTGCAGTCCCCACTTAAGGGCTCTGACCCTGGGGTTCTCTTCCTGAAAAGTTCTGGCTTTCCCCATGACCTCCGGAAGTCTGTGTGAGGTCTACTATTGGAGACAAAAATGTCCAGTCTGAGCCAGGTCCTGGTCTGCAGAGGGGCACTGACCTTCCACCCTGAAGTCCCCCTGCAGAGGAGAAGGTGCCCAGGGGTTCTGATCTCTGTAGGTGCAGAATGTTCACTGCCCTCAGTCCAGGATCAGGAAGAGGCCATTGGTGTGGAGACATTGCTGAAGTTGCTGTCGATAGGCAGTTCCTGGGGGTGTGACCATGGACCCACAGCCCAGGACTGGAGGGAGTGCTGTGTATGCAGAAGGGGATCAGCTATTTCAACTGCTCTTCGAAAACAAAATTCCAGGATGTTTCATAACCACCATAGTTTGATTTGTGAATTGTCACTGAGGTGTAATCACAAGTCCCGTGATCAGCAAACAGGAGACTTGTCCCCTGACACTAACCTTAATGGTAGGCTGTTCTCACAAGTGCAGCTTACGGACCGCTCACCTGTTAGAGGTTGCCTTTTGAAACGTCAGGTGTCTTGGGTCCATGGTCACGAACATGCACATTTAATAGTTTAATAAGAAGGGGTGTCATTTAAAAATTACTGGTGATTTGCAACTAAAACACACACACACACACACACATGCGCGCACGCACGCATGCACCATGTGGTTTTCCCTACTATCCCAGTTCGGGTCTTTGGTCATTAGCTAATGCTACCCCAGTGCAGTAATTGGGAGAGCATTCTGAGTGCTCATCTCACATCTTGACTCTTAATTTGCTGCAAATTAAGCAGTTGGAGCTGTTCTTGAATATCTTGACTTTCTCAGCCTCGCCTTGGGAATGGGAGCCAGGGTTAATGGTGTATGTGTACAGCTTGCATGCCTGTGCACGCGTGTGGGGAAGGGGAGGTTTTCTCGGGCCGAGAAACATGTCACAAGTTTCTCTGAGGTCGGACGGGGGTGGAGGGGGGATCTTTGAAAAGGTTTAATGTCTACCAGCAAAGAGGTCTTGGGTGCTGGTAACGGAGCATGGGCATGTTTGGTGGAGCTTGGATTTTTTTTTCCCATGGGCCCTTGCAGTCAGGGAAATCAGTGACCAGCAGAGAACCAGCAAGCCCTCCCAGGGAGGTGCAACCTGGGGCTCCCCTCAGCAGGAAACCGATTGGAACATCAGACACCTTCTTCCTGCTGGCTGGTCAGGTGGCCTCCACTGTCCAGAGTGTGGTAAAGTGATCTGTGAGACGGGGAGTCCTAGTGCCCTTCCTGTCGATCCCGAGAGGCTGGTCAGACCTGGAAAGGCTTTCTACGGCGTGTTCACAATCTGTAGCGTGAGAACTGACAGTGTTAGCCAAACGGCGGCTCTTTCCGCCTCTATCCCCTCAGCTGCCTTGGGCAAGCCCAGTGAATGCAGCCACCTCCTCAAGAGGTCTTGTGCTGGGACACTTAGCCAAACCGGCACGATTCCTATTAGTTCTCCAAAGGCACTAAGACGGGAGGCATCCCTCCCGGTGACAGATCTGGACGCCGGAAGCTGGTGCCCAGGCCTGAGGATAGGTGTTAGAGCCCCCCCCCCCCTTTCCTTGGTCTGACCACTCTCAGCCTCTCAGGTCAGGCAGACCCTGCCCTCAGCAGAGAGGTCCACTCCCTCAGTGTGTGGTCAGAGGCCTAAGGGTGACCCTCCCTTTACTGGACTTTGTGGGACTGGAGAGCTGGCGACCTCCTTCTGGACCCTGCAACTGTGTTTCTGTAACCCTTGGCTGAACCGGGCTGAAATCACTCTCTTAGAATTCCAATCTTGCTCCCCCCGGGGCTTAGGCATCCAGCTCCCACTTTAACAAGCGGGGCTGGCAGCCACCAACCCTTCTGCCTGGCGACAGGTGTCCTGAGTGGGCGTCCCCGGCGCGGCGGCACAACTTTACAGAACCCGAGGGACCTGGATGTGTTTGATCTGTCCACAGCCCCGAGGAGTGTTTTTGGAGAAGGGCATCGCGGGTGGGTGGGAAGCCACGTTTTGTTTTTCTGGGATCAGTCACACCCACTGTCCCCAGAGTGACCCCCTACACGTCCACCAAGTACGGGGAACACATTCTCTCCTGCTTCGATTCTGAAAAGGGTTAGACTGGAACCGAGGTGGGGTGAGTCCGGTGTGCAATGCCTCGTGGGGCAGCCCGTGGTTTTCACACCCCGCCTTTCGGGGCCCAAGCGCCTTCGTGCTCAGGGTGGCGACCCCTGGCCCTGCCTGGGGCGCGCGCGCACGTGCGCGCTTGGGTAGCACTGCCTCCTCCTCCTCCTGCGCCCGGGCCACCGACCCCCCGGAGCCAGCTCGTCCGTCCGTCCGTGTGTCCGTCCGTGATGTCTCTGCTCATTCGGGCTTCGACGGCTCCCGCCCCCCCTCCCGCCGATCCCCCCAACCCCCCCGCGCTCACCAGGCTGCTCGGGACTAGTTCCCCGCAACTTGTTCTCTGCAGCTAACTAGTCGCGCTGGCGGAACGATGGGATGGGGTTGCCACAGCAACCAGACTGGACGTCACAATCCGGGCATGTGTGCCGCCCCCCCGCCGTGCCGCCGTGCCGCGGGCGCTGCCGCCGCCACCCTCGGCCGGCTGCGGGACTCGCGCTGCGGGGCGCGGTGGGCGGAGCGGCCCGGGCTCGGCGGGTGCGGGCAGAGGCGGGCCGAGAGCTTCGGGGGGTCGACACGGGGGGGTGGAGGTTTTGGGGGCCGGGGGGCCCGGCGGCCGCCATCTTCTCGCCGAGACCGCCTCGCCCGCCGCGCGGGTCCGTCCGGCAGCTCACGGGTTAAGGCTGGCACCGCGCCCGGCGGGAGGGGGGGCGCCCACCTCCCCTCCCTCCCTCCCCCGCCACGCGCGCTGGGCATGCGGGGCCCGCTGGGCACCGAGGAGGAGCTGCCGCGGCTGTTCGCGGAGGAGATGGAGAACGAGGAGGAGATGTCAGGTGAGGGGCGCCGGGGGTGGCGGTGGTGGTGGTGGGGGAACCTGCCGGCCCGGGACGCGGGAGGGGCTCGGGACCGCGCGGGCTGCGATCCCGCCCTGCTGGCGCCGCGCGGGGGCCGAGGGCGCGGGGCCGGGCTAGCTCCCGGGGCGCGGCGCTCGGGGCCGGGGTGCGCCGAGGACCCCCCGACTCCTGGGCGAGCCCGCGGCGTGGGGAGGGGGAAGGAGGCTGTGCGAGCGGCGAGGCGGGAGGGGGCGCGGCGCCGCCGCCGGGGTCAGCCCGCGTGCCCTTGAAGGCGGCGGGAAGCGCGCGCTGCGGGCGGGGCCGGACCGGGCGCCCCGGGCGCGTGGGGTGGGGGTGGAGGGAGCTGGCGATGCCCCGAGCCCCCCACCCCCCGGGCGCGCGGGCTCCCGGCGCCCGGTGCCCGACAGTTGCTCCGCCGCACTTTGCCCAGGCCGCCGGCTGTGCTCAGCGCGCTAGTGCCAGCCGCGTTCCCAGACCACCCTGCCCGCCTTGCCTGTGGGCCTGGCGCCCCAGGGCCACCGCCCCTGCCCTTAACCAGTTGCTTCTTCGAATTCAGCCTCCATCGGGCTTGTGTCTCAGGGTTACCTTGCAGGGGGCGATCTTCAGTTAACTGCTCCCTCCCGTCCTGGCACAGCCAGGCAGGCCCTCGCCCTGTCAGCTGCCCTCCCTCTTTCCCTCCCTCTTTCTCTCCCTGCCTCCTTGAGGGGCATCACTTCTCAGCTTCCCAAGTCTATGGCTCGTCCCGGACTTCTGAGGACTTGTGAGAGGCCAGAAGGTCCCCACCCCCACCCCTTTGCCCAGGGATCTACATTCCAGGGGATGAGACGATTACACACACTCCCTCCCCAGCTCCTTCTCCAGGGGGAGAGCCGGCACCTCCCAGGCCATTCACTGGGGGCCACACCCCCGCCCCCCAGTCTCCTCTCCTGCGGACTGGCTTGTTTGGCGGATTTAATGCTGTCAGTGGGGCCCCCTGCAGGAGCCCTGCTGCTCAACCCCTCCCCCTGTATAGTCAAGAGCCTTCCGTGGGGTGAACGTGCAGAGAGAGAGGTATGGCTTCCAGTAGTTGACTGCCGAATCCCAGGCTGAAGGGATCGGCCCCTGTCTCGGAGGGGAAAGCAGAGGCCAAGAGACCTGTAGCTGTTTTCTGCCGAGGAGCCTAACTCTTCAAAGATCCCCTGGGTGGTGACTGGGGCGTGGTCTTTTGTGGTACTGACAGGGGCGGCGGACAGCTGAGTGTGTATTAACATCCCCAATTGTGGGATGCCAGTTTCCCCAACAGCACCCCCTTTCTCCTTCCTGCCCGACCTTGCTTTTGCATCAGAGAGTAGGGCTTGGTGAGGTTCTCGGTGCCCCCAGGATGGTGGAACACCCAACTTCATTGTTGGGGTTATTGGGGTTGGATCGTGGTCCTAACCTGCGCCTCCCCCCTCCCTCCAGAGAAGGCGGGGCACTGTCCCCCTTGGGGCCTTCATGAGCACTTCCAAAGCCATGCAAAGGAGAACCCCCGCCCCTGCTCCCATCTCTCTAGCTGGGAATTCCTGTCCATCAACCACTGTGATTGCCTCCCCCCCCAGAACCTGGCCCCGCCCGCACCTTTCCTGGTCCCTGGTGTAAGCGTCTGTCCCCTCCCATTGGCCCCTCCTAGCTATCCCAGCCAATGGTCAATGACCTTCCCTACTTAGAGCCAGACCATTGGTCCATCCAGCCTTCCCAATGCCCCTGATTCACACCTCCCTGGGACTCTGACTCCAGCCTCGGCTGACCCGTGTCTCTGCAGGTGCTGCCCTGTCCTTGGCCCCTTCCGTCCATGTAGGTTCCCAGCTTCCCCACGCCTTATGGGACACCACCCCCTTTCACCCTCGCCACGGGGCTCTCAGGCCAGGTTTCAAGGGCTTGTCCGCCTTTGTAGCACTTCCTGTTCTCTGGGACCTTGCTGTCACCCACCCACCCCCAGGTGGAACCCCTAACCGCAATTTGGACCCGCAAACTGGAACTGAAGGTCTCTAGGTCCCCCTGGCTCCCCGGTATGTGGGGGCAGTCCCTGTCCTAGCCCTCATGTCTGTCTGCAGTGTTGGCCGCCTGGCCTAACAGTCGAGTCGCGCCTCATGGCCTTTTGGTGGTGGTGGTGGTGGTGGAGCTCCTCTTAGCTGCGGAGGCCATGGCAGTGACCTGCTAGGCCCCTGGGGCCCGGTGGGAAGAGCCAGTGTTGCTGTGGCCTTCGCACTAATTCCCAACAGGGCTTTTCCCTGGCCAGTTAGTTCTCTGTGGCTTTGTGTCTGGTTGGGTGAGCCTGCTTTGAGGAGGAGAGCAGGGGCAGGCTCCCTACCTGGTGTGGTTCAGATGTTGGCAGCTGCCAGGTTCCCCGGGGAGTGTGCTGGCCAAAGGGAGGACTTGAGAGCCGGACGGAGGAGGACTCAAATCCCAGCCGTGTTGCTGTTAGTCCCGTGGACTTGGGACGAGCGCCCCTCCCCCAGTCCTCTGCCTCAGTGTCCCCGCTTGCCGAATGAATGCTGCAGCGGCCACCTCTCAGAAGATTATTGTGAGGCCTCGTGGGACAGCACACACAGAACATTCGGGCCGCAGTAGCCAGCACACACCACACACACACACACACACACACACACACACAGAGCAAACCATGGCAGGTGTCATTAGCACCATCTGAAGGGGGTTGCCGGCCCGCCTCCCCAAGGACATGCTTCTGAGACTTGAGCTCTCAGTAAGTGTCTGCCAGGAGCCTGGTCTGGAGAAGGAAGGGCTCAAGGCAGGGAGAGGAAAGGGCCTGGCCCTCAAGGCTCTTCCCCAGAGCTTGGTTCTGCTGGGCTGGAGGTCCACCCTGCCTGGTTGACACCCAGTCCTTTGTCAATCACTGTCAAGCTGATGAGCCCGTGCTATCTCGGTCCCTGTATCCACCCACTGACCTAGCTCCATCTGTGTAAACATCGTAGGCTTCTTAGGGTCAGAGGTGAGGCGAGCATGGCCGCCATGACTCCCAAAGGCCCATGCTTTCTAAGATTGCCCCTCCCCCATCCTTATGGTATTTAACACACACCCAACTGTCTAATTATCAGTACATAATACCAACCAATTAGCCATCCATCCATCCACCCATCATCCATCATCCATCCATCATCCATCCACCCATCATCCATCATCCATCCATCCATCATCCATCATCCATCCATCATCCATCCATCATCCATCCATCATCCATCATCCATCCATCATCCATCCATCATCCATCATCCATCATCCATCCATCATCCATCCATCATCCATCATCCATCATCCATCATCCATCCATCATCCATCCATCATCCATCCATCATCCATCATCCATCATCCATCCATCATCCATCCATCATCCATCCATCATCCATCCATCATCCATCATCCATCCATCCATCATCCATCATCCATCCATCCATCCACCCATGCGCCAGCCTTCACTAACCTTTCACCTCTCCACCTACCGTATATCATTCTTTACCATCCACCCATTTATCCTTCTGCCCATCCACCCCACCACCCACCTGTCCCCCAGCTCTACACCCATGCACCCTCCAGGCTTCATGGATCCACCCAGTCATCTACCATCCGTTTATCCGCCTGTTTGGGTCCCATCTGCCCACTCCCCATTCGACTTTCTGCCGTCCGTCCCGTCCACCTTCTCAACACAGATGTCTGGGATATCTCTGACCCAAGTGCCGAGCAGTGCATGTCGTCTGTCTGACTTTCTGGGGGGGGGGGGTGTGTCTTTGTTTGTTTGGCAAGGTCCCACTGTGTAGCTCTGGCCGTCCTAGAACTCGCTCGGTAGACCAGGCTGGCCTCCGGTTCACAGAGACCCTCCTGCCTCTGCCTCCCGAGTGCTGTGTTTAAAGGGCGTGCGCTACCACCGCCCGCCCGGCTTAGGGCTCCTGCAGAAGAACCTCTGAGACTGTTTTGTCTCCGTGATTCCGTCTTTATCTCTCCCCGCCCCTCCCTCCTCCGCCGTCGTCTCCTGCTCTGGTCCTTCCTGGGTCTGTGTTTACTCTGCCTGGTGTCTCTGCCTCTATCTTGTCCCCGTGGTTTCTCCATGTCTTCTACTCCTTAGCTCTCTCTTCCCACCCACCCGTGCCCTGCAACCTGCCTGGAGGCGTCTCCCTGCTTCCCCAGGCCGTTCTCGCTTTCCCAGGCCCCAGTCACTTAGAGTGTAAGAGCCACCCCCTCCACGCCTCTCCTCTGCTGGCTCTCTGGACTGCCTCTTCCTTTCATGAGATGCCAATGAGGTGATGTCTGGGTTTTGTTAAATGTCATAAATAAATTATTAATCGCTTCTTGGGTTATGGTTAGCGCTGCTCAGGGTCCGGCTGAGGGCCCGGGCCGTGGGGCGGGGTGGGGAGGGGAGGCCCAGAGATGAATGAGAACTTGGGTTCGGCTTTTCACTGTCCAGAAGTACCGGCCCCCCGGGGTACCTCCACTCTGTGACCCCTTGTGGGTTCTTTCGGCATCGCTGAGCGGCACCCAGCATCGGGGTCCCGTGTTTTCACAACCCCGCGTCTTTCTGTTGCCCAGGAGGGAGGTGAAGCATCAACCCATTTCACAGATGAAGAAATGGTCGGTGGGACAGTCACTGGGGCCGCTGGTCAGGAAGGGGTGGTAGTTTGAAGCCCTTAGGCTTCTCAGGTGGCCCTGTTCCCTCCTGACCACTAGGTGGCCCTGTTCCCTACTGTGGGGGCTGGAAACACAAGGAGCCCTTACTCCCTGGGTTCTGGGCAGGGTGGTGGACTAAGCTGGTGGCTCTCACCACTGGCTGATTTGCTCTCCTGAGATTTTGGTGGTGGAGATCTTGTCCCCAGCTCTGACCCCCTAGTCCTCCCACTGACTGAGTCAGAGGACACTAACTTCTCCCTGTTGGAAAAGCTTCCTGGGGTCTTGTTCTTCCTCAGAGGAGGCAGGGCCTGGACCCTGGGGGGGGGTCCCCAGATCTGACCTGATCTGCACAGCACCCCCACCTCTTAGACTCTGGCAACCCCGATCCAGAGCCGGCCTTAGCCGCTTCAGTGGTCCTGGGGTACAGTCCTGAGCTTGGCCCACAAGGTCACACTGCTGAAATACCTACCGGTCTCTGGGCAGGTCCACGGCCTGGAGGGCAGAGCTAGGGGAGGGCTCACATACTGACTGGTATGTACGTGTCTCTCGTCTGGGTGGCCGCCTGGCTGTGCTCCCGGCGGCCGTGGGAGGTTGCAGAGGTCCTCCGAGTCCCACAGCTGTAAACTGCAGGATCTTCTTGTGTTATCAGGCAAGGCCTTCGTGCTTTGTGGCCCAGGACGTGTTGGAACTTTGACATCACCCTGCCTCAGACTGCGCAGTGGGGAGATCAGAGGCCTGTGCCGCCACCAACCACACCCGGCTCCGTGTCACTGCTGTCACTTAGTAGCGGGGAAGAGCCAGCCGGCTCACCAGGCTGCAGCTGGGGAAGGCAGCCAGCAGGGATCAGAAAAAAAAAAAAAAAAAGCTTTGGAAGCTGTGCCTTTACCCTGCCCGATTCTGTCCTCCGACCCTGGCCCTCACCCTGTCACTCACCCTCATGCTGTCTCCCGCCACCCCAAGTCTCGGAAGTAGCCTCCCTTGCTCCTCCTCAGGCCTTAAGATGTGAGGAGTTACCAGGCTAATGGTCCTAATTATAGCTGGCTCGGATCGATGGAGCCTCCGGGCCCTAGGGCGGGGCTGGCTGGTGTTTGAGGGTACATCCAGCAGGGGCAGTGGGGCAGCCTCCAGGGGCTGGGAATTGGCAGGACAAACTGTTTTATGGGCTGGCTGCCCCCACCCTGGGTCCCCTCGCTCAGGGGTAGCGGAGTCCTGTCTCCTGCGACTGGCCCTGGTTTTACAAACTGCCTCTGACCTGCCCCTGGCCGATGGGGCCGTGGGAAGGAAGAACAGGGATGACCCCACAAGCTTGAGACTTGGGCGTGGCTGACGGTGGGGTGACTTGATTTTTAGAAGCCTCAGGACCTGTTGCTAAGGAGGGGGACGGCCCATCTGGGAAGAGAGGGCTGCATTGCCAGTGAGGTCTAGGTGTTGAGGTGGGGTGGGATCCAGTGTCACAGACCTGAGGTGTCCTCAGGGCCACCAGAAAGCCAAGTGGGGACAGGAAGTGCCTGCTGGGGATGGGCGTGGTCAGAGCTGGGTCCCCCATCACGCACCGGCTCTGGAAATTTCCTGGAGGGAGATGTATTTTATTATTATTTTTTTCCTTTTAATTAATCGGGCAGGGCTTGGACTGTGGGGTTTTCTTGTGGAGGAAGAAGGGAGCTGTTTATGGACGTGGGGTCTGTGTTTGTTCTGGATGAGCTCCTCCTTGACCTCTTCTGTTTCCACCAGTGGGGTCACGGGCTTCCTTCTAGAACATTCCTAGCCACCTGTGGGCCTCCGCCTCCTGCTGGTCAGTGGGGGAGCATGTGCCAGGCTGGCTTCCTAAGCAGGGGGTAGGGGGGAATTCCCCTGCTGGGTGGAGACAGGAGGGAGAAGGGTCCCTTGAGATTGCATCAGCCTGTTATATAACTATAAAGGGTGTGGCGCGCTCCCAGGGGCTGGGGTGCTTCTGTTTGGGTGGCATCTGCGCTGCTGGGAGAACACACAGGTGTGGATGGGAATCCAGTTGGCTACTCCAGCCTGGCCTCCTGCCGTCCTCAGCGCCGTTGCCAAGACCCCTTCACGCCAAGATGACACTGAGGGCCTCTCTGTGCATTTTCACTGCCTCTGGCTGGCACATCAGGGCTCAGGGGACCAGGGTGCATTATTTCCAACATCACCTGGCCCCAGCTTGGATTCCTGGCCCACGTAAGGAATGGCCCCGCCGTCCACTCCCCGTGCTCTGGAGTCTTGCCAAGACCACAGTAGCTGTGCCCGCCTCACGGACCCTGCCCCGGCAGCGCCCCTCCCCGTAGGTTGGCATGTACTGTGGTGGTCCTCCAGGGGTGACCTGCATTTGGCCAAGGCCGCCAAGTTGCAGCAGCTTCCAGTCCTGCCCGGAGTCTGCCTCCTCCTCTCCGTCTGCTGGCTGCTTTCCCGAGTTCCCATTCTGACAGTAGGGAGGGGCTGGAACCTTTGTACGCTCCGTCCAGGGTGCACGCTCCATCCCTTCCCTGCAGACTCTGGCGAGCGGCATTGGCAGCCAGGCCTTGTCCCTGGGAGACGGGGTCCTGGTGCTGAGGGGTACCTTGACCCAGCAAGGGGGGCTGTACAGATACAGACTGACTGTGTATACTTTGTGTGCATGTGGGGAATCTTCTTAGCCACTGGAGACACTGTTTGTCCTCCGAGAGTGAGATATGTGTGTCTAAAGTTGGCCACCTTGTTCAGGGAGCCGGACGGACCCAGTGGGGACCTGTCTTCCACGGGCTCTGGGAATCAAGGGGTCAAAGGTGGGCAGGCAGCTTGTGTGGGATCTGAGAAAGGGATGTTTCCTCTCTATGCGTACATGTGAGGCATAGACTCCTCTGTAGTCCTCTGGCCACCCCCAGCCCCTCACTGGGGCAGGAGGGGCCTGCCGAGGCACCCAGGTTATGGGCTGGTGAAGTAGGCTTGCTCTCTTATGGTCCTGGAGCTACTTTATTCTGGGAGCCTCCTTTGTCCCCCTGGGTGGCCATCTCTCTGTCCATTGCCCCCCCCATGGTCATCTCTCTCTACTCTGGGTGGTTTGGTTCTTGCTGCCATGTCCGTGAGATAACCCTTGCCACCTCACCTCCGAGGTCATGTCTGATGAATGGGAACACTGGTTCAACTTGGATTTCCCCAGAGGGTAAGAGTCAGGTCCCTCCCAGCTCAGTCAGGTTCCGTGTCACCCCAGAACAGAAGGCCCCTCCTAGGTTGAGGGTGAGCTGCGGCAGGCTTACCTGCCTCTTTTTGGGGTAACCTGGAACCACTAGCCACCTTTTAAATGACTCCAGCCCCTAAGCTCACCCTCTTCCCTCTTGGCCTGTAAATTTTAAAAAGTTGTGTATGTGGTGTGTCCACCTGAGGGTATGGTTGTGTGTGTGCACTCCTGAGGGTGTGTGTGTGTGCACTCCTGAGAGTGTGTGTGTGCACTCCTGAGAGAGCGTGTGTGCACTCCTGAGGGTGTGTGTGTGCACTCCTGAGGGTGTGTGTGTGTGTACTCCTGAGGCTGTGTGTGTGTGTGCACTCCTGAGCGTGTGTGTGCACTCCTGAGAGTGTGTGTGCACTCCTGAGGGTTGTGTGTGTGCACTCCTGAGAGTGTGTGTGCACTCCTGAGGGTGTGTGTGTGTGCACTCCTGAGGGTGTGTGTGTGCACTCCTGAGGGTGTGTGTGCACTCCTGAGGGTGTGTGTGTGTGCACTCCTGAGAGTGTGTGTGCACTCCTGAGGGTGTGTGTGTGTGCACTCCTGAGGGTGTGTGTGTGCACTCCTGAGAGAGTGTGTGTGCATTCCTGAGAGAGTGTGTGTGCACTCCTGAGGGTGTGTGTGTGTACTCCTGAGGGTGTGTGTGTGCACTCCTGAGGGTGTGTGTGTGTGCACTCCTGAGGGTGTGTGTGCACTCCTGAGGGTGTGTGTGTGCACTCCTGAGAGTGTGTGCACTCCTGAGGGTGTGTGTGTGCACTCCTGAGAGTGTGTGTGCACTCCTGAGGGTGTGTGTGTGTGTGCACTCCTGAGGGTGTGTGTGTGTGCACTCCTGAGAGTGTGTGTGCACTCCTGAGGGTGTGTGTGTGTGTGTGCACTCCTGAGGGTGTGTGTGTGTGCACTCCTGAGGGTGTGTGTGTGCACTCCTGAGAGACAGTGTGTGTGCACTCCTGAGAGAGAGTGTGTGTGTGCACTCCTGAGGGTGTGTGTGTGTGTGCACATGTGGAGGCCACAGGAAGACATCAGATTTCTTCTCTATCACTGTTACCTTCAGACTGGACTGTAGGTTCCCTAGTTTGGCTAGGCTGGGTGGCTAGCAGGCTGTCCCCGATGCTGGGGTCACAGGCATGCTCAGTCATGTCTGGTGTTTGGCCTTTAATTCTTGAAGCCACTGAGAGAATTTGGGATTCACGGGCAGTTCTGGAGAACACACATGTGGAATGGGCTTGGCATCCTGGAGCCCTGTGCATCTAGGTTGGTCACGTGTGTTGGTCCCCTGCACGGGGCTGGGCAGGGGAAGCAGTGTAGTCATGAATCCCTCATTAAGAGGGTTCTATCAAGTCTCTGGCTGATGGGACCTGGTCCTTTATCATCCTGCATCTGAGAGCCACACCTCAGCTGTGCTTGGACCTCTGGAGGGAAAGATAGGCCTTACTCAGCTTGGACTCTCCTGGGCCCCCGCCTTCCCTGGGCCAGCTGGCGATGACTTTGATGTTCCATGAGGCCATTAAGGACACCAGATTAGACATTTGCTTGTTGGGTTCAGGACCAGGTGATTATTGTCCTCTTCCTTCCTTCCTTCCTTCCTTCCTTCCTTCCTTCCTTCCTTCCTTCCTTCCTTCCTTCCTTCCTTCCTTCCTTCCTTCCTTCAAGACAAGGTTTCTCTGTAGCTTTGGAGCCAGCTCTGTAGACCAGGCTGGCCTCAAACACAGACATCCTCCTGATTCTGCCTCCCAAGTGCTGGGTTAAGGATGTGTGCCGCCACCACCCAACGATTATTGTTCCTTCTTACACAGGGCGGGGGGGGGGCAGAGAGGGGAGGTGACTTGTGCTGCCCACCAGGGTAGACATGACAGTTGTTCCTTGGCCCGGGAGTGTGGTCACGATGGCTGTGACCTGGCATTGCTGGGGTCCCGTGGCCTCCCTCTGGTTCTGTGTCCCTGGTTCTGGGCTAAAACTGTGAAGGGTGACCTTTCTCCCTTCTAACCCCTGCAGAAGAAGACGATGGCGGCCTTGAAGGCTTCGAGGATTTCTTCCCTGCAGAGCCCGTGAGCCTTCCCAAGAAGAAGCCTAAGAAGCTGAAAGACAGCAAGCCCAAAGGGAAGCGGAAGAAGAAGGAGGTGAGACTTGTGGGTGGGCCGGCTCAGACCTTGTGCTGCAGTCCCTGGACACCTGTGCCTGTGCCATGCCGAGCCCCCCTCCCCCCCAGGCGGAAATGGACACTTGGGGCTGGGCCATGCCGAGGCCTCCCCGAGGTGGAAATGGCAAGCCCTGCTTCTTAGGGAGGTGGGAGGGTCAGCTGTCCTGTCCTGAGCTCTCCACTGGCTGCCTCCCTGCCCTGCTCTGCAAGTCTCAGCCTGGCCCCTGGCAGCACAGCTGTCTGTCCCCTCTCTGGCTGCTCTGCTGGAGCCTCATCCTCCTCAGTGAATCCTACTGAGAGCAGAGACAGTCAGAGGAACACAAGGAGGCTCCCGTGAGGAATGGGCTGTGTGTGTAGAGGCTGTGCTTAGGCCTGGTGGCTTTAATGTTCCCATTTTTTTTACTTCCTGGTTCTTGGTGGCTCTGTATAGCAGATGCTGGGAGTCAAGGCTGAAGGGTGAGGTGGCTGACATTAAGGCTGCTCTGCCGTTCTGCCGCCGGGCGGTGGTGGCGCACGCCTTTAATCCCAGCATTGGGGAGGCAGAGGCAGGTGGATCTCTGTGAGTTCGAGCCAGCCTGGTCTACAGAGCGAGTTCCAGGGCAGCCTCCAAAGCCACAGAGAAACCCTGTCTCAGAAAAACCAAAAAAAAAAAAAAAAAGACTGTTCTGTCTTGTCACCTCCTGCGTCTCCAGGCAGCCCTGCCAGGAGGTAGAGCACACATACACACACATGTACACACACATATACACACACATATACACACACATATACACACATGTACCCCCCCCACCTCTCCTTCTAAGTGAGGAAGCAGAGGTGCGCAGAGGTCCACTGAAGGCAGTGACAGCCTCTTACCTGTCCCTCTGTAAAACTGAGCTGGTTGGGCTCCAGAATGTAGGCCGGGGTAGAAGAGGAGGAGAACCTGGAGGAGGGAAAACGGCCACAAGAGGTGGGTGAGAGCCCCTGCCTGGCTCGACTCTCTCCTCTTCACTTTCCCCGTGTTGGGGACGGTGGCCCTGCAAGTGTCTGTACCCAAGAGATGGCTGTGGAGAAGGTCAAGGGCACCTGAGGGGACCCAAATTCAACCTGCAGCCTGCCTGTTTTCTCCTCTCCTGGGACTGTGAGAACAACCTAACCTAAGGGTTCCCTACCTCAGCAGCATAGGGCACCCCCACTACCCCAAGCTGCCCCCAAGCTGCCCAGCGGCCCCTCCTATCCTACCCCAGCCCCTCCCGGGCTTTGCATCTTTGTCACATCTCTTGCTGGGTGTGTGCACACGTGTGTGCGCGCCTGTGTGTGTTTGTGTGCATGCGTGTGTGCACGTGTGTGTGCACCACTCTTTGTTCCCCTGGAGTCTCTCTGACCCCTCAGCTGACTACACCTGTCAAGGCTCTCTGTAGTCTGGCACGTTGTCTAGGATCGATGTGATTGTCTCCTCCCAGAACACCCCACGGCAGCACCACCTTACCGCAGGGCAAGTCTGTCTCCAGCAGGGAGGAAGGAAGCCAGCTGTCGAGGGTTTTGGCTCACAGACCTGTACTCTAAGGTGTCATGAAGCATTCTGTCCCCGTTATCCAGAGGAGGAAGTGGAGGCAGGATGTGGGAGCAGGACCCTGTGCTGGGAGACCACCCCCCACTGGAGGCGGTACTGGGAAACTGGCCCCTTGACACAGACCCCAGAGTCTCTTACTGCAGCCACTGCCTCCTACTGGTCACAGCCCTCGGCCCCGCAGATCTCCCCACGGCTGGGCAGTGGATAGGTTCTGTGAGGCCCTGGGATCCAGGTCCCCAGACTTCCTGTTTGGGGATGTGAAGTCTCACTCCAGCTGTCTCTGTTCTTAGCCTCGAGGGTTCTCCCCAACCCCTGACCTCATGGCAGAGGACAGGGCCTCCCCCACTTGCTCTCAAGTGTCAGACCGTGGGCTGGGACCATCCGCTTGTAGATACAATGCCCAGCCGGGGTTCCTCTGCGTGGGTGGGGTGGGTGGGTGGGTGGGTGTGGGGCTTTCCGTACTAAGCAGGGCTGGCTGGCTTTCTTCTGACTCCTTCCTGGGCGCAGGCTCTGGCTAGGAAGGAGGCTGGAGGCAGGGAGGGCGTGGGGCTGTGTGGGGGTGTCTGGTGGCCTCCAAGGCCGAGGAAGGCTGTTTTTGTCTTCCCGGGATCCCAGTCCGCAGGCGACGTGTCCGTTGCTCTCTGCCCTGCCTTCCTCTGGTTCTGCGGTCAGGGTCCTCCCTCTGGCCAGCGCCTCTTTTCAGTGTCTCATTAATCCCTCCTCTCCGTCTCCCCTCCCCTCCCCTCTCTCTTCCACTCCCTCCTTCGCCCCCGTCGCCTCTCCTTGAGACGAGGGTCGCGCTTCTTTCCAAGGGGGGGGGTGTGGAGCACTGGGTAGACAAGCCTTCCAGATGCGGAGTGAGCGGGAGCGCCGAGGCTGACCGTGGGGCCGGGAGTGCTCCCTCCCCCTTCATCCATCCTCCCCGCCCCCCACCCCCGCCCCCAGCTCCGCTCACCCCAGCTACGAGCTCCGGGGGTGGGGGTGGCAGCGTGTAGCTATTTACAAAGAGGAGGCTCTGCCGGCCCGCCCGCCCCAAGCCCTGGATCACGGTGTGGGAATCCCCCTTCCTCCCCGACCCCACCACTGCATCCCCCCTCCCCTCCCCACCAGGTGACTCTGAGGCGCAGAGGGGGACGGAGCAGGTGGGCTCTCAGCAGTGGTTGTGCGTGTGTGTGTGTGCGCGTGTGTGTGTGTGTGTGTGCGTGCGTGTGTGTGTGTGTGTGTGTGTGCGTGTGCGTGTGTGTAGGGCAAGCTAGCAGCAAAGCTGTGGGTTCTGATTTACATAAAATAACCGGGCTGCTGCCGGAAACCTGAGCGTATGTAGATGAAGCTCCCCCCTGTCAGACCGGAGCGCAGGAGAGGGAGAACTGATTTCAACCTGTGCTGCAGCCGTTGCCATAGCAACCAATTATTCAGTGCTAAATTATAACTGTTTATAACACTGGTGAATGGGAAGGCTCATATTTCATTCTTCCCTCTCCCGTGTCTTGCAGGGACCCTAAGTTGAGAATGACCCGGCTCCCCAAGTCCTTCCCTTGAGCTCAAGCGCTTTATTTTATTTTATTTTTCAGGAGACCGCGGTGCGTGTGCTGGGCGTAGAAGGGAGAGGGGAGCGAGATGAGATAGGAGGCCTGGATTCGGGAACCGAGGAGTGGGGAAGAGAGAGAGAGAAAGGGTGCATCAGGGCTGCCCACCCGGGGTCCCCACCGTGCTCTGCCCTCAGCAGGCAAAGGGGCTCCAAGTGGAGACCCCTCTTCTCCCTCAGCTTGGGTGTGGCATCTCGAGGTGCCTTGCGTGTGTAACCCTAAAGTTCTTCTCACAGCCACTAGCGCGCCACTCACAGTCACACCCAGGACTGTGTCCGCGAATGACGGCGCCAAGGTCACACAGCCTGCTATGGGCCTTGGGTCTCTTCTCTCAGACCTTAGGGCAGAGGTTGGTTTGTGGGAGTCATTAGAGCTATTGGTCTGTGTCTCCTTCCTGAGTCGGGTGCGGGATCACCTCCTCATCGTCCCCTTCCCCCTGTAAGTTTCTTTTTTTTTTTTTAAGACGGGGTCTCACTAGGTGGCCCGGGATTTGGTCTGTAAGCCAGGCTGACCTCAAACTCAGAGATCCACCCGCCTTTGCTTCCTAAGGGTTGGGATTAAAGGTGTGCACCCTATAAGTTCCAAGACACCGAGCGGTTCCCCCCTCATCTGGTTCTTGGCCGGTTTTTACCCTTCTCTCTGGTGACATCGTTGCCCCCAGTGGTCCTGCCGATGGCTCCTCTGGGGATGCTTCCCAGATCCAGTTACAGTGTTCCCCCATCACCGTCTTCTCTGTGAGGCAGGATGTTTTCACGCCGTGTCGGGGGACGGAAGAGGCCCAGTAGTAGAAGTGTGGAGGCAGTTGGTGCAAGTTCTGCTGGGCTAGACTCACTCTCCCTGCACTGTCGTGTGAGGACCTGGATGTGGGAGTGGCCCGGGCCATGCCGGCTTTATTTGGAAGAGGTGGGGCAAGAGGGAGGAGAGACATGGGCTGGGGGCTGGAGGTCAGAGTCTTCTCTCCCCAGGGATGGAATTCAAGAGGTGGGCATCCTCCGGCGCCAATGCTTTGGTGGTTGGCTGGAGGAAAGGGGCGCCCGGCCTGAGATCCACCCTGCCTGGGCTTCCAGAAGCTCAGTTGACTGCCCTCCTTCAGCTCTGGAGCTTCCTTTGGAGGAATCGAGGCCAGGCTCTCAGCTTCAGCCGAGCCCCGCCCCGTCAGTGCCGCACACAGGCGGCTGCTGCTGCTTCTGCCAGACGCTGTGGTCTGCTGGAGGCGTTTTCCCGCCTCCCTCTTTGCTGGCCACTCCTTGTCTTTCCTGCACCCCGGATATGGCGCTGTCTTCTTCCCAGGGGGCATGCTCTGGCCAGCTACCAGGCAGCGTCATGCTGTCTACCCATGCTATGCCGGTGACCCACGTGTCTGACTTTGGCCCTGTCCCAGTGGGTAGAAAACGGGGCGGCAGGACCTGTGTTGCCTCTGCCCTTATCTCTGCCCTCCAAGCATTTTGGGGGTGTTGTCTGCCTGGGTGTGGTCCAGTTGTATCAGGAGTAAAGGGCGCCTGTGGTTCTGAACGCAGACTGCTCTGGCTAAGGTTCCCCTGCCGGGGCATGACACCACCCCAGTCTCTGAGCATGGCATCTCCACGCCAGGGCCTCCGTGTGCAGGGTCCCCTGCCCTGGTCCCTGTCATCGTTGCGCAGATGGGAGAGCTGGAGGTTCAGGTTGCCAGGATGACCCTCACGTGTCCCAGGCTATCAAAGACCCATGGGCAGGGCCATGCAAGACTCCATCCTGGGTCGTCTGGCCGCTATTGCGGTGGAGTCCCTGGGCTTCCTTCTCTGGGGCAGGCTGCTGTCTGTGGTGCTGAAGCACATGACGCCCTCTATCTCATCCTTTTTGGGGCGAGGGCTGGAGCTCTCAGATCTCATGGACATCGTCTGGGAGAACTGGCTGGTCTCTGTCACCTGGGGGAAAGGGATGTCCCCATCTGACTCCCACTTTTCCATGACATAGCCTGGGAACTGTGGCTTTAGGGTTCCGTATCACTGCTAGCTGTGGGAGCTGGGAGCTGTCTCATGGCTGCAGATCAGAGCTAGTATTCTTTGGAAAGCAAGGAGGCCTTGGCAGTGTGCTGATGTGGTGATTGGTTAGCAGGTGACAGGTTCGAGGGCAGGGCTCTTAGAGGGGGGACTGAGCTGGGCTTCCAGGAGAGCATATGGGTGGGGGGTCCTTCCAGCCGGACTGCGGGGGCACGCCCCTTCATTGACATGCCCAACCTCGGCTAACTGATAGGGCATGCTGGCTTGGAGGTTCTCTCCTGGGAAACGTAAGAGAATGTCGAGGCCCCCCCAGATTCTCCAGACAGACCCTGCTGCCCCTCCCCTGAGTCTCCCATCATCTCCTCTCCCTCTCTGCTTTTTTCTCCTTCCCTCTCCCTAACTGCTGTTTTCATAGCGCGTTCTCCGTACTTACGGCTCTCCCCCATCTCTCCTCATGCCTGTCCTCATAGCAATCACAAGGCTAGCCTTCCCCCTGCAGACCAGTGTAGGAGAGGACGGGGCCCTGCCTGTTCACTGGCCTCCAAGTCACAGGCAAACTGTTTGCTTCCAGGGACAGTATCCTTCTGGTGGGGCATGCTTTGCCTGTAAACACCCTCATCTCCATATAAATGGGCCATTTTCTGCTTGTACAGTCAGGAAACAAAATCAAGGAGTCAATTTGAAGAGCTGCCTAATTTACCTTTTCTACCATTGAGATGGAGTGGCTGCCCTGGAAACAGGCTTGTACCGTGGTGGCCTCTGGAGAGCTGGTCCTCATGGCGCCCCTTAATCTCAGGCTTCACTTGACTAAAGGGTGCGGGAGGATGGATCAGCTCCCGCTTGGAGCTTTTTCTCGTATACTTTGGTTTTCTACTCTGGTCATCATGGCCTCTACCGGGAGTTGCCATCACGCTTCCAACATCCACCACGTCCGAAGCAGAAGCCGAGCTTGCCCAGGGCTCGCCACACCACCCTTCACCTGCCCCGGGGAATTCTGGTTTCAGTCAAGATGACCTCTGCCATTCAGTCAGTCACCTCTGCTCATGCCCGCTCTTCAGTGCGCCGCGGGTGGAGGAAGACGGTGGCGGCTGAGCAACTTACATGGCAGGCCCTGCTGCCCCAGGTCTCCGACGTTCCGGGGTGTCCGGTACCCTCACCGTTCCCCCCGTCTTTTCCAGGGGAGCAATGACGAGCTGTCGGAGAACGAGGAGGATCTGGAAGAGAAGTCAGAGAGTGAAGGCAGCGATTACTCCCCCACCAAGAAGAAGAAGAAGAAGCTGAGGGAGAAGAAGGAGAAGAAAGCCAAGCGGAAAAAGAGGGATGAAGACGAGGATGATAACGACGACGGATGTTTGAAGGTAACTGCTGGGACCAGGGCCAGGCAGGAGGGTGGAGGCGTCCTTGGAGCCAGGGTCGGCGGGGGGTGCACACAGAGCTCTCTGCACGTGGAAGTCAGGCATGGGTCAGGAGGGACCCGTAGGGAGAAGTCTCAGCGAGGCAGGGATAGCTTAGGAGTTTGTGGCCACCACCATGGTGCGGGTGGGGTGCTGGTGTCTTGCTGATGGATTGGGACTGCTCTTGGCCACAGCTTGCCCACCGGAGCACGCAGCTGTTTCTGCAGAGAATGATGCATGGAGAGAATGATACCCATGTGAGCTCGTGTTTGGTGTCGGGAACCACTGGGCAGCCCCCGAGTGGCCAGCTCTGCCTGGGTACTTGGTGCACTCTGAAGTTCTGCCCGTGTGGGCGTTCCTCCAGTCTCCATGAACTTGGAGCTGCACGGCTGTGACTGTAACGGGCCTGGCTGTCCTTTGGACATAAGCATTTTTTTTTGTCACAAAGCAAGTCAGGGCATCACAGTTGAACTGAGGCCATCCTCTGGGCTGTGAGGTGTGTGGGTGGGCGACCTCATGTCACCAGGAATAGTCTGTGAGCTACGGTGCGGCACCGTAAACATCAACACAGTCGCGGTTGGGCGGCTGCTTGCTGTGAATGATTGAAGACTGGAGTCCTTAGGGGAGCAGTGCTTACTTGGGGGTGTCCTGACACCCAGCACGATCCCATTAGTCACTGGTGGGTGTGCTGTGAATCAGCTGTGACTGGTAATAGCCTTGGGAACAGTTCTGGGAAATTAACTTCCATGGGCTGTTGAGGAGTACCAGTGACAGCCCGTGTTCCCTAGAGGTGCCTTCAGGAACGGCTGCGTGTTCCCTAGGGGGCAGGTTGGCCATGGGAGGGTGTTCCCCATGGAACTACCTCTAAGCTGTTGTGGAACCAGGTTCCCAAGCACTCTTGCATTGCGGGCTTTTTCTGGGACATAGGTACTGGGGACCAGGGAAGGTTTGTGCACCAGCTGGGTGGCCCTCCACTGCAGGGACTGGAAGTCAGCTTCCAAGGGGACTTAAGGGTCAGGGCAGATGGTTCTGCCTGGCATTCACTGGTGTCACCCAAGGCTGTAAACATTCCTTTCTCTCCTTTGTGGGCGGAGGTCTGTGTCCCCTGGCAAGGTCAGGAACTGTGGCAGAGAAAGGGGGTGTTGTGCTGATTGACTTAATGGGTGAAGGCTGGGGTTGGTGGGGACAGCTCAAGTTTACCTGGAAGAGACTGTGTGTGTGTGTGGGGGGTGTGGGTTCTGTAATAACAGCCACTAAGACATTCATCCCTTTCCCAAGCACGTATGAGGCAGAATGAGGAGACTTGAGGCAGAAGGGTGAGCTAATCTGTCTATCTCTCGCTGCTGCTGGTATCTGGGAGAGCCATGGTTAGCACCGGCTGCTCTTCCAGAGGACCTGAGTTCAATTCCCAGCACCCAAATTGTGGCTCCCAACTGCAGCTCTGGTGTCAGGGGGATCTGTCAAGCAGGTCTACATGTGGTGCAGAGACATACTGTAGACAAAACATTCATATACGTAAAAATTAAAATAGCTGGGTGTGGGGCTGGAGAGATGGCTCAGAGGTTAAGAGCACTGACTGTTCTTCCAAAGGTCCTGAGTTCAATTCCCAGCAACCACATGGTGACTCACAACCATCTACAATTCAATTGGGTGCCCTCTTCTGGCATGTAGGCAAAATACTGTATATGTAATAAATAAATAAATCTTTAAAAAAAATAGCTGGGTGTGGTAGCAAACGCCTTTAATCCCAGTAGAGGCAGGAGGGTCTCTGAATTCGAGGCTGGCCTGGTCTACCTAGCGAGTTCCAGGACAGCCCTGAGACACTGTCACTCAAATTAAAAATAAATTATGAACTTCTCCATATCCAGCTTTTCATCTGATCCCTGTCCACTAGGCCATCTTGTCCTCTAGCTCTCTGACCTCTGGGATGGCCCTGTTGAACACCCACAAGGGCCCTTAGGGATATCACAACCTCATCTGGGACTCGCCACCGCCCCAGTCCCATCGCTCTGTCCCATTCTCCCAGAACAGCCTGGGCTTGTCTCTGGCCTGTTTCCCCCTGGCCGTCTGCTTTCCACTTTGTGGAGAAACACATGTGACCTTTCCCCAGTGTCAACATTCAAACTCACAGCATCCTGCACACGCCGGCATCCGAGATACACGCCACTGGTGGCGGGGTTGGCGGCGGTACAGGTGGGCGAGGCCTTCTGGTGCCCCAGTGGTAGGTGAGAGCTGTTCTTAGGTTGCAGATTGCCTTCTCTCCCCTCTCTCAGAGCAAGGAGGCAGGCCAGAGGCCTCTGCCCCCTGATGCCACCTCTGGCCGTGTCTCTGCAGGAGCCCAAGTCCTCGGGGCAGCTCATGGCGGAGTGGGGCCTTGATGATGTCGACTACCTGTTCTCAGAGGAAGACTACCACACGCTGACCAACTACAAGGCTTTCAGCCAGTTCCTCCGGTGGGCCAGGGGCTGGCTGCTGTGGCCGGGGTGGGGGGGGGTTGTGCTTGCCTGAGGGACACCAAGTCGAGGGGCGGGGAGGTGGGCGGAGAGGCAGCCGGGGCTCCTTAGTGAGGGGTTACCAGAGCAACCAGTGACCTGGGAAGGGCTTGGGATCAGGATCCCTTCATCTTAGCATGGCAGATGACAGGGCCCTGTCCTGGGTCCTCCTGTGGGGAAGGGCCCGCTGTAGGCTCCTCTCTGGTCTGCAGCCCGGACAGAAGCGTACAGTGTGATGGGGTGCTCCCTGGTGTCATTCTTTGTCTTTTCCCTGTCCGGCTTTCTGCCCAGTTTCTCTAGCCAGGATAGTGGGGCCCGGCCACACCTCACAGGTGTAGGGAGGCGGGGTGGTCCCTCCCTCACCTTCCTGTCTCCCCCCCCCCCACAGGCCGCTCATTGCCAAGAAGAACCCGAAGATCCCCATGTCCAAAATGATGACTGTCTTGGGGGCCAAGTGGCGAGAATTCAGCGCCAACAACCCATTTAAGGGTAGCTCGGCGGCAGCGGCCGCGGCAGCTGTGGCCGCCGCCGTGGAGACTGTGACCATCGCTCCTCCACTGGCCGTCAGTCCCCAGCAGGTGCCCCAACCTCTGCCCATCCGCAAGGCCAAGACCAAAGAGGGCAAGGGTAAGGCTGTGGGCGAGTGGGCACTGAGACCTGTCTGGCAGATCTGCCTCCCTCCCCCCGCCCTGATCCTGGGGGCTCTCCTTATGGAGGACCCGCTCTTTTCTGTGACCTCAGGCTAATTCCCCCCTTTCTTCTGTCCTGTCTCCTGTTGGGGACAGTGGGGGAGCGGAGGAGTTGTGGATGGGTCTTTGGGAGTTAACACCTACCTGCCCAACTACCCCCACACTCTGTGGGCATGGGGGGCGGGAGGGGGTGGTCCACAGCGTGCACGTACTCCAGCCCACCCCAGCCCCTGCTGTGGTTGTGGAGGTCCACAGATGGAGTAGCTCCAGTCCTGGACTTAAGAGAAGTTTGGGGCAATGTGGACTTAGCCTTCTGACCCTCTCATGGGAGCCCCTTCTGCGTCAGGGGCTTTGTGTGTCGAGTCCCTGCGCAGGGACGTCTCAGGACTGAGTGTAAACCAGGGGCTGCAAGGATTTAGCAAGGAGGCCCAGGTCCAGTCTGACTCCAGGCTGATGGGATGGGAGCGAGGGCAAGCAGGATTTTTCTGCTTGGGAAGTTCTGGTGCTCGAGGGCTTGGAGACTTTAACTCCTCTGTACTCTGTGTTCTGTGTTCTGATGGACTGAGAGGAGTCTGGGCACCCCATGTGTCAGCCCCGCAGAGTTTTGGTGTCCAGGACAACGCTGAGTGTCGTGTCTGGCACCTCTATTTTATGTCTCAGAGAGTACCTGGTGGGTGAGTGCCTGGCGCTCCCTGCTTCTCCTGTCCCATATATATATATTTTTTGTTTTGTTTTTGTTTTTTTGAGACAGGGTTTCTCTGTATTGTTTTGGAGGCTGCTCTGTAGACCAGGCTGGCCTCGAACCTCGAACTCACAGAGATCCGCCTGCCTCTGCCTCCCGAGGCGCTGGGATTAAAGGCGTGTGCCACCAACGCCCAACCCTCCTGTCCCATCTTTGTGTCACCCCCCCCAATCTCTCCTACATAACCGTTGATGCCCCGAGCGGCCGGTTCAGAGCGCAAAAGATTCAAATAGCTTTTCTGTGGCACGTCCTGGGTGCAGCTCGGTCCCCATCTTCACATCCTCAAGTGTGGCGTATCCATGGGAGAACTGGGCAAGGCCACCTGGCAGGGGTGTGGATCCTGCCCCATGCCTTCCTCTGGCAGCCCAGGATGGGCTGCTGGGATGGGGACAGGGTCGTTATCCCCTAAGTGGCGCCAGCTGCACACACGCGCGCGCACGCGCGCGCGCGCGCGCACACACACACACACACACACACGAAGATTCCAGCCTGTAGCCTGGGGTGATAGGAAAGTTGGGGGTAGCCGTGGGAGGTGCCTTGAGCCCATGGTTTGGGAGGCTCGTGGCCTGGCTTTCGCTACCAGGATGAGACTCTAGGGACCCCGGATGGCAGGTGGGCAGAGTTGCTTCGGCGGCCCGCCCTGCTGGCACGGAAGCCGAGGGGCTCCTCGGAAGCAAGTCAGTTGGGTTAGGGTAGAGGCTGTCCTCAAGTTGGTAGGCATTCCCTAGTGTCCACAGCCGATGACAGCATGCGGCGTTCAAGACAGACAGAGTAGAGTCAGGCTGGTGTCCTCATTACTCCCCGTGTGACCTAGGCAGGGGCTGCGCCTGTCTCCTCACCAGAAAAGGGGTGAGGGGACACGTGGCCTGGTCCTCACTGGGGTGTTGGGGGCTCAGTGAAGCGGTGGGGGGGGGAATGGGCCACCAGTGACAGTGTCGGTCACCGCAGCCCTTGTCACAATGCCCAGGGCCCGGCGTGAGGAAGAAGAACAAAGGCGCCAAAGACTCCAAGAAAAAGGGGCGGGGCAAGCGAGTGGCGGCGGGGCTCAAGTTCCGCTTTGGTGGGATCAGCAAGAGGAAGAAGGGTTCCTCGGTGAGTGTGTGCATGTGTGTATGCATGCTTGAGTGTGTGCATGTGTGTGCATGTTTATGTGTGTGCATGTGTGTGCATGCTTGAGTGTGTGTGCATGTTTCAGTGTGTGTATGTGAGTGTGAGCATGTGTGTGCATGCTTGAGTGTGTGTGCATGTGGGTGTGTGTGCATGTGTGTGTGCATGCTTGAGTGTGTGTGCATGTGTGTGTGCAGTGTGTGCATGTGTGTGCATGTTTCAGTGTGTGCATGTGTGTGCATGCTTGAGTGTGTGTGCATGTGTGTGCATGCTTGAGTGTGAGCATGTGTGTGTGCATGCTTGAGTGTGTGCATGTGTGTGCATGTTTATGTGTGTGCATGTGTGTGTGCAGAGGAAGAAGGGTTCCTCGGTGAGTGTGTGCATGTGTGTGTGCATGCTTGAGTGTGTGCATGTGTGTGTGTGCAGTGTATGCATGTGTGTGCATGTTTCAGTGTGTGTATGTGAGTGTGAGCATGTGTGTGCATACTTGAGTGTGTGCATGTGTGTGCATGTTTCAGTGTGTGTATGTGAGTGTGAGCATGTGTGTGCATGCTTGAGTGTGTGCATGTGTGTGCATGTTTATGTGTGTGCATATGTGTGTGTGCAGAGGAAGAAGGGTTCCTCGGTGAGTGTGTGCATGTGTGTGTGTGCATGCTTGAGTGTGTGCATGTGTGTGTGCAGTGTATGCATGTGTGTGCATGTTTCAGTGTGTGTATGTGAGTGTGAGCATGTGTGTGCATGTTTGAGTGTGTGTGCATGTGGGTGTGTGTGCATGTGTGTGTGCATGGTTGAGTGTGGAGAAGAGTTTCTTGGTGTGTGTGCATGTTTGAATGTGCATGGGCATATGTGTGTGTATATGTGTGCATGTTTGAGTGTGTGTGCATGTATGTGCATGGTTGAGTGTGTGGAGAATCGTGTGTGTGTGAGAGAGAGAGTGGGGCGGGGAGCGTGCTTGTATGTGCACAAGGGGGTGAGGGGAGGGCTGTTTTGACCAGAGTGTGGGCCACATTCATTTTCCGGGCCAACTGAGGCGAGCCCTGCACCCTTCTCCCAAGCCCTGCACGCACCTCAGTTTCCCTGTTATTGGTGTGGACTGGACTCTTCCAAGGGCCCATGGAGCTTAGATCTGGCCACCTTGTTGACTGGGAGCTCGTCTGTGGCTGGGCTGTCCGCAGCCCGGGGATCAGCTGGGCCTTCACGGGTGTGCCCGGAGGGTGGAGCCCTGGGAGGTGGCCTGTTTGACCAGGCTGGCTCCCCTAGCCTGTGTCTCATCCTTCTCTCCCCATGGGGACATCTTCTCACCTCACCCCTGCTGGGCAGACGTCACATCTCCCAGCCCTGCGGAGGGGCAGAGAAGAGGGCTGAAGCTTTTCTGTGTCACTTGGGGGACGGGGGCAAGTGCCAGGTCGTGGGGTTGGCTGCTCTTGAAGGAGCAGGACCCTGTCCTAAGTGTAGCAGGCCCGCTCAGCTCCTAAGAAGCCATGAATCCACCAGACATGTGCACTGAGAGAGACAGAGAGATCTATGGAGATTCCCTAGGGGAGGGGTTCTTAGGGCGGCCCTTGAAGGATGTGTAGGAGTTTGGCAGTTGGAGGTCAGAGCCTGGGGAAGCTGTGTGGAGCAGGAATGTGGAGGCATCGGAGGACTGGAGAGCAGGAGGGTGGTGGATCTTCCTGACCCTGCCCTACCCAAACGGTCAACCCGATCTCCTTCCCTGCAGAGCGAAGAGGATGAGCGTGAGGAGTCAGATTTGGACAATGCCAGCATCCACAGCTCTTCCGTGCGCTCAGAGTGCTCGGCAGCTCTGGGCAAGAAGAGCAAGAGGAGGCGCAAGAAGAGGAGGAGTAGGGGTCCTCTCTGAGGGGCGGGGTTCTTCTCGGGGGGCGGGGATTCCCTCCGAGGGGCGGAGTTCTTCTCTGAGGGGCGGAGTTCCTCTGGGGGGGCGGGATTCTCTCCGAGGGGCGGGGTTCTTCCCTGGGGGGCGGGATTCTCTCTGAGGGGGCGGGGCTTTTCCACGATCGGGGAGGGCGTGCAGAGTCGAAGGGCATCCTCTTGCCCCAGGCTCTCCCAGTCTCAGCCAGGCAGCCTCCGTGAGCTCCCTCAGCCACCCTTGCCCACTGTCTTGTCCTAGGCAGGGAGAAATAGAAAGCTGTAAGAAGCCCTAGCAGAGTGGGGAGTGGAGGAGACACTTAAACTCACTCCATCCCCCATCAGTTACCCCACCAAATACCCCACCAAACACCCAACCCCCACCTCCCCTCTCCTCCTCTCTTTGGCCTTTGGCGAGACGGGGGGGGGGTCTCACTACGTCTCTAGTTGGTCTAGAACTTGCTATGTAGACAGGGCTGGTCTCGAACTCACAGAGATGCTCCTGCCTCTGCCTCCCAGGCTCTGGGATTAAAGGCGTGCGCCCTCCCTGCTAGTCTTTCTCCCTGTGTGCTCACTGGCCTTCCTTCCTTCCTTCCTTCCTTCCTTCCTTCCTTCCTTCCTTCCTTCCTTCCTTCCTTCCTTTCTTCCTTCCTTCCTCCCTTCCTCCCTCCCTTTTTATCCATCTGTCCGCCTTGACACTCCACAGCCACCCCCGATAAGCTCTTCACTCCCTTGGGTCTGTCTACGCATCCGCTTGGAATCGGTGCAGCACCTTCCACGCGGCCAGCCTGTCCCCCCGGGGCAGCGGGCACGGTTGTGGTTGTGCGTGGCAGGCCGGGCCCCCATCACTGCCTCTCTCCCCCTTCCCCCCCCCCAGTTGATGACGGCGACGGCTATGAGACAGACCACCAGGACTACTGTGAAGTGTGCCAGCAGGGCGGGGAGATCATTCTGTGTGACACGTGCCCGAGGGCCTACCACCTGGTCTGCCTGGACCCGGAGCTGGAGAAGGCTCCCGAGGGCAAGTGGAGCTGCCCACACTGTGTAAGCCGCGGCTGCGGGCCGGATCGGGGGGCGAGGGGTGGGCACCGCGCCATCGCCTGGGGGGGGCTGGTGCCTGGGGGAGAAGGCCCCGCCCAAGCTTGACCCACCTGGACCCTTGTCCTCTCCCCCCCCCCCGCAGGAGAAGGAGGGGATCCAGTGGGAGCCGAAGGACGATGACGAGGAGGAGGAGGAAGGCGGCTGTGAGGAGGAGGAGGACGATCACATGGAGTTCTGCCGCGTGTGCAAGGACGGTGGCGAGCTCCTGTGCTGCGACGCCTGTCCCTCCTCCTACCATCTGCACTGCCTCAACCCGCCGCTGCCCGAGATCCCGAACGGTGAATGGCTCTGCCCGCGCTGTACTGTGAGTGTTAACGCCTGCCCCGCCCCGCCCCGCCCCGCCCCGCCCACCTGACCCTGAGCCCGCCCTCTGCTGGCCCAGGCCACGCCCCCATCAAACTCACCCACCCAGCCTGCCCTCTTCCGAATCCCCCTAGGACTGTTGATTGAGAGTTTATTCTGAGCTAAGAACCACGCATTCCTACTGGGAACTGAACCCGAGAGGACTCACACTGGGCTATAACTCTATCCCTTGATGGACTTGTCAAAAATTATTTTGGGCTTGGAATCCAGTGCCTCTCTGCCAGGCAAGATCTTACCCCATGAGCTACACCCAAGCTCGTCTTCAGCAGGAAAACGAGGCTCAGGGAGGCATAGTGGCTTGCCACACGCTTGGATTCCGGTCCCTAGGCACCCTGGACCTGGTGTTCCCAGGCTGGGTTAGGGACAGAGGGGTGGCCCCATAGCCTGGAGTCTCAGTTTACGAAGGGAGAGAGGAACGTTGTCCCCGAGTCCCGTGACTGGAGTCCCTGTGTGCATCTGAAGACACCACGTGGGAGATTTTCTGTCCCCCAGTACTGGGTGCCCCACCCCATAGGTTCTGGGCTCTTCCGCAGCCTCCCTCAGCCTTGTGCATACACCTGGGCCATGCTGTGTCTGTGTCCCTGTCTGTGTAGGGGACGCAGAGCCCCTTTGATGGGAGTAGCCTTCTTAGCTCTCCTGAGAACACTCCTCCTTGGGGTAGTGCCTAGCTCTCCTGGGTTCCTCCCTGCAGGAGGTGGGGCCAGGTGGGCCTGTGGCCTGGGAAGGGAGTCCTTCTACACCCCTGGAGTCCAAGAGACTCTGCCTTCCTATCTCGCCCCCTTCTCCTTTGCCCAAACTCAGAGGCCCCGGTATGATTGGCTCTGGGGCATGGGGTGCACATCGAATGTCCTCGCCTGTGCTTGGACACCAACAGTCCTTGGGGGCACAGGAGGAGAGGCCGCTTTTTACAGGCAAGGGAACAGGCTGATGGGAAGTGTCCTTAGGTGCCTGGGTGGACGGTGGCCAGAGCTAAGACCTGTCCTCCACGACAGAGCCGTCTCCCAAAGTTTGCCCTCTCTCTTCAGTCCAGCCAGTGAGGGTCACGGCCACACCAGGCTATCTCGGGGTTAGCCCAGAGCACGGGTGCTGAGGTGGGCCTGTGGCTTCACTCTGCTCTGCCAGCCGGCGGCTCCCTGGAGTCGTCCCATGGCTCTTTAGGGCCTGAGTGTGTGTGGGCGAGGGGGATTTGACCTTCTTACTCCAGCCAGCTCAGAGGCACAGGGCTGCATGCAGCCCTGCTGGGGGAGGGGGGGTGAGGAATTGGCCAGGGCCAATCCTGTGGCTGCTCGTGGGTCAGGATGTGATGTGATCGCTCTTAGGGCTCCAGGCAGGGCATGAGGTAATGTGTGCTGCATGGATGGAGAAGTCGGGAGTCTTGTCTCCTTGCTGTGTGGGTTTTCATTCCCCTTCTGCCCTGTGTGTGTGTAGTGGGCTCAGCCAGATTCTGAGGATGCTGGCCGTCAGGTTGTCAAGTGCTTGAGCCCAAGCACGCAGAGCAGCCCTTGACGCACTGTTTGGGCTTGGGAACCTGTGTGACGGTACCGTCGCGGGGAGCTTCAGGGTAGAGCCTTGTGACCGTGGCTGTCGCAGGAGCTTCAGGGTAGAGCCTTGTGACCGTGGCGACCATGCTCTCTGTTCACAGTGTCCCCCGCTGAAGGGCAAAGTTCAGCGGATCCTGCACTGGAGGTGGACCGAACCCCCAGCTCCCTTTATGGTGGGGCTGCCAGGGCCGGAGGCGGAGCCAGGCATGCCCCCACCCAAGCCTCTGGAGGGCATCCCTGAGAGAGAGTTCTTTGTCAAGTGGGCTGGGCTCTCTTACTGGCACTGCTCCTGGGTGAAGGAGCTGCAGGTGAGGCGCCCCAGGCAGTGTGCTGATACTTGGCTTGGTATGATCAACCAGGGGCCCTCCTGGGTGGGCAAGCAAAGGGGGCTGGTGCGGGCCGTTGAGATGCCCTCGGGCGTGGGCGGGGAGCTGAGGAGGGAGGGGGCTTATCCATCCCACCTAGGATAGGGCTGGGGGCTGACGGCAGGGTCAGGGACCGGGGCGAGCAGCCCATGTCCCTTTGGTGACGCCTCTGTGAGCAGCTGGAGCTGTACCACACCGTGATGTACCGCAACTATCAAAGAAAGAATGACATGGACGAGCCGCCGCCCTTCGATTACGGCTCCGGTGACGAGGACGGCAAGAGCGAGAAGCGGAAAAATAAGGACCCTCTCTACGCCAAGATGGAGGAGCGCTTCTACCGCTACGGCATCAAGCCCGAGTGGATGATGGTCCACCGCATCCTGAACCACAGGTGAGGGTGGCGGGCAGGATCCGCCACGCCACGCTATGACAGCGGGTGCCGCGGGGGCCAGGCTTGCCCAGGGATGGGCGCAGTGTTGCAGGAGGAGGGGCAGAGACGCGGAGCTGCGGGTTAACTAACAGCTGCCCGGCCAGGAGGGCCACTCGCCTGCACAGAGGTAGCCCCCCGCGCTCAACATTCTCATTTTCAGTAGGGACGGTCCCAGAGGTGTGCCGACGAAGGGGGAGGTGGTGAACAGTCTGGGAAACTTGTGCAAAGCGGGGTCTCTGTGGGGCGGGGCGGGGGCCCTGTGCCGATCCCAGGATCCTTCCAAAGTAGGCAGTGAGTTCGGCAGGATGGTTCTGTCCAGCTCAAAAAGAAGTAAATCTAAGAAAAGAATGTGTTCAGCAAGGCCGAGACATCTGCCAGGAGCCGCACAGCTGAGGCTGCAGGGTTGGGAACTGGACCCAGTCAGTGCCTTTTGGTGCTTGCTGGCATTTTCTTAGCCAGGATCTCTTACGCCTGCCTGTGCCACCTCTCACGAAAGTCTGGCATTCCCAGGTGCTTAGTGGTCAGAGAAGCCAGGGCAAGGAGGCCCAGCAGGAGGGTGTAGGCTGGGGGACAGTGGGTGGCGTGACCCCCTGCTGACTCCGGAGCACAGAGGACAGGTGGTGGCCTTGTGAAGGGTCCTGAGTACCTGTCACACGGCGGCAGCTTGCAATCCCTGCCTGTTCACAGCTCTCTCTCTGTCTTCTGGCTTGGGATGGGTGGCCTTCCCACTCTGTCCCCGACCACAGGCCCTGTTGACAGTTATTGTGGGGGCAGAGGAGGTTGAGACCCTCTGTGACTGTGGACTTCTGAGCTGGTCCCCATGTCACCTGAGTGCTGGGTGGCTGAGGGGCTGCTAAGGCCTTGCTGGAGTGGTCCGGAGGGAACAGGAAATCTTACCGGCTGTGAAGTACCCTGTCCATCCCCAGACTTCAGATGGTACCCGAGCTGCGCCTTGGATTGACTGCTTTCCCCTTTGCTTTTATTAAAATGCATGCTGAAGAAAAGAGGACTTTCCTCTGCGCCCCCCAAAGAGGAGCCGCTGAATCTCCCAGAGTGTGTATAACGACAGATTATTTGTTGGAAATAAGCCACCGGTTTCCATGGTGACTGGGAATTGGCCTCACTCTTCAGGATCCTTAGGACACCTGTAGCCACAGCTCCCCAGTCCATTTGCCCTTACTCTTGCCATTTAGGGGTGCTGCGGCTCCCTGGTTTTGTTGGGCTCTCCTGGCCTGGCTGTTGAGTCTACTCAGATGAAGGAGGAGACCTTGAGGGTTCTTTGAGTGGCCACTGTGGGGCGTGGTCATTGGGTTCTCATGTCCCTGGGGACCTTCAGAAGAGGGTGTCCCCATCTGCAGGGATTATTGACTCTTTGCCTGCTTTGTAGGAAAGGACCCCCACCCTGGACCGATACGCAAGACACTTTGACATTTTCCGTTAGAAAATGAAGTCTGAGCAGGGGAAGACCCATGGCGTCATTTCCCTTGCTCAGATTATGTATGACATCACTTCCCAAGTTCGTATTATGTATGACGTCACTTCCAGTTTTCAGATGATGTGTGACGTCATTTCCTGTGTTCAGATTACATAGAGGGTGGACTCACCCCTGCAGCAGAGGCTGGAAAGGACACTGGTTGCGGCTTCTTAGCTCTCTGTTAGCACAGCTTCCCGTTGTCCCTGTCTCCCCGTGTTGGCCGCTTTCCCCAACCTTCATCTCTTTGTGCGAGCCGCGTGGCATTGGGCAAGCTACTACACCTCTCTAGGGCCCTTGCCCCGGTGCCCTCCTCCTGGTTGGGCCCCGAATGCTAGGACAGCATGGACACGAGTGGATTGGCATCTTAGTGGGGCCCTGCCTGGGACCTGTGCCCGGGCCTCCCCCTGTATCTTCTGCCTCCCGTGTTTCAGCTTTGACAAGAAGGGGGACGTGCATTACCTGATCAAGTGGAAGGATTTGCCCTATGACCAGTGCACCTGGGAGATTGACGACATCGACATCCCCTACTACGACAACCTGAAGCAGACCTACTGGGGCCACAGGTGTGCCGAGCGCTGGCAGCCAGGTGCGGGGTCCTGGGGGGTCCCCTCTTGGCCTTGAGTTTTGCTCGTCTGAGCCCGATGCTTCTACCCCAGGGAGTTGATGCTGGGAGAGGACGCCAGGATTCCCAAGAGGCTGGTCAGGAAGGGCAAGAAGCTGAAGGACGACAAACAAGAAAAGCCACCGGACACGCCCACCGTGGATGTGAGCCGAGAGGGAGCAAACACTAGTGTCGGACTGCCAGGTTCACCACCCGAGGCATGGCAGTACAGGGAGGTCTCTTCTCAGGGGCCCTACCTCAGGCCGCACAGCCGGCTGTTTTCAGTGACACTGAGGCTGTGCGGGCCAGTGGGGAGAGTCCACTGGTGTGGACCTCAGAGATCCGCCTGATTCTGCCTCTTGACTCCTGGGATTAAAGACAGGCACCATTATGCAGGACCTCCCCCCCTGCATGTTTTAAGGAGCCCACCCTGGGCTGGGGGTGGAGCTTGGTTTGCAGATTGCTTGCCTAGCATATATAGGTCCTGGGGCTCAGTCGTTAGTGTGGCTGGAGCCGGGTCCAGTGGGGCACACCTTTGACCCCAGCACTCAGGATCAGAAGTTCAGGGTCATCCTCAGCCACATAGTTGAGTTTGAGGCCAGCCCGGGCTACAGGAGACTTATCAGAAAGCAAGCAAACAAATAAGCCAGCAGCAGCAACAACCAGAAACCCAGAAAGACCAGGGCCCACAGTGGGGCCCTTATTGGGAAAGTGACCTGGAGATATAGGACAGAAGGGGTCACAGAGGTGACATGCCGGTTAAGAGCCACGCTCTGGGGCGGGTGTTAGGACAGGGAGCCAGGGGGTGTTTCTTGGAAGGAGAGACCTTCTAGGCCAGACCCTAAGCAGAGTGAGGCTGGCCCAGAGGCGCAGGGAGAGCGTCTTAGACAGGAGGAGTTGGGCCTGACTCTGGTGGCCCAGGATTCAGGGTGCATCCGATTCTTACCTCCCCCTCCCACAGCCCACAGTCAAGTTCGACAAGCAGCCGTGGTACATCGACTCCACGGGAGGCACGCTGCACCCTTACCAACTGGAGGGCCTCAACTGGTTACGTTTCTCCTGGGCCCAGGGCACTGACACTATCCTGGCTGACGAGATGGGTTTGGGCAAGACGGTGCAGACCATTGTGTTTCTCTATTCCCTGTACAAGGAGGTGGGCAGGCAGGAGGGCAGGCGGGGTCTGGGCAGGCTGGGTCTGGGCAGGCAGGAGGGCAGGCGGGGTCTGGGCAGGCTGGGTCTGGGCAGGCAGGAGGGCAGGCGGGGTCTGGGCAGGCTGGGTCTGGGCAGGCAGGAGGGCAGGCGGGGGTCTGGGCAGGCGGGGTCTGCTGCCCTCTGCTGGCAGCCAGCTTCACCGCCTCAGGCTCTCTCTGCAGGGCCACTCCAAGGGGCCTTACCTGGTTAGCGCGCCCCTGTCCACCATCATCAACTGGGAACGTGAGTTTGAGATGTGGGCGCCTGACTTTTACGTGGTCACCTACACGGGGGACAAGGAGAGCCGCTCTGTGATCCGTGAGAACGAGTTTTCCTTCGAGGACAACGCCATTCGCGGCGGGAAGAAAGTATTCCGCATGAAGGTGAGCGCTGTCTTTGCCCCGGGCCCCAGGAGGCAATGCCTGCTATGGGGCCACTGATCCCTGCAGTGCCCAGGTTCTCGTGCCCAGCCACAGTTGTTCTGTCCTGACGTAAGGGAGCGTCATCAACTGCAGCTTAGCTTCATGGAGAGCTGCTTTTTTTTTTTTTTTTTTTTTTTTTTTTGGTTTTTCGAGACAGGGTTTCTCTGTAGCTTTGGAGGCTGTCCTGGAACTCACTTTGTAGACCAGGCTGGCCTCGAACTCACAGAGATCCGCCTGCCTCTGCCTCCCGAGTGCTGGGATTAAAGGCGTGTGCCACCAACGCCCGGCCAGGAGAGCTGCTTTTGCCTGCCTGGAAGCCAGCTGGTCAGCGAGGCTCCCTCTGAGGCTCCGGGAGGCATCCGTCTTTTCCATCTCTTCCAGCTTGTGGCATCTTGAGGATTGCCTGGCTTGTGGCTACGTTATCTCTGTCCCTGCCTCCGTTGTTGCCTGGCATCCTTGTCCTCGGGTGTGGTCCCTCTCATACACACGCCACTCATGTTGGCTCGAGAGCTACTCAGGCCTTAGCTAGCCAGCTCACCCTTACCTGCCAAGTCTTGTTTCGTAGGCGGAATAAAGACGGTCAGGTGGATGTGGACAGAGAGGCAGTGTTTATCCCCGCAACACCCGCACCCGGCCGTGTGTGTCGGGCCTTGGTGCTTCTCTGTGCCTCGGAGCCTGCTCAGTGGAACGGAGCCATCAGCTCCAGCCTGCAGAGCTTTCAGAGCTTTCGGGAGGACCAGGAGTCAGTGCATAGTGGGTGTGGCCTGCAGAACTGGGGGGGGGGCGGACCAGGAGTCAGTAAATAGTGGCCGTGGCCTCTTGGTGTCTTCCTTCACTGTGCCTTAATCCTGGGGGTCTTGTCACTGGGCAGGCTCTGACCCAGAAGCTCTTGGGATGACAGTGTGCACTTTTAAAATGTCCAAACTGGGCTCGGTGAGATGACTCAGCGGGTAAAGGGGCTTGCCGAGCAGGCCTGAGCGTGTGAGTTTCATGCTTGGAACTCATGTACAAAAGCCAGTGTCTGTGATCCCAGCAACTCTTAGGACAAAGTGGGAGGCAGAGACAGACTAGCTGTCCAGGCTTGACTTCATGACTCAGGGGTCTCTGTGGAAGAGGGGGTTGGTTCTAGGAGCCAGAGGTGGGTGAATACTTCAGGAAAACAGCGTGTTCGGGGTACAAGGGGGCAGACACGTAAACGAACTCACAGGGACTGCGACAGCACACGCAAGACCCACACAAGCTCGGGTGAGCGCAGAGGAAGGAGCCAGCCCAAAGCCCCGCCCCCTAGCCAGGAAGCCATCTGCAGTTATTAGCTGCTGCAAGAGGGACAGTCAGTTTTCGTCCGTCTACACTGGGTGCAGGAAACACAGGTCGGGGTTCATGCTCAGGAGTAGCTGGCCAACGAAACAGACTCCATGTTTGTGTGGGTAGCGTGGCGGAAGAGGATCCGGGAGGAGCTGGGGGATGGGAGAGAATACGATTAAAGTATATTGTGGGAAATTCTCCAGGAGTAAGTCAAAAGATCATTAAAAAAAAAAGTTGCAGGCTACCTGTCCCTGTGTATGCAGCCTGGCAGGAACAAGAGAGGCTATTTCAGCTAGCACAGGGCTGACCCCCAAGGCTGTCCTCCGGCGTACACTGTGGCACACGTACAGCAGACACGCTCACACCGCACGCACTGCTACCACACACACTGTTTGAGACGAGTTCTCGTCACCGCATGTGCCAGGCTAGCTGGCCCGCCTTCCGACTGCTCCCTTGCCTCTTGTCTCACTGGCATTGCAGGCCTGGTTTTGTGTGGAGGCCCACACTCCGGTCTTCCGTGCTTACCCACCGCGGAGGGAGCCATCTCCCCCGGCCCTGGTGGCAATTACGTCCTTAGACATTTCCCACCCAAGACTGCTCGAATGCATGTCACCTTCTGTAACAACACCTTCCCTAGGGGACTGTGCTTTGGCCCTGAAATGTCTGGTGCCCGGTTGTTCCTCCAGGACACCCCCCCCCCGGAATGCTTGCACTGGGGGGGTTCCTGCTCACACTTCTCCACGCCGTCCCTCAGCTCCCCGGCCGCCTCCGGGACACCCTTGTCTCTTCCCACAGAAGGAAGTGCAGATCAAATTCCACGTGCTGCTCACCTCCTACGAGCTCATCACCATCGACCAAGCCATCCTGGGCTCCATAGAGTGGGCCTGCCTTGTGGTAGACGAGGCCCACCGCCTCAAGAACAGCCAGTCCAAGGTAGGAAGGAGGCGCGGCCCTGGGGCCGACCCCTCCCTGTGTGCGCGGCCGGCTGCACTGCTCTGTGCGTCCTGACAGCCCCTCCCCTCCCCCCAAAGTTCTTTAGGGTCTTGAATAGTTACAAGATCGACTACAAGCTGCTGCTGACAGGGACCCCCCTGCAGAACAACCTGGAAGAGCTGTTCCATCTCCTCAACTTCCTGACTCCAGAGAGGTTCAAGTGCGTCCCTGGGCCTGGGCAGGAGGGATGGGCTGCGGTCCCCGTGAGTGAAAGAGCGGCAGCCGCCTGCTGCTTGGGGATCTTGGTTTCCCCGTTAGTGAGATGGGAGCATGGGCGTGGAATCCTCTGCTGACCCTGTGTGGGAAGGTCTCAGCATCCGCCTTCCCTGGGGGAAACTACAGCTGTCCCAGCAAACCACTGTTTCCTTCAGCACCGTCCCCAGAAGGCCTTGGGCTTCTCCAGGGTTCCTACCCCTGGGCTCCCCTGACTGCCCTGGGCTCATTTCACTCCCCGTGACTGAAATGACCCTTATGAGCACAGTGATGGCAAGCAGAGGCCAGAGCTGGGCTGAGGTGGAGGTGGGAGCCTCCTAGGCCTCCTCTGTGCTTAATCCCAGTTCCCCTGCTTAGAACTGGGAAGGGGGCTCAGGGAGGAGGGGCCAGTTTTGGATGTTGATTCAAGGGCAGGTTGCTATGCCACGTGACCCTGAGGGCTCAGCAGTCTTAGTCTCCATCCCCCTTCCCCCTGGGTCGTCCCTGGGAACGGTGTGAGGATGGGGAGGGGACCCGGTGTGGCAGAGGACTGTGACATGTGTCATGGTGCCGGCTGAGACGGAGCCCGAGTGGCTTCTCATCAGTACCGAGTCTCTCTGGACCACCAGCCTTTGGCCTCCGCCGGCCAGGGCCCTGCCCTCTCCTCATCCTCCCTGACCCTGATTCCCCTGCAGAGGGCCGGGGTTGGCTCTTGCCCTCTGCTTCTGGCTCTTTACCCCCTAGCAATTTGTTGCAGCAACCTGGAAGGCTTCCTGGAGGAGTTTGCTGACATCTCCAAAGAAGACCAGATCAAAAAACTGCACGACCTGCTGGGGCCGCACATGCTCCGGCGGCTCAAGGCTGACGTGTTCAAGAACATGCCGGCCAAGACCGAGCTGATCGTGCGTGTGGAGCTGAGCCAGATGCAGAAGTGAGTGACGGGGGGGGCTCAGCTCTCTGGTCTGCAGCAACTGGCCCATCCCCGGGTGGAGTGTCCTCAGCCGCCCCTTCCCACGGGCCGTATCTGGCTCTCCCGGTCATTTCCTGGGGTTGGCAGGAGGGTCTGCTTGCCCCTGGAAGGCCTCTGTCACTGCATCTCCTTTCCCTCTTCATGCACGGCAATGAATAGAGTCGGGCTGCCCAGGTTCTAGGAATGTCTCCCACTGGCTTGCCTGGTGACTTGCGCCCTGTGGGAAGGCTCCCTGTGCCACTCTGTACGTGGTGCCTGGGGATGCCACCAGCCTTCTGAAGATGGAGCGACCTCTTTAGGAGCCTGGTGGGGTCTGGGGCCTCCTGCCAAGCGTGTTCCACACCCGGTTGCAGGAAGTACTACAAGTTCATCCTCACACGGAACTTCGAGGCACTCAACTCCAAGGGTGGCGGCAACCAGGTGTCTCTGCTCAACATCATGATGGACCTGAAGAAATGCTGCAACCACCCGTACCTCTTCCCCGTGGCCGCCGTGGTGGGTTCCCCGTGGCCATCAGGACATGTTTCCATGACTACTGAAAAGGGTTTCTTGTGGCTGCCATGGTGGGTTTCCATCACGGCAGGTCCCAGTGGGCACTGTGTTGGGTTCCCTGTGGCCATCAGGGCATGTTTCCATGGCTGTTTTGTTGGGTTCCCTGATGTAGTAGGTTCTCTGTGACCACCACGGGAGGTCTCTACTGGCTGTTTTGTTCCCTGTCACCACTGTGATAGGTTACCTCTGGTCATCATGGCAGATCTCAAACAGCGGCTGTGGTAAAGTTCTCCCTGGTCATAGTAAGTCCCTGTGGCTGCCATAGTGGGTTCTCTGTGACAGTCATACAGACCTCCTAGCGACTGCCATGGTTGTGACTGCCATGTTAGGTCCCCCATGGTGTTTATGATGTGCTCCCTGTGGACAGTGTGGTGTGGTATATTCCTTGTGGCCATTGCGTAGGTGCCTGGCTGCTATGCTGGGTTTCTTGTGGCCTCTGTGGAAGGCGTCCACGGCTGGGTGCTTTGGCCCACAGTCTTCTGATCTTTCCAGAGAATGAATGCCAGAGGTGATGTGTGCCTCCATCCTGTTCTTTAGTATGGGGGACAGTTTTGGAAGCTGCCTCTGCCCTCTGATTGGCCCCAGGTCATTTCTTCCTGACCTCTTCTGGTCTCCCCCAAACCTTCCCAGCCTCAGCACTGGGCCTCCCGGGAGCTCTGGGGACCGACCCAGCTTCATTCGGTCCCCAAGGGAGTTTGTCCCGTGTGAGTCTGCGCAGCGGCAGGGAGACAGACACTGGACTCTGGGATTCGCCCAGCCCGGTGCTGTGATCTTGGGAAGCTGATGTCCCTCTGGTGTCTCAGGGCTCCCCTTTGTCAAACGAAGCAGGAGTGACACCTTCCCAGGAAGGCTCTGGGGAGATTGAGAGGAGAAAGCTCACAGACAGTTGAGGGCTGGGCTCTCGGTGGGCATCGCTGGTCAACACCCCCGTCACGGATCTTTGGGTTCTAACTCATTCTCCGAAGTCACATTTACCCCATGACTGCAGGCCACTGGAGGTCCCTCTTGTGACCCGGTGTGACTCAGGAATCTTCTGGAACCTACCTTTAGATTGACCTGCCCGTCTGGGCTCGGAGATGGGCAGAGCTGGCCCTGTTGGATGCACCTTCCAGGGCCCCATGGTGGCCAAGCCGGGTGTCTGTGGGAAGGGTCCCCGAGCTTCATTTCAGTACTAGGCAGAGAGTGAGGCTGGCCTGCCAGTGCCGCGCTTAAGCATGTACCTGGAGCCAGGCTCCGTGTGCCCCCACATGGCTGAGCCTGCTTGGGTGCGTACTCGGTGCTCAGTTGGGCAGACGGGCAGGTGGCCCAGGGCCAGGTACTTGTCCGTCGCTTCAGCCTCTTTGGTGCCGGAGCCAGGGGGAGAGCCCGCCAAGGCTCTGCTCTGCTGTGTCCACAGGAGGCCCCCGTGTTGCCCAATGGCTCCTACGACGGCAGCTCCCTGGTGAAGTCTTCGGGGAAGCTCATGCTGCTGCAGAAGATGCTCAAGAAGCTTCGGGATGAAGGACATCGCGTGCTCATCTTCTCCCAGGTGGGCTACCCTGGAGCCGCCGCACATCCACAGGGGAGCCAGCCTGCCCGTGGGCTAAAGGCCTCTGAGCCCCTGCATGGCACACCTGGGTACCAAACTCAGCCCCTGCATGGCACACCTGGGTACCAAACTCATGGAGACAGGGTCTGGTTGCTATGGAGACCAGCGTATTTCCCCCATCTCATCTCCCTCCCAGTGTACCTGTCCCTCTGGCCCGAGTGTCCCTGCTAGCGTGATAGCCCCCCCTCTCTCCCGTCCAGTTTCTTTTCATCCCTGTGGGTTGGTTTGTTAAGGTAGGCCCTGAAGTTGGTCTGGAAGGACCCCGGGACTTGTGGGAGCCCCCCTGTAGCTTGCTTCCTGTGTATGCAGAAGCAGGGCCATGCACCTTTTGTGTTCACCCCCCCCCGCCTCTTCTGCTCTTGGTTCTGCTCATCGTGTTTGGGTCTGGTTTCTGGGCACAGACAGGAACGTATAGGTCCTTCTCTCAGACTGCGCAGTCGGGAGGGGGAAGACAACTCATGAGACGCTGGCCCAAACTGACGGTCGGGTCTGTGTTTCAGGTTACAGTGATAGGAGGATCCTAGGGCTAAAAACACTTGTCTGGGGGTGGGACTGAGCGAGGCTGTTCCTCAGTGCGGTGAGCGTGGGGTTCAGCTGGCCCTGTGCAAAAAGTTGAGTGACAAGGGCGGCCGGTGCCCGCTGCTTCTGGTGCCAGGCCGGGTCTGTGGCTGTGGCTGGACTGGGCCGCAGCTGGCAGGCAGCATCCGTTTCCTCTGCTAACACCACATTCCTGCCACAAAATGTGAGTCAGGGTGAGAGCCGTAGGAGCCCAAGCTGTGAAAGCTATTGTGATAGGAATGTACCACAAGAGAAATGACAGGCATGTGATCTGACAAACCCAGACCTCCCCCCCCCCAAACTCTTCAGGAACTCATCTGCATCCATTCCGTAAAACAACAATTAGGACTCAAACGGAGAGAGAATAAATACCCTGGAAAAACACTGTAAGCTGTTTTTGCATTTTCGAAAGTTACGGAGTGACTCATCCGTAAGGGAAGAAATTAGACACAAGCAGGAAGAGGCAGGGTAAGAAATAACAGAACACAGAGGGGCCGGAGAGACAGCTCAGCAGTGAAGGGTGCCTGCCGCACTGACAGAGGACCCGGGTTTGGTTACCAGCACTCACAGCACGCAGCTTGCAACTTCCCGTAAGAGCGTTTCCAGGGTATCAGACGTCCTCCTCAGGCTTCTGCAGGCACCTGTTGGCATGTGCGCACACCCGCATGCGACACACACGCACATAAATAGAAAAAACAACTTTAAAAGAACGCAGAGTATTTTAGACATTGAAAGGAAACGTTTTTGTCAGACCAGGTAAATAAACTCTCACCATTGGAAAAACAAAAACAAAAAAACACCGCCGGTGAACTGGAAGCGGAGGCTGAGGAGTTTCCCAGCATGCATCACAGAGAGCACCAGAGACAGATGAGCAAGGCGGGGAGGATGTCTGTGGAGGCACTGCCAGGGAGGGACTGCAGGGGAAGCCCCAGGAGATTGTGAAAGCCCTGTTTGTAGACCTGGAGAAAGACAGCGGCCTTGGGTTTGAAGTGCGCGGCCACAGGAAGACTAAGCAGGGGTCTGAACCAACAGGCCAGCCCCTGGACGCCAGCTAGGGAAAAGGACTCAGGCTCAGACTTATCAGTAACAGCAGCTGGTGGGAGGGCAGCGTTGTTGTCGGCTGGTAGTTTCTTCTAGTTGACCTGTCTAAAGACAGGAGGGGGCCAGACAGGACTCTGGGAGCTCGGGGGAGGGGAAAGGGGTGGGGAGACTGTCTTGTGGGGGGGTAACATTGGGATATAACATAAAGGTGGTGGCATTGGAGCTCTCCAGGTAGGAAGGAGTGTGCGTGTCAGAGTCATGCAGTTAGGAATAGGGAGAAGGAAACCTCGGGCCTGCACCTGTTGGATGCCAGCCGAGGTGCTGGGGTCTCTTGGGGAGGGGGGAGGGGACCAGAGGCTCGTGCCTGAGGATGTGTGTGGAGGCCACCATGCTGAATAGATGGTGGGTGACATATGAAGTCGGGGGATGCGTTCTTTGGGCATGCCCTCCTACTCTGGAATCCTCTTACCCGGGGTAGGGTCCTGGCTTGGTAGCAGCCACTCATGCATCCGTGTTTTTTTGTAGATGACCAAGATGTTGGACCTCTTGGAGGACTTCCTGGAATACGAGGGCTACAAGTATGAGCGGATCGACGGCGGCATCACTGGGGGACTCCGGCAAGAGGCCATTGACAGATTCAACGGTACCCATCCCTCTCAAGGAGCCCTGTGCGTCTGGGGGGGGGGGTCTTAGCCTGACCATCCAATTAGCAGTGTTCCCGAAGCTGCATCGCAAACAGAAGAAGCGCACCAGTCCGCAGGCCACAGACCCCTTGTTCTTTTCTTCTCATTTTTTTTTCAAGGCAGAGTTTCTCTGTGTTACTTTGGGGGCTGTCCTGGAACTCGCTCTGTAGACCAGGCTGGCCTCGAACTCACAGAGATCCGCCTGCCTCTGCCTCCCGACCTCCCAAGTGCTGGGATTAAAGGCGTGCGCCACCAATGCCCGGCTGTTATTTAATTTTCTTAAGGTATTATTATATAGCTCAGGCTGACCTCCAGCTCACCGTCCTCCTGCCTCAGTTTCCCACGGCTGGGGTCACATGTGTGCCATCATGCCAGACCCTCTTTTACCGTCTGTCGGGTAAAAGAGTCTTAGCAGACAACAAGTTCTCTAAGTAGCATTGGAGATGGATAAGAAGGCAGAGTGGGAAGGAAATGCCACTGCCACAAGCTAGCTGGCTGTCCTCGGTTGACACCCATGTGGGCCTTGAAAGCTGGCTTCCTTCTCATTCTGGCTCCTGCCAGCCTGGCCAAGGCCCAGCATCAGCGGGGTTGCAGGAGCCCAGCGGATGGTGTGCTGCCCCTCTGGGATCACAGCCTCTTCCCTTGCCTCTGCCAGGGGACCTTGGCTCTGGTTCTTGCACTTCTATGTGCTGTCTACCTGACCCCTGCCCAGGGGTGCCCCAGGGGTGCCCCAGGTGTGTCCCAGAGGTGCCCCAGGTGTGTCCCAGGTGTGCCCCAGGGGTGCTCCAGGTGTGCCCCAGGGGTGCCTCAGGTGTTCCCCAGGGGTGCCTCAGGTGTGCCCCAGGGGTGCCCCAGGTGTGCCCAGGGGTCCCCCAGGTGTGCCTCAGGTGTGCCTCATGTGTACCCCAGGTGTGCTCCAGGTGTGCCCCAGGTGTATTTCAGGTGTGCCCCAGGTGTGCCCCAGGTGTGTCCCAGGTGTGCCCCAGGTGTATTTCAGGTGTGCCCCAGGTGTGTCCCAGGTGTGCCCCAGGTGTATTTCAGGTGTGCCCCAGGTGTGCCCCAGGGGTGCTCCAGGTGTGCTCCTGACTCACCTGTGCCTCTTTCTCAGCTCCCGGGGCCCAGCAGTTCTGCTTCCTGCTCTCGACACGTGCCGGTGGCCTGGGCATCAACCTGGCCACAGCAGACACAGTCATCATCTACGACTCGGACTGGAACCCACACAACGACATCCAGGTCTGGGCCTAACATCTTGCTGTGCCCTCAGGGTCTCTCTCCTTTCTCCCCTCCTCGTCTCTTGGTGTGGAACCCCACCCTGAAAGGGTGAGGGGAGGGAGGGGCAAAGTTGGCTGAGGAAGGGCAGGGGAGGCGTTCAAGACACACGGCAACTTGAATGACGGCCCTGATCTCTCCCATTACCTTCAGGGCCCTGTTCAGGGAAGGAGGCAGGATGAGGGAGGCACGGGATCTGCTGGGGGCGCCCGCTGGACACAGGGGAGAGGAGGAAATGGAGGGGACAGATGGAACGACGGGGAAGGATGGAGAGGGAACGGGGGGTAGGGACAGAACCACCCGATGCTCTCCAGTCGCCTCACGCTGGCACAGGACACGAGACGCTTTGGGAGTTTGGGGAGCGTGCACGCACACACACACAGGCACACACACACACATACACACGCGCGCGCACACACACAGGCACGCACACATACACACACAGGCACGCACACACACACACCGGTGCATGATATACGTTGCCACACCAGGGCCACATCATGCGGAGACACAGTGGAGTCCCAGGCATATCCTCTAGGGCAGTTCCCAGAGACCTTGCTGCCCTCAAAGGCTGCCGTGTTTCCAGCTTTACTGTCCCATCATCGCCCCCCAAACTGAGATGGAGTCCATCTTCCCATGACCCAGCATCGGAGTCCCAGGAAGCTTCACTTCCACTAAGCATGCAGGACACTGTTCCCCGGACACACCCTTGTTATGCCTGGAGTCACCCCAGGCCCCCATGCCGGACTTTGAACCAGACGGGCCACAGGCCACAGTGCTGCAGATGGATGGGTGGACCTGTGCACTGCTCTCCACACAGCGCACCTCCCTGTGTGACCAGGCTGCCCCTTGGCATGAGCACGGGCTTTCCCTGCGGTCCTCCCTGGTGCACACGCCCAGCTGTGGCCTGGAACCCTGGAGTCAAGCCCTGGGCACTGAGCTGCGGTGTCTTCCCCCGCAGGCCTTCAGCCGTGCTCACCGCATCGGGCAGAACAAGAAGGTGATGATATACCGCTTCGTGACGCGGGCCTCCGTGGAGGAGCGAATCACTCAGGTGGCCAAGCGCAAGATGATGCTCACACACCTGGTGGTGCGGCCCGGCCTGGGCTCCAAGTCAGGCTCGATGACCAAGCAGGAGCTTGACGACATCCTCAAGTTTGGCACGGAGGAGCTCTTCAAGGACGATGTGGAAGGTGGGCCCCCTTCTGCGGGAGTGTGACGGGGGCGGGGTGTGGCTCCAGGGAGCCCCCTCTGAGGCGTGCCCAGACCCCGGGGTCCCCGTCTTCTTCCCTACTCCCAGCCTGGAACAACCCCAGAACGGGTTAGAGCTGCACCTCTGCTTGCTGCCCACCAGCCCTGTGATTCCTCAGCGCCCGGGCCCAGTGCCCCCTTTTCTGTCTTTCCAGGCATGATGTCCCAGGGCCAGCGGCCTGCCACACCCATCCCCGATGTGCAGTCCTCCAAGGGCGGACCTCTGGCTGCCAGTGCGAAGAAAAAGCATGGCGGTACCCCACCAGGTAGGTTCCCGACGCCCGAGTCACCCATAGCCTTTTGCTCAGCCAGGTGGCTGTTTCCGGGCAGGCGAGGAGCTGTCAAGCCTGCCTGGGTTATGGTGCAGCTGCCTCGCCTGGTCACTGGCCTCCTCGCCCCAGCAGAAGGGCCGTCTTGGCGGTTGGACCTGGGCAGCGGCATCTGTGTCCACACGTTGTCCCCGCACTCACCCCTCAGGTGACAACAAGGACGTGGAAGACAGCAGCGTGATCCACTATGATGACGCGGCCATATCCAAGCTGCTGGATCGGAACCAGGACGCCACGGATGACACGGAGCTGCAGAACATGAACGAGTACCTGAGCTCCTTCAAGGTGGCGCAGTACGTGGTCCGCGAGGAAGACGGCGTGGTAAGGGCCGCTGGGCGCCTCGCTACCCCTCCGCGGGCCCCACCCTCAGCTCTCCCCTCTCCCTCCAGCCCCATGCCACGCCTCTGCCTCGTCCTGTTCTAGAGCATTCTACCTCCTCTCCCGAGTCTCTGAATGCCCGATTGCTGCCACAGCTCCCCGGCTCTCCCGTTGGCTCCAACGATCCTCCTTGCAAACCTGGTTCCCTTTAAGACCATGAATCCAGCCGGGCAGTACAGTGGTGGTGCTTGCCTTTAAACCCAGCACTCAGGAGGCAGGGGGCAGGTGGCTCGCTGAGTTTGAGGCTACCCCCCCCCCCCCCCGGTCTACAGAATGAGTTACAGGACAGTCTGGGCTGTAACAAGGAGAAACTGCATCTCAAAAAAAAACAAAAAAAAAACAAAAACCCAAAACCCAGCCAGGCGGTGGTGGCGCACGCCTTTAATCCCAGCACTTGGGAGGCAGAGGCAGTCGGATCTCTGTGAGTTGAAGGCCAGGCTGGCCCGACAGCCTGCAAAACAATACAGAGAAACCCTGTCTCATAAAAAAAAATAAAAAAATAAAAATAAAAACCCCCAAAACCCAAACAAACACCAGACGAATAACCCAAAACAACAAAACAAACAAACAAACAAAAAACAAACCCAAATACAAAACCACGAACCCCGAGGGCGGTGTCTGCGGTACCAGAGTTCCTGACCGAGGCCAGGGTGTTCATGTGGAGTGAAGTGACCTCGGCCAGAGCCAGGGAGAGAAGTCCAGCTAGGGCTGGAGCAATCGGGGAGGGCTTTCTGGAGTAGGGAAGCATGCACCCCCCCTCCCCCGCCCACCTGACTTGCCCCAGGGGCCTGTGAAGGTGGGTGAGCCGTGACAGCGGAGCAGCTGGGTGTGTCCAGCTCCGCTCACATCTCCATCCCCAGGAGGAGGTGGAGCGGGAGGTAATTAAGCAGGAGGAGAACGTGGATCCTGACTACTGGGAGAAGCTCCTGCGCCACCACTACGAGCAGCAGCAGGAGGACCTGGCCCGCAACCTGGGCAAGGGGAAGCGCATCCGAAAGCAAGTCAACTACAACGACGCCTCACAGGAGGACCAGGGTGCGTGTGGTGAGCAGGGGCACCCCTACATGGGTCGTGGCAGGCGGGGTGCGGCGTGGGACAGACAGACACCGCACTGGGTGGGGGCGGGGGCGCGCGCGCAGCAAGGCTTCTGGGAGAAAGGGAGTTGCGGGCCCCGGTGTGGGTTCGGGGACAAGCCGGCTACCAGTCTGGTGGCTTCGGGCAGGTGCCGGAGTGTGGGCGAGCCTCCACGCGCACTCGTCCGTCTTCCAGCTGTGAAACCGGCAGAGTGGCCACGCGGTTCCGAGTGCTGCGGCCACCCGTGGGCCGCTGTCATCGTCACGGCTGTGACGAGACTGGGGAGGGGGCTTGGCGTGACCCTGGGTGCACAGGGCCCTTCTGCTGACTTCCTACAGAGTGGCAGGATGAGCTCTCAGACAACCAGTCCGAGTATTCCATCGGCTCCGAGGATGAGGATGAGGACTTTGAGGAGAGACCCGAAGGGCAGAGTGAGTGTTAATTAATGTGGGGGACCCGGGCTGTCACAGCGCATGGGGACCGATGGCCGGCTGGGGGGGCTGGGGGACCCGGGCTGTCACAGTGCATGGGGACCAATGGCCGGCTGGGGCGGGGCTGGGGGACCCGGGCTGTTACAGCGCATGGGGGCCGATGGCCGGCTGGGGCGGGGCTGGGGGACCCGGGCTGTTACAGCGCATGGGGGCCGATGGCCGGCTGGGGCGGGGCTGGGGGACCCGGGCTGTTACAGCGCATGGGGGCCGATGGCCGGCTGGGGCGGGGCTGGGGGACCCGGGCTGTTAGGAGTGCCGTTGGGGGGGTTGGTGGCCAGGCGAGGCTGGGCTGGTGTGTCCCGTGGGTGCTGCGGGAGGCCGTCCCGAGGGTCTCGCTGTCCTGAGTATGCTGGTGGAACCCTCTGCACACCAGCCTGAAGGTCTGTGGTGACTGTTCTCCAGGTGGACGGCGACAGTCTAGGAGGCAGCTGAAGAGTGACAGGGACAAGCCCCTGCCGCCTCTTCTGGCTCGAGTTGGGGGCAACATTGAGGTGGGATCTGCCGGCCCTACTCCTTACACCCCTGGGGTATGGAGGGCGTGAGGGTTTTCCCAGGCTCACAGGTCATGCTGAGGTGACTCTGAGAGGGACCCTCTGGGTTCACGCTTCCCTTCCCCCGGTCCTGTCCATCTAACCTGGGATCGCGCCCCTTCTCCACCCTGGCTAGGTGCTGGGCTTCAATGCCAGGCAGAGGAAGGCTTTCTTGAATGCCATCATGCGCTGGGGCATGCCCCCCCAGGATGCCTTCAACTCCCACTGGCTGGTGCGGGACCTTCGAGGGAAGAGTGAGAAGGAATTTCGGTAAAGGGTCCAAGCGCGGCGGTGGTGGTGGTCGTGGTGGTGCAGGAGGGTGTGGCCTCCCGTCATGGTGGAGTGGGCCCTCTAGTGGACAGTGCTTGCTTCCTCCTGGTCAGAAGTGCCCGGAGAGTTCATGGCTACATCAGATCTTTGGGTGTGGCGGTGTGTTGGGCAGGGCTGATTTCTAGAAAACAAACGCTGGCCAGCCCTACTCCTGCTCACACTCTGGGAGAGCGAAGTTGCACCATCCATGGCCAGGAGCCTCTGAAGCGGGTCCCCTGTCAGGGAGGCCCCTCCGTCTCTCCAGGGGGCCTGACTCTGCTCGAGAGGTGCCTGGGTGGGTGGGGGTCCTGCCAGTCTGCCTTCGTTCCCTGACCCCCAGCGCTCCCCACCCCAGAGCCTATGTGTCCCTCTTCATGCGGCACCTGTGTGAGCCGGGGGGCGGACGGCGCAGAGACCTTCGCAGACGGTGTACCCCGGGAGGGCCTGTCCAGGCAGCATGTGCTCACGCGTATCGGGGTCATGTCGCTGGTTAGGAAGAAGGTGGGTGAGTAAAGCCTTCTGGCTGGCATGTGGCCCTTGAGCCGCCTCTGATGGGGGAGGGGGGCGGGGAGGAAGGGGGGGTCAGCCGCCAAAGGGCAAATGCGTGGTTCAGGTCACGCGACTACCGGGGTCTGAGACCGGCCAGACTAGAGGGGGGGCACACAGGGGAGGGCGGATGTGGCCGGAAGGGTGAGTTGCAGGACGAGGGGCCCCTGGCAAGAGAGGCTGGCTCAGAAGTGAGTCTGTCCTGTCTGGCCTTGGGGCACCCAAGCCCGCAGCAGCAGCGGTCTGTGTTGTGGGCGGTCTCAGAGTCACCTGCTTCCCCTTCTGCTTTCGGCCTCCTGCCCCAGGTCCAGGAGTTTGAGCACGTCAACGGGAAGTATAGCACCCCAGACCTGGTCCCCGAGGGGCCCGAGGGCAAGAAGCCCTGTGAGGTGATCTCCTCGGATCCCAACACGCCCGTGCCTGCCAGCCCGGCGCAGCTCCCAGCAGCCCCACCGGGCCTACCAGGTCTGGGCTCAGGGAGAGCCTGGGAAGGGCTCTTGGGTCACGGGAGGTGGAGCAAGCCCTCAGCGTAGCCCACAATGTGAGGGTGTCCCCCCACCCCACCCCACGACACCTCGCCTGAGCCTTCTCATTTTAGCAACAGCCTTGCAATTTCACTCCCACTGAAGCCGCTGGCTAAGGGGCTCCTGCTGAGCTCACCGAATATTTCCATCCACCCCACAAGAAACCCAGCCCCGGACCACACCCTCCGACCCCTGCTTCTGGAGGGCAATGCCCACTCCATCCTGACTGTGCCCATTGTGACTTCACCGGGCCCAAGGCCCTACAAGGGTCTGAGTTGGAGGCCTGGTCTGGAGCCCCACTGACATTTCTGAACTTGTCACCCCCGCTGTGGAGCACCGCAAGGCCAGGCCCCTCTCTCATCTGGCACGCCCTCCCGTGCCCTGCCCCTTTGTCCTGTCTAAGCCCACCCAGCTCACCTCTCTCCTCTAATATTGCAGACAAAATGGAAACCCAGCTGGGCTATATGGACGAAAAGGAGTCAGGCGCGCAGAAGCCAAAGAAGCCCCAGGAAATCCAGGTACGAAAGTCACTGGTGGCCAGGCCTGTGGGAAAGGGGGCGGAGCGTGGTCTGGCCCAGCTGGGTAGAACCCAGGCCTTTCCTGGCTCCCAGTTCTGGTTGCTGGGCCTTAGGGGGACCAGGCTTGGAACAAGTAGAGGGGGGGCATCTGGGATCGAGGGCTTCAAGCCCAGTGCGTATTCCCTGCCATGCCTCCTTGCTGAGGCCCAGTTCCTGCAGCCCCCTAGCCTGTCCTCCTAGGCCCTGCCAACCGCCCCGGACAGAGCAGAGGGTGAAGACATGCGTCAGAACTCAGACAGCGTGGACAGAGCTGGGGAGGAGAGGACGGAGGAGGCGGAGAAGGCCCTGGGCTCTCCAGAGCAGCCCCCGAAAGGTAGGGCTTTCTCAGAACAGCGTTGGACCTCTGCAGCCCTGGGCTGGTCGGTGGGTCTGTTTATCCTGTTTATCTGTTTACCCTGCCTGGGTGCTAGTTGTGCCCGACTGCCTGGTTTCGGGGAGGGCAAGGGGTCAGGTCTATACACAGACTTTAACCCTGTCATGATGGAGCATTTGGGGCTCTTGGCTTATGTTTTGATCACAGTGTTCCAACTCACTTGGATTCTTGTTTGAAAACACAAGTCCACCCTGTGACACCGCCAGACTTGCTTCTGGCTTCACATGGCCAGAGTTTGTAAATACCTTGTGTGGACTGGAAAAAGGCAGTTGGATATGAGGTTCTTTTTTTCGTTTTTCGAGACAGGGTTTCTCTGTGTAGCTTTGGTGCCTGTCCTGGAACCCGCTCTGTAGACCAGGCTGGCCTTGAACTCACAGAGATCTGCCTGCCTCTGCCTCCCGAGTGCTGGGATTAAAGGTGTGTGCTGCCACTGCCTGGTGGAGTGTGAGGTTCTTTTTTTTTTTTTTTTTTTTTTTTTTTTTGGTTTTTCGAGACAGGGTTTCTCTGGCTTTGGAGGCTGTCCTGGAACTCACTCTGTAGACCAGGCTGGCCTCGAACTCACAGAGATCTGCCTGCCTCTGCCTACCAAGTGCTGGGATTAAAGGCGTGCACCACCAACGCCTGGCTCGGTGTGAGGTTCTTAATAAACACTTCAGATCATTTGATAAAAACTTCCTGTTAATTATACTGTTAAGGTTTTTCTGATGCCCTCAGTATTTGCTGTGGCCAGTCACTTCTTGAGAGACTGTGTCAAAACCTCACTCTGATTACAAGGGGTCAGTACCACACCAGATCGTGTTGTTAGGCGAATCTTCGTTTTGGTGTTTACTTTTTTCTGTGAAGTCTCTCTTAGTAGTCCCAGTAGTCTGTAATAACTACTATCCCTCTTGTTAAAATTGTTTGGCTTTAACGTTTCCTTTGAGAAGTCGGGAGATGACTCGGTGTGTAGGATTACGCTGGTCTGAATAGGATTTCCATCATGCATGCAGAACAAAGGCAAAACCAGAAACACCAATAAACAAAACCCAACCCCAGCCAACCTTCCCCCCACAACCAACCAAACCCAAAATACAGCACATGTGGGTAATCCCAGGGCCGACTGGAGACAGGGGGAACCCTGGGGCTTGCTGGTCAGTCTATCCAAACCCACGTGTAATAAGGCTCTGTCTCAAGAAATACAGTGATGGACACTGAACGCCAACCTCTGGCCCTGACACACATGTGCACAAGCCCGTCTCTGCATGCACACGCATAAACTCATGCACGCACGCTTTGTGTGTTGATTGCTTTGGTTTGACGTGTTTGGTAGACCAGGGTTGAAGGTGGGGCTTTGTGGGAAGAGGCCAGCCCTGCCTCTAGACTGTGCCTGTTGTGCCCTGAGGAGCTCTTCTGACGGACAGGGGCCCCTCTCTGCCCACGAGCCCCCCTTGTTTTGCAGAGGAAGTGCTGCTGTCAGACAAGGAGCCGATCCCTGACAAGCAGGAGCGGAGCCCGAGTCGCAGCAGCGATTTCAGGCCAGGTGGGGGCCTTTTCCTGTGCCCCGCCTGATGCCTCCTGGTCAGTCTCCCCTGGTGCTGTCCCCAGGCCCTGGTAGGAGCCAGGGGACAGGAGTCTGGACTTGCAAGTCCCTCCGATCAGGACGCCTCTTTTTCCAGACTCATTCCACTTCCCTCCCTCCTGTCACCCCAGTCACCCAGAGAGGGAAAGGCACTGGTCATAGAACATCCGGGGCTCAGCTTTTTTGCACATCAGCTGTAGGGCGGCCTCCCTCTGGTGGTCTCCGAACTTGAACTCACCCTCCCTTCATGGTGCCCTTCTGACCTTGTCTGAGGTTGCTCTAGTGGGGCGGGGGAGGGGTGCTAGGGCCCGGAACCTGCTCAGGATGCAAGGAGAGGGCCCCTGGCCCTTTCCCTTTTAAGCCCCTATGTGTGATGACCACATGGAGGACAAACACGTCCCACTTGTCTTTGGGGCTTCCCGGTGCACGGCAGGAAGAGGGCTTTGGGTTATGTAACCCTCTGGGGGGACAGTGAACACGGCCCCGTCGCCTCCCCACCAGATGACTCCAAGGCTGAGGGGAAGGAGCCCGTGGAGACGCAGCAAAACGGCGACAGAGAGGAGGACGAGGAGGGGAAGAAGGAAGACAAGAGTGGGAAATTCAAATTCATGTTCAACATTGCCGACGGGGGCTTCACAGGTACTGAGGGGGAGCAGCGGACAGGGACACCGGGCTGTTGGCCCTGCTTCCCGGGAGTCTGGGCAGGTGGTAGTTTTACACCGGGGCATGAACGGTTGACAACAGTCCTTTATGCCCCTCTTGGCAACACTGGAGCAATGTGTCTCTGAGGCCGGGTGACGGCTGGTGCTGAGCAAGCTTGTGCATACGCCAGGGTGCAGGGCGGGGCGGGGTGGGGCGGGGGAACCTCCTATTCTGCTCACGTTGGCATCTCTCTTCAGAACTTCACACGCTGTGGCAGAATGAAGAACGGGCCGCTGTGTCCTCGGGAAAAATCTACGAAATCTGGCACCGCCGCCATGACTACTGGCTGCTGGCAGGCATCGTGACGTATCCTTGGTCAGTCAGGCTGGGATGACACCGGTCTGTCTCTCTGGTCCTCAGGGGACCCTGCAGTCTCTAGGGAGGACCTTCCCTCCGTCCCCCAGCTTCTGGTGATTGCCCATAACCTTGACACTCCTCGGCTGGCCTCCGTGTCTCTCCGTTGCTGTCCATCCGTCTGTCCGTCTGTCCGTCTGTCAGTCTGTCTGTCGTCTTTCCCACAATCAGCTTTCCCAGCTCAGTCACTGGCATCTAGTCTTCCCCCTCATCTGGTCTGATCTCTCTTTGATCACATCTGGGTCAAGGTCACATTTCTAGGCTTCAGGGGTTAGGACTTGGCGTGTGTGTCCCCCTGGGGTTCTGGGATAGAGTCAACACTTGGGAGGCCTCAGTGCCCTGTCATTGCCAGCTAACACCACTGTTGCCATAGAGACCGGCCGGCGTGCTTATCTCGCAGCCGAGTCTGTGACTCGCCCGGGTGCACACAGGCGGCAAGCTGGGGACCTGGGTTGCCCCCGCCTCACCCCGACTGTTCCTGTGGCCGGCTTTGCCCTTAGCTTGTACCCCCAGGCATGGCTATGCCCGCTGGCAGGACATTCAGAACGACCCACGCTACACGATCCTCAACGAGCCCTTTAAGTCTGAGATCCACAAGGGCAACTACTTGGAAATGAAGAACAAGTTTTTGGCCCGCAGGTTCAAGGTAGGCAGGCCTTCAAGGATGTCACTTCCCCACCCATCCCTGTACCTAAACCTGGGCCGGGCTCTCCTTTGAGGAGTCAGTCAGCCCATGCAGGCGAGCCCCCCCCCGTGTGTGTGAGCATCCACCGCTGCCCAGGGGATGGGATCGGAGACCTCAGTTTGCAGGAGATTCCTAAGGCCAGCCCAGAGCCTCAGCTTCAATGGGTGCTGGTGGGAGCCAGGGGCACAGTGACTCTGAGGGAGAAAGGGGACAGGCCAGTGCTGTCACTCCCCCCCCAGCTGCTGGAGCAGGCACTGGTGATCGAGGAACAGCTCCGGAGGGCTGCGTACCTCAACATGACCCAGGATCCCAACCACCCAGCCATGGCTCTCAACGCTCGCCTGGCAGAGGTGGAGTGCCTTGCTGAGAGTCACCAGCACCTGTCCAAGGAGTCCCTTGCCGGGAATAAGCCTGCCAATGCTGTCCTGCACAAGGGTGAGCAGCCCACAGTCCCCATCCTGCCCAAGGAGTATGCTTGGCCGGGCGCCCTGAGGGCGAGGCCTCTGGGGCCAGGAGGGTGCGGTTCTGTCCCTAGTACCGCATTTCACCTGCAGGGAAACGAGGTTCCCCCTCCCTTTTAAGTCCTTCATAGAAATGCCCACAAGGAGGGCGCAGGCTGTGGTGGGTAGCACAGAGGTGCCGAGCTTGGAGGCCTCACCAATGCTCACATAAACTACTATCTTGCACAGGGGTGAGCGAGCCCTGTGCCTGCAGGGATACGTCTTAAGTGTCTCCATTTTGGGGCGAGGGCGCTGGAATTTAGGAAGGGGAGCAGCGTGCCCAAGGCCCCCCCTTTGAATCCAGATCTCTGCTCTTTTGGTCTGGGGGCTCCCAGTGTCACTGGGGGGGGGCAAAGAACAGCCTAGAGTGGAAAGGGGTGTGGCTAACACTTCCCTCACACAGGAAGGTCTGGGCCATGCTCTGTCCCCACTGGCAGCTATGACTCTGAGGGCCTAGTGGCCTAGTGTTAGATGTGGTTGCCGGCCATCCAGAGAGGGAATCCAGGGTCAGGTGTCTGGAACTCTTTTTCCGCCAGGAGGGGCCCCTGGAGGAGTTTTTCTTGCAAACCCTGTTCCTCCAGTAGGCAACCCTGGGCCTTGCCAGGGTCTGAAGAGCCTGGTGAGGGATGGCCCCACGGCGCGCATGCGCGTGCGCGAGTACTTTTGGGTGTGACACTATGTCAAGGGCACCCTGCCTGGCCGCTACCTGTCTGGCAGCTGTGGAGGGCAGACCACGCCCTCCATTCTTAGGCCCTCCCACCCTGCAGTCCTGAACCAGCTGGAGGAGCTGCTGAGTGACATGAAGGCGGACGTGACCCGCCTGCCCTCCATGCTGTCACGCATCCCCCCGGTGGCCGCCCGTCTGCAGATGTCGGAGCGCAGCATCCTGAGTCGCCTAACCAACCGTGCTGGCGACCCCACCATCCAGCAGGTCAGGTTTGGCCTGCGCACCGCATTGTGGGCCTGAGTCCGTTCCCCCGCCCCCCTTGCTGTACGGGGTGGGTGACCCTGGGTAAGGGGGCTGGGTAATGTTCTGGTTGTCACCTGTAAAGCTGGTCCTTGCCTCCAGGGCTCTTTCGGCTCCTCTCAGATGCTCAACAACAGCTTTGGGCCCAACTTCCGGGGCCCTGGACCGGGAGGGATTGTCAACTACAACCAGATGCCCCTGGGGCCCTATGTGACTGGTAGGTCCCCATCCGCTTCCGGGCAGCATGCACAGAGCGGCCCTCTGGGGCCCAGCCTGCCCGTTGCTGGGGATGCCAGGCAAGCCCATGCTCTGGTCTCTTCTTGGCAGACATCTAGTCGTCCTCGTGACATCCCCCTGTTGCAGCGCCCCTTTCCAGCTGAGGTGAGGGGGTCTTGCCGGCCACGCCACTGTCCCGTACCCTCCAGTTCGTCCCATCTGTGCGCTTGGCCCACGCCTCTGAGCCGCGGAGTCTTTAATGTTTCTGGTAGCTCTGAGTCGCATTGTGGCTCTGCTTGTGTGTACGCGCGTGCGTGTGCGTGAGTGTGTGCGTGTGTGTTCGTGTGGACATCTATGTGTGCACGCGTTCTTAGCCATGTGTCAGGGACCACCGCTCGCAGCCTGGAAACCCCTGTTTGCATGATGGTTGGCCCAAGGGAGCTGCTGCTCGGGTCTCCCGTTCCCTGCCTAAGACCCAGGGGAGGGGAATACCTGAGGGGCGGGGTGTATTGCTAATGGCTTTGGGAGTGGAGATGGGTGGAGAATTCAGAGAGGCCACCAGCCTTGACTTGCGGGCTCTCCAAGTCCTGTCTGCCCCCCCATGGTAGATGCAAGGTCAGAGGAGGAGCCTGCTGGACGCTGGGGCCTCCAGTAATGGGGGATGCGGTTCACATCTAGCCCAAAGGCCTGTGACTAGGTGGAGGGGGGGCGGATCTTAATTCCTGGATTCCCAGTGATCACGATTGTGACCGCTGTGGACAAGTGGGTGCCTCGGGGACCCGGCCACCCGGTCGCGTGACTCTCTGGTTTGCCTTTTGCAGCCGGGCCACCTGCCCAACCCCCACGGGAGAGAAAAGCTACAGCCCTTTTAGGAGCTGGCGCCGTGTTGGGATACAAAAGGGAAACCAAGCAATTCTGTCATGCAGAGGACGAGGCCCAGCCTGGCTGCACAAAAGCCCAGGAATGCCACCTCATCATAGCTGAAGCGTTCTTCCGCACGGCCGTGCCGGCAAGGCCCCGGCACCTTATCCAGAGTGACTTACTTAGAGGAAATCCCATTCACCTGTACTTTTTTTTGCACTTTCCTACCGAAGATGCGAACTTGTTTGTCTTGATAAAAAGTTGGATGACTCGTGTGGAAGACTCAGACTCGCAACACTCCTGTCGGTCACCCGGCTCCAGACCTCAAGGGGGACGTTCTCCGGAGGCCCCTGGCGCTGCTCTGTGGACTCGTTCCGGCTGGGGAGAACACTGCATCCTGTGTTCTGGAAGCCCTTAGCGCGTCCCCTGCCCGTCTGCACCTGTGTGACTAACCTTCTGCTCTGGCTCCCCTGCCTGCTTGGGACCCTAGCGTTGGGAGGGGGATCAGGTCTGGAGAGTGGCTGCCTAACCTGGTGAAGGCCGGGCTGAGGCTATCTCCTTCTTATTAGGGTTGGGGACCACCGGATACATTTCGTCTCCTGACAGGGGCACATTATCTCAAAGGCTCTGGGACCTGTTGTTTCCAGTGGACGTGTGGAGGCCCCAGCAATATGTGGCAGGCGGAAGAGGGTGCCTCAGAAGGTGGGGGAAGATAGGGGCCCAAAGGTCCTACAGGGCCTTCTGGACATTGACTCTTGGCAGGAGTGTGGTGTAGGCAGGGGGGCCGGCGCCCCAGGAAAGAGGGTCACGTTCGTTGAGGTGACCCTGGGAGACTTGTCCCACTCACCTTGCCACAGACTTCCCTGTGCACAACATCCTGGGTCACAGATGCCAAGGAGCCAGGCCCTCCTGGGGATGGACTTATCTCTGTTGTCTTGGTCCTAGAGAGGCCTTGACTAGGGCAACTGTGTCACGAAGTAGGGGCCACAGTGGCCCTTGCTGGTTCTCAGAGGGTGTGGAGAGAGCTGTGCTTGGAGGTGGACCTGGGCCCGATGGCTTCTTTAGATCCTTCCCAGCTGGAGCCTCCGAGGCTTCTGGGCTTCTTTCCTGCAGGGGTGCCTTGGAGTGGCAAGGACCCTCTTCCCGCATTGGTGTTGACGTGTCAACTCATCTGGCTTCACCTCAGCCTGTAGCACCACTGTGCTGGGGTACGGGTGGGGGGGACCTGCTCTTGGCCCACCTATGTCTGACCTTCTCGCTGGCCCTGGCTCAACCTGGAGACGCCCAAGCTCTTGCCTTGGCACGTCCTAGGCAGGTGCCCTGGGGTTCGGTCTACCCTGAGGATGAGGAAGGGGCTTCTGGGTAGGAGCCCATTGGGTCTGAGGTCAGGGAGCGTGGAGGGGTTCCGACCGTCCTCCAGGGAAAAGAGGTGAGGGCTGTGCAGTGTCTCTGGGCCCGCCAAGAACGGGGCGGGGGGGGCAGGCGCCCATGGCATATCTTAAGGACACTTGGGCAACAGTTGCCCAGCTTTTACTCGGCCCAGATATGCACATCTGTAACATAGTTCCTCCTCTGAACCCCCGGAGGGCTGGACCCCCCCATGGCATCTTCTATTGTGGCAACCCCCATGCTTCAGTCTGTATCCAAATCTCAAGGCCAGCGGACTGGCCGGACACTGTGGGTAGGCAGAGGGGGGGCTCTGGTCATAGGGAGGATCTCTGCAGGCTAAAGAGCGTGCCCGTAGGTCTCCAGGACGTGCATCCTGGTGGCTGGCCCCAGTCTCTTAAGAAGGGCTGTCCCCTGCACGGGAGTGGCTGCCATCAGCTTGTTTCCCCAACCCAGACCCCTGTGCTAATCCCACTGGGCTGAGACAGTCAGCCCCGCTGGCCTCATTTGGAACAGTGCTCACCTCCTTTGCCCCAGGTGGCAGACCCTGACAGTCTGGAGTGGGACAGAGACAGCCCTGTGACTCTGTTTCAAGGGTTCACCCTTTCCCTGACGATGTCCCCCAGGAGTCCTTTGCTCTGTCCCTCATCTCCACGTCTCCCTGGGCCACCTCGGCCTTCTCACCACAGCCACTTTGGCCCGAGACGGTCTGTGCTCCCCGTGCCCAGCGCTTGGGAGGCTTTGGAGGGTGGACTGCCCAGGCAGCTGGGGAGAGGAAAAAGGTCCTTCAGGGTGTTCTCATCTTGGTCCCTCAGCTGTCTCCTGCCAGAGAGTGGTGGTGGGGAGGTGGCATCGTGAGGCTGGCTCTCGTTTTGCTAATGGAACCGGGGTCCCCATGCCCAAGCTGTCAGAGCCACGCTGACCCGTTAGCATTCACTCAGCTCTACGGGATTTCTGTGGAAGGTGGGGGGTGGCTCTCAGGAGACACAGGGAATTTGGGTCAGAGCCCCAACATCTGAGGGCACCCCCCCTCACGCACTCCTGTGCATGGCTGTGAAGTGCCTCCTCTACTTCCTGTACCCCAGGGCCACCCGTGAGCCAGGGCTCCCTTCTCCCCACCCTCTGGGTGCTCCCAAACCCATATAGGTTCGTAGGCTCAGTGACAACCTGCAACCAGTCACCTACGAATTGAGGTCCTGCAGGGGACACGCCGAGGGTGGGCTAGGGGGCCAGCAGTCCTTGTAGTCTCATAGTGGGCAGGTGTTGGTGCTTGGAGCTTCTGGTGTGTGCCAAGGAAGGGGGTTGGGGGCCTAGGCTGACCCTCCCTCCGCCTTCCCTGTCCTGGACTGCCCACAAGGCGCTCCTGCGCAGAGCAGAGCATGGGGGAGGAAGCCGACCTGCCCAATTTATATACCCGGAAGTTTACAGGTTGTGGTGCGTCAGCCCAAAGTCGTCGGTGTCCACGTGTTTATGGATATTTTCCCTCTTAATTTCCAGATTTTTTTTTTAAAAAAACAAAGTATTTTTTTAGGTGCGATAACCCGGAAAGGGCCTGTTGGGTGTGTGTATATATGTCCTGAACTCTCCACATAGCCACACAGGGGCCAGAGCCCAGTTCAGAGGCAGTTCCGCTGGCCTGGAGAGGAGGGAGGGCCCCCTGCTGCCTGCCAGGGTCAAGCTGGACTCTCCAGGGAGTTCTCTTCCTGCCCAGGCCTGGCTGGCACCTGTCGCGCCGATGCCCCACCCAGCACCCCCTGGTGAAGCAGAAGCAGGCACTTGGGGGTAGCTGGAGCATCTCAGCCGGGGTCCCAGGGGCATATACCCCAGCTCCTCTGAGGGCCGTCCTGGGGGAGGCTGGACAGGCTAGCCAACTGTTATCTTCACTCGTATTCTGTGTGTATGTTTTGGTTTCTGTGTTTTAATAAACCCTTTGGGAAGGGATGGAGTCACTGTAGTCCTTGGCCTCGCCGATTTAGAACAGGGACGTGGTGGGCTGCAGGGGAGGTGAGGGGCACTTTCCAAGCCTTCTGCACTTACGGTTTGCACCCAGGGCTCACAAGGAAGGAGGGGAGACCCCAGTAGAGCGGTGTGCTGGAGGAGGCACCTCCTGCTGGCGCCTTCACACACACTGCAGTGACCCGTGCGTGTTCTTGCTTCCCCAAACGTGTCAACACGAGGACAGCAGCCAGCTGGTCCCTCAAGGCGTGGAGTTTCCCAGCCATCAGCCCTGGGCCTTTGGCGGTGTCAGCAGAGATGTGTGTATGGTGTGGGGAGGTGCCTGTGTCTCCCGCCAGCCTCAGAGATGCCATCTGGGAGAGGCGGGGTGGGTGTTTTGACCGACCCCATCCCATCTGCCCTGTGCTTGGCACCTTATTGACATCTCGTCCTCGGTCCGGTCGTTAGAGCTGGGTTTAGGGGTGAGGAACCCAAGACCTCATCTCCCTGCAGTCGGTGGTGGCTCTGCCCTCCCTCTGGCGCTCTGTCTCTGAGAAAACGAGAGGACAGAAGCATGGAGACTGAAGGGCTCGGGTTTTATTTGTCATTCCATAAATACGGGCTGCGCCTCCCTCTGAGTCTGTCAGGAAGCTGGAGGCGCTTGCGGTCGGCCTGGTGGGATGCAATTAGCAAGGAGCCGCGCTCGTTAAAAAAAATGGGGAGAGAAAGCACATTATGTACATGACTGACAAGGGTGCCTTGCTGTGCCTCAGGACCTTGGGTCTGCGATGAGCAATAGCCGGGGCTCCGTGCGCCAGGCCCCCCAAACAGCTCCCTCCTGCACCAGGCCTGGCTGGCTGTGTTTCAAGGTGAAGAAGGTGTTGGAGGCTGGCTCGGGCTGACCAGCAGACAACTGGGGCTGGAGAAAGGGGAGATCTGTGGCCATGGAGGAAAGAGCTAACCTTAGACCTTCACGGGCCAGGGGCAAGGGCCCCCTCCCTTTACAGGCTGCCCTGTGGTGTCTTCTGTGGTATCCCAAGCCCCTCCATGGAGGCAGGGGACCCATCCTTAAGCAAAGCCCCAACTCCTCAAGAGTGGGTAAGGAAGGAAGCAAACATCTCAGAAACACTTGCCTGCGTCTAGGGCTCGTGTGGCTGGGCCTTAGTCCGGTTCACCCTGCAGTCTGCCTGCCTGTCTCTGGCATACACCCAGCTGGGGCTTTGCTCTGAGGTCTGTCCCGTGGGCAGTAAGTAGCAGCAACTCCTACCGCGGGCACCCCTGCGTGCCTGCTCCGCATAGCAAGCAGGGCCTATGCCAGCTGTGTGGACAAGGGCTGGCTACTTCCTGCCGGGGCCCTGCAGGGCCCTGCTCTGAGAGCAGGCCAGGTGGAGGTGCCACCGGAGCCTAGAGGCCTCCGTCTCCACACCCACAAGGGCTGCTTCTAAGGTCTCAGGGCTTGGGGCTGTGAGCAGTGGTGAAGGTCTGAGAGCCCAGGGTCTGCAGGGTGGGGGGGGCCGTGTGAGAGACAGGAAGTTGCCCACCGTGCCAGCCTTTCTTCCCATCTCGTCTCTCCATCCTGCCCGCCCTGCCTTAGTCTTTGCCCAGCTCGGGTGGTGAAGAGTAGCAGGGAGGAGACTTGGAACAGCAGCTACACTTCAGAAGCTGTGGCCCAGGGTGTGTGTGCCTGGGGACTGGCCGCTGCCTATCTAGGGCAGGAGGCTTCGGTCTAGGGAGATGACTGGTGCACATGGGTAGGAGCCTGTCCCCAAAGCATCGCAGGACCGTGGGATTGGCCCTCCAGGCAGCATGCCGTGCTCAAACCTGTAGGCTTCCTGGTACCACCATCTGCCTCCCTCCCACTGCTAAGAGGCTGCGTGTATCCTGCCCTTCCTCCCTCTCCGCAGCCTGTCCTGGGACAGCATGATGGTATGCAGCAGGGAATGAGTAGTCCTGGTCATCTTTTCAGGGAGGGGTCCCTGGGGATCTCTTCTTGCAGCCTGGGGACTGTTAACTGGAGTTCTGTTCTCCCAGGCCCTTATCTTACAGCATCAGAAACCCCAGGGCGTCTGCTCACTGAAAAGCTTCTGCCTTTTTCCAGGCAGAGCCCGAGTCACAAGCCCACTGCTCCAGTACCACAGAGGTATTCAAGGGAGGTCTGGGAGGAGCATGGGTTTGTGAGCAACGGGCCCAGTCTGCTGCTACCTGCCTGTGGTGTGGCCGGGTGCCACACTTGTCTACAGAGGGGCATTCTCCGATGGGCTCCACCCAAGCCTCCTGGGTTTCCCTGCTGTGGGGCTCAGAAGTTGTATGCAGGGTAGAAGATGCTGGGAAAGCCAGCTGGGACCCCTGCCCCTGCCAGCAAGGGTAAGGGTGGAGGCCAAGGGTCAGCTAGGTCAGCATAATCCCAGCCAGGGCCCGCTGGGCACGACGGGGAAGGTCAGGGTCTAGGAAGAGCGGGACCCCCGGGCCGGCCTTGAACAAAGTGCCTGGTGTCCATGGGGAGAGGGGGGCCCGGCCCTAACCACCAGGATCTGGCAGAAGAAGGGGGTGCTAGGAAGTGGCGGACCCCTCTTTGGAGGCAGGGGTTCTTGGCGGAGAGAGGCCAGCCCTGCCTGCTTTGAGGATTAGATTTCCACTCGGCCATGACTTCTGGGATCTCCATGAAGGGCCACGGCTGGGGGCAAATGTTCCTTTTTGAAGGATAAGCAGAGGTGGCGGCTTGGGTGGGAGCCTGAGTGTCTTTCCTAACGGATGCCGTCTCCTGGTACCCATCAGACAGCATCCAGTGAAGAAGTGGCAGGCGGCATCCCGCGGGGGTGACTTTGGAGGTCACTTCCTGGTAACGTCTGGGCATAGTGTTTTCCCCTTGGATACAAACCACACTCTGCATTTGGCTTTGAAAACAGCAGAAGCGAGCGAACAGAGAGGAGGAGGGAACCGGAGACTGTCCGAGCAGGTGGTGGAGGGAGTGACTTTAGGATCTATAGTCCTTTTTGCTGTAGGGTTTATTGCCCAGAATGCTGTCGATCTCGTGGACGATGGAAGACGACAATTTTGGAAGGACCTGCACGCAAGGATAAGAGTCTAGCCTGGCCTGAAGGAGAAGTGGGGGACTCTTCCTAGCATCTCAAGGCTCCTACTCTACGCCATTTGTCAGCGGGTTCCACTGGCCTCAACTTCTCACCCACCTGGAGCCCAGCCTTGGCTGCCATCACTAAACCCCCATCAAGTCTTTCGTCCTGACCTTGGCCTCCATCCGCTGTAAGAGCAGAGGCATTGTAAAAGCTCATCGGGGGCCTTCCCTGCTCCACGTCGAGCCTCCTGGGCTCCATCTCACCCATGTCCCCGCAGGCGAGCAACTCCAGCATCCACCCTAGTGCTCCAGCCCTCTGGACCGCTTGTTTCCCAAATGGTTCTTTGCTGAGTGGCTGGATAGCCCCCTCTGGACCCTCTGAGCTTGTTTCAAAGCTCTTTTCTTTGCAAGGACTCCCAGGTCTCTTAATGCCTTTGTGTCCGTCCCCCCCACCCCCCGCATTTCAGCATCCCGACTTCTCTTCCCACGGTGGTGGCTGCCTAAGGACACTCGGTCTTACAGTGTCATCCCCGTGAGGAACGGCTCTGCAGAACAGAGAGCCCTCTGCCATCCCCGGATGCCCCGTGCTCCTGCTAAGGGTGCTCAGTGAAGCTGTGTGCCCAGGAAGGCTTGGAGGTACCTGAGCCCGCACCTCCAGGACCCTCTCTCACCTGTATTGCGCCAATGTTCTCCATAAGCTGCTCTGCATTGGAAGCGCCCAGAAGTACAGAGCTGACGCCCTCGTTCCTCAGGCACCAGGCTGCGGGCGGCAAAACCAGAGGTGAGGGAGGTGCCCTCTGCAGGGCCTGCCTGGCTACGCCTGGGCATAGGCATTCAAGCTCTCATCTGGGGTGCAAGGATAGCTTACAGGGCTCTGTAGTACCCAGTGAGTTTGCCCAAGGGGGGGTATCTAGAAGTCCATGTTGCTTCTGATGGACAGGTAGTCCAAGTGCTCAAAGATCCTGGCCCCATGACCCCCCTCGCTAGCTGACTGAGGGTGTAGGCTGGTGGTCTATCTCTTAAAGAGACAAAGATTCTAACTCTACCCCGAGAGTCCTCACACCTTGGCCATCAAGGGGGTGCTGTCCAGGGTCCCTCACTTTTCTTCCCTTGGCCACTCTCTTTATTGTGGCTAGACACATCGCCCACAGCCAGCTGGTGGAGGCATAGCCTAGACCCTCAGGGACCTCAGGAACAGGTGCTCCTGCTCCCCCACCCACTGTACCCAGAGCCCATTACCTATGGCCAGCTGGGGGAGGGTGCAGCCTAGGCGCTCGGCGATGGCCTGCAGTTCCTTCAGCTTGGCCTGCTGGCGCCGACCCTCCTCACTCAGGATCTTGTCCTTCAACCACTGGTAGCCCTGGGAAGGGACGAGCTCCAGGTAAGGGGAGGTCACCGGACCTCCAGATGCAGGTGGCCGATTCTCCCCAAACAGCACCCCTGTTTTCCCCTGGCCTCATGCTTGCACGGGGCCAGACTCAGACAGACCCTTTGGTATCCTGAAGGACAAGGTTGTCTGTGGTGGACGGACCGAGCCCGGACCAGAGGCCCAGGGTACCTTTGGCTCTGAGGAGCCTCCTAGGGCTCAGGCTCGGGAAAGTCAGGGGTGTTGTCTCCCAAATATGATCACCCTCATGCTTCTTGGGTATATAACAAGGGAACAGGATTTGACTTGGGGCCAACTCTGAGCCCTAAGCTTTGTCTGGGGTGACGGTCGAGTGGGGAAAAATCACGGGAAAGGGAGCATTAATCTAAGGCAACAGTGGACCAGCCCGTTCTGCGATTGTTGACCCACGGAAGGAGCTAAGGTGGGGGGTGGTTCACAGCCCGCCTATCTGGGGTCTGTCCCACGGGTGGGAGACCCTTATAGACTTGGAGCCAGGCCCAAATCAGGCCTTTACCTATGCTCTTATGCCAAAGGTGTCCCTCCCCATGCCAGCAGGGCTCACCTTCAGGGAGGCTCTGGAGTAGGGCGGGATGCCACTGTCATACTTTCCTGAGACGATGCCACAGGCCAGAGGGGACCAGGTCATGGCACCCACTCCTGAGAGAGAGAGGGGGAGAGAGAGAGAGAGGGAGAGAGAGAGAGAGAAAGAGAGGGAGAGAGAGGGAGAGAGGGAGAGAGGAAGAGAGGGAGAGAGAGAAGAGAGAGAAGGAGGGAGGGAGGGAGGGAGAGAGAGAGGAGAGAGAGGAGAGAGAGGGAGAGAGGAAGAGAGGGAGAGAGAGAAGAGAGAGAAGGAGAGGGAGGGAGGGAGGGAGAGAGAGAGAAGAGAGAGAAGGGGAGGGAGAGAGAGAGAGGAGAGAGAGGAGAGAGGGAGAGAGAGACCAGGTGAGGTTATGCTGGGGTCCTGAAGGTATGGGGAGTGGGTGAAGGCAGGGTAGGCTGACACCCACCTATCTTGTGGAAGAGCTCTGGCAGCTGGACCTCTACCTTCTCTCTCTGGAACATGTGGTACTCGGCCTGCTCGCAGATGGGAGGGATCAGGTTGAACTGCCGAGCCACCGAGTAGGCCTCCTGAGGTACAGAAGGAGACCTCCGCGTCAGCGGACCTGAGGGCCACAGGGTGAAGGACACAGAGGCATCCCAGGCAGGCCTCGCTGCTCCTTCTACCCCCAGTCTTCCTGAGAGTCTGAGGCAGGCACCATGGGAGCCAGGAAAAGAGGGCAGGCTTTGGGACCCTAAGACTTAACGGCTCTTGGAGGAATCACAACGTAGTAAGGTCTGGGGCCGTCCAGCGACAGAAGGGATTGCGGTGCCTCAGTTCCAGTGAGTCAAGGGTGTCGGTAGTCCTTCCAATAGGGCCCAGCTTACGGCTGGCACTCAAGGCCCTGGACCCATGGTGAATTTGGTGGTTGCTAGTTCCTTCCGGAGGCAACAGCTGCACCAACTCGTTAGGGACCGGGAGCTTGGAGCCTTGTTTGAGGGCACTCTCACAATGGATGGGGTGAACTCAACCTATTGCCTGTAGACAGTTGTACGGTGGGGACAGGCCTGCCACTGAGAGAGGCCCTGCTCCACTTTGGTCTGAGGCTCAGCTGGGGGTAATGACACGGACAGGTTTCTGAGTCCTGTGCTGGCTGCGGATGGTCAGCCAGGTGTCCGAAACAGGCTCGCCAACCCACTCAGACGCTGTGTTATGCCAGGGGCTTCCGAAGTCCCCTGGGATTTGAAAAAAAATCCCGTCACACCACGGGGCGGTCATGTGTGGCTCACTGAAGCTACAGCAGGGCTGTTGTCCTGGAATGCTGAGACACTGGGCATGCGCAGGGGTGAGGCTGGGCGTGGATATTGCGCAGGGGTGAGGCTGGGCGTGGAGCGGAGGCAGGAGCTTGTCAGGAATGAACATTAGCCATCTCCCTGCCCTTCAGAGTCTTCGAGGACAGGGACACCCTGCTGACTCTTGGGGGGGGGGAGGAGAGGGGGGGAGACTCCAGAAACACATAGGGGCACAGGCTGCTCTAGCTTCTTTAGGGTCCCATGGAAAGAGATGACCATTATTGGGGTGCTTTCGTGAAAAGCCACCTGGGGCTCCCACCTGTATTGTCTGGGTATCAGTCTTGACCTAAGCTGTGATTTTTTTTTGTTGTTGTTTTTTCGAGACAGGGTTTTTCTGTATTGTTTTGGAGCCTGTCCTGGAACTCGCTCGGTAGACCAGGCTTGGTCTCGAACTCACAGAGATCCCCTGCCTCTGCCTCCCTAGTGCTGGGACTAAAGGCGTGCACTACCACCGCCTGGCGTAAGCTGTGATCTTAAGCATAGGACTTAACCCCTCTGTCCTTGACTTCCCCACTGGAGACAGAGGGTAGCATCACCGTTTCCCTGCTGTGGCACTGGGGAGGTTAAACGGGCATCGGCTCCCGGGAAGCCCTTGGATATGACAGAGCATCCCAGGAGCCCAGAATAAGTGTACCACGTAGCACAGGTACCGAGGGCCCTTAGGGTCACGCCATCGGGCTTGCCCTATAGATCCCGAGGGTGAGCCACCCGTCCAGGGCCGCGTACTTTGCTGTGAGGTAAGCCGAGAACCCTTGCCCATGACAACACACCCTGTTGTGCTGTCTTTTTTAGCACAAGTGCCTGAGTCTTGGGATCCCCTCCCACAAGGAACCCACGCCTGTGGACACACACGGGAGTCACCCTACCATGATCTCCATGGAACTCCAGCGTGACGTGCCCCAGTACATGGCCATCCCTTGGTTGATGACGTGGGTCATGGCCCGCACGGTCTCTGTGGGAGAGAAGGGAGAACATGGGTTGGGGCAGCTGGAGTTCAGGTCCAGCCTGGGATATGGTCTGCAGATGCAGGTGGGGTGCCAGGAGAAGGGGAGCAGGCTGCAAAGGCGTCTTGCAAGCAGTGTACTTCCTGGCTCCCTGAGTGCCTGAGTGGAGTGTGGGTGTTGGGCAGGGGAGATCCCAGCGGAAAAGAAACATGGAATTGAAATCCTGGGTAAGAGTTCTCTGACCAGGTAAGGCTTGTCGGGATCCTTGGAGAAAAGGCTTGTGGGTAGCCCGGCGCCCCCATGGTTGGCTCTGGGGGTTGAGGGAATGTGAACCCCAAGAGTGGGTCTCAGACTCTAGGATGAGGAAGTTGGAATCTCGGTCGCTCAGGGGACCAGCTGGAGGTATAAAAGGCCATAATCAGACGGGTCAAGGCAGTGACATTAGCAAGGCTTGCAAACACAGCTCTGCTAGTTACTGAAGGCCATTCTCACCGGAGTCCTGAGGACTTCACTGAGAGGGAGGACAATGCCCGTAGGAACAAAGGCAGGCCCTTGAGACTGGGGCTCTGGGTGACTAGCACAGGCTAGTCTCAGGGTGATGGGGACGGGAGGGTGGGGTCTAACTGTCCCTTCTGTGAGGAGTCAAGGTCTGGAGCAAACATCTGTGGGGTTCCGCAAAAGCTGAGACTTAAAACAACCTCAGGAGTGAATGGCTGAAACCATCCCCTACCCCATCTTCTTCTAGGGCAAGAGCTGAAGTCTCCCCACCCCAACAGCGCGTGTTTCGTCGTATTCAAGAGTTTTTGGGGGGCATAAAAGAATTCGCCCAGTTGAAAGTATTAAGGGACTGGATGGGAAGAAGTAAGGGATGATCAGGAATGGGAGGGGCAGGGAGGCGATGGGGGTGAGCATGTAGAGAAATGTCAGCAAAAACCCCATTTCCACGTATGGGTAATGTGAGCTCCCTTAAAGTCCCTGCCTCCGGTGGGCCTTCTCCCGCGGCTGTCTCGGCTCTTAGAGGTGTGTTGGCTCTTAAACCAGAACTTGGTCTTGGAGGAGTGAGGGACGGCTCCGCGGATTTCTCACAGGTCTGATACAGTGCTTGCAAGGTTGGCAGCCAAGGGCAGGGGAAGAACGCAGAGGAGCAAGTGCTTCTAAAAACAGGGGTAACGGTCCGCCGCGCCTCCGGATGCCTCCTTGGCGATGGCGGGGGCTTTGAGAGAAGGAAGATGCGAGTACCACAAATGACAGCCTGCCTTGACATGCCCCTGGGTCCAGAGTACTCTCCTGGCATGGGACACAGTGCAGGCTGTCTGCCCTGGTTTTTTTTTTTTTGAGGGGGAGGGTCTTCTTGTTCATTCTGGGTTCCTAAGTACTGCTTTGGCTAAGGTCTATTTATGGTGGAAACCAGGGTAACCTCATCTCTGGCACTAACACCACTGGGCTTCTGGTGTGATGGCCCCAGTAGGTTTACCCAGAACACCCCTGCCGCCCACCCCTCTTCTGAGGTCAGGGATAGTAGTTCTTTGGAGTTTTCTTCACCCCGCCTAGGTGAGGGACAAATGAGGAGGGAGTTTTGGACTTCCCTGGGTCACTAGCTTTAACTGACGTCAGAACCGGATTGGGAGGTTTCAGGAGACCTAGAGGGTCCTGGGGTCCACTCGACAGAGCCCAGGCTCCTGGACAAGCTGCCCTCATTAAGATTTTTAGAAACACTCTTGGAGGCACCCGAGACTATGCAGCATGGTTCCCTGTTCTTTTCAGCCAAGGTTTAGGTCCACATGCCAGAGCTAGGGGAGCTGAGAGGATGGTCCACATCAGTCTCTCTCCCCAGCCTCCCCCAGAGCTGCCTGCTAATGGTCATGACAATCACAGCCAGGGACACTGCGCGATGCTCTTCCCATGCAACGAGGAAGATGGAGACGGCCTAACACCTGGGAATAAGACTGATGGCCAGGAGTCTGGTATGACTGGCTGTTCTGAGGGCCAGGGGGACCTGGGCACCTCGGGGATCTGGGCAGAGGCAGCCAGACGTGGGGCACATGTTCAGGAGCACTGTGCACCTGCACCAGCATGTCCGTGGACCCAGAAAGTGACAGCAGGGATGACTGTCTTTCACCTCAATAATTAATGCTGCCTGACGGAAACAGGGATGCTAAATCCTTTCAGTGGCAGCCCAAACCCAGGGCGTCTTCTGCAGCATCACAAATAACACATGGGAGGGGTCAGGTGGCAGCACCAGGTGGCAGGCAGGAGCCCTTCCAGTGTGGAATGCTGCCCAGTTCCCAGGGAGACTGACACCTATCTTTGAGGCGGGGTTCTAAGGCCGGTTGCTGATGGGGAGGGGGGGAGAGGCAGATACCAAGCTTGGCACAAGGATGCCCTGGGCCTCAGCACTGTGTCAGCTCACGTATATACTCTTTAAGGAAGAGAATCACTCCGTTTTGATCCTGGCTGCCAGATAAACAGACATGAGTGGCCGCATGCAGCCAGAGCGCTTACAAGGAGCCATTGTGGTAGACGGGGCGGCTTGCTGGCCGGCGTTCTTTGCCTCTGTTGGAGGCTAGAACTTACCAAGCATGAGCTATGAAAGAGGTAAAGCCTCAGGGGTTGCACAGTCTGGGGTCCCAGGACCTCTGTGGAAACCTAGTCTTTTCCAGCCCTTCCCATCACACCATCTGAGGTCAAGTTCCCAGGCAGGGACCGGAACATCCTCAGACCAAGGGAGGCCTCGGCAGAAAGCCAGCCATCCGTCGCGGATCACGGCATCGCAAGCATGGAGTGGGGGGGCATGCACCCCGGGAAGGAGGGACGGGACGACAGCATGGATGGGCAGCGAGGGGGCTCCAACACCATTTTGCTTTCCCTCTGCTTGCAAGATGTCCTCACGGGGCATTGCCCCACCCCTTCTTATGCATTTTATGAAGAAGTTTGTCATGGGCAGGGGACAGAGAGTCGTGTAAATAAAAATACTGTCTCATAAAATGCAGCTCGGACACAGAAGTCAATAGTCGGCTGAGGGTACTGTGTACCTTCAATGATGAATGTCCTTGACTTGAAGGAACTAAATGGGTCCCCTGGTGATAAAAGAAAGATTTAAAGAGACCAGAGTTTATCGCTGTGGGAACACAGAGGCGTGGTGTGATAAAGGGCAAGACAGAAGAGCACAAATCATCCCAGAACAGAGCTCTGTTAAAAAGAAAGAATATATATATATATATATATATATATACACACACACACATACACTCACACACACACACTCTCATACACACTCACAACACACTCTCATACACATGCACTCACACTCACACACACACTCACACACACACTCACACTCACTCACACACTCTCATACACATGCACACACACTCACACACACTCACACACACGCACACACTTACACTCACTCACACACTCACACACCCACACACACTCACACTCACGCACACACACTCACACACACTCACACACACTCACACACACTCTCATACACACTCACAACACACTCTCATACACATGCACTCACACTCACACACACACTCTCATACACACACACACTCACACACACACTCACATACACATGCACACACAGATGCACACACACACTCACACACACACACTCACACACACTCATACATATGCACACACACAGATGCACACACACACTCATACACATGCACACACACAGATGCGCACACAGATCCACACACACACTCTCACACACACACTCTCATACACATGCACACACACAGATGCACACACAGATCCACACACACACACACTCACACACACACTCTCATACACATGCACACACACAGATGCACACAGATCCACACACACATGCACGCTCACACACACACTCACACACACACTCACACACACACACTCACACACACACTCTCATACACATGCACACACACAGATGCGCACACAGATCCACACACACATGCACGCTCACACACACACTCACACACACACACTCTCATACACATGCACACACACAGATGCGCACACAGATCCACACATGCACGCTCACACACACACTCACACACACACACTCTCATACACATGCACACACAGATGCACACACAGATCCACACACACACACTCTCATACACATGCACACACACAGATGCACACAGATCCACACACACATGCACGCTCACACACACGCACTCACACACACACACTCACACACACACACACACCAGTGTGATATATATATATATATATATACACAAAAGCAAATGGAGACGAAATAACAGTTCAACTTAACCTCCCAAGTCCCAGAAGCAGCAAAGCAGAAATGAGAAGATGCTGAGGCAGGAAGTGGGGGAGATGGAGGGGACCGGGAGTCGAGGGAACAAATAAACGCTAAAGAAACCCAAAAGGCTCTTCAGTGCGCTGAGTGCTTCCTCTCCTTCAGGTAATAACTTTTACCCCCAGAGCAAAAGACCTCTAAGCCCTCCCAGGGGAACCAGAATGAAAAGAATAAACCATCCCCGCCCCCCCCAGCCACCCCGGTGCTAAACACCAGCTGCCGAGAAGGTGCTACTGCTCCCCAACAGAGCCAGGATACAGAGTGAGATCGGGGCCCAGGCTCGGCCTGGCAGGGCCAGGGCCCACCCCTCCCCCACCCAGAGGCCTAGCCACCTCCGTCCTGAGTGCCCAGCGTGGTTGTGCTTGGCAGTTACTAGAGCCCCAGAGCCGACCACTGGTCCGCCTGGCTTTGTCCTGCCTGCATGAACTAGGCAGGGGGGAGCCGGCCGACCTACCTTCCATGGGCGTGTTGGGGTCTGGGCGGTTGGCGAAAACCACATCCACGTAGCCCAGCTGCAGCCGCTCCAGGGAAGCCTTCAGCCCTGGGAGAAGACAAGACAGGAGTGGTAAGCACTGCGAGGGAGCCTCTAGCTAGTCCCCCCCCGGCTCAGGGGACCAGAGTCAGAAGAGAATAGGCCCCCGTCACACGGAGCTTTAGGATAGGTGAGGGTCTTGAGGAGATGCCAAGACACAAGGCCCATCCTAAAGGGAGGCGGGCACCCTGGCCATTTCCAGGGGATGTCAGGAGAACCAGAGACCAAATGTCCCGGGACGAAATAGACAGATGCTACCAGGGCCACTTCCAGGGTCCTGGTAGTCTGTACTGAAATAAGCAGAGCTGGGTGTGGTATCACACAGAGGGACAGTACAAAAGGCTGGTGGTGTGTGACACACCAGCCCACCAACCCACACCTCCCAACAGTTCAGAGATCCAATGGCTAGGATGAAGACACCGGGCCTGAGGTGGGGAGCCAGGAACCGAGCCCTCCCTGCCCCTGCCTAGCGATGATGTTTCCCGTGAGAAGTATCACGGAGAATAAATGTGACTTAGGAAGAAGCCTGCATCCAGCCACTGTGGTTGGACGAATCTGGGCTGCGTGCCCGTTATTCCTAACAGCCCTGAGCGGGCGGTGTGCTCACACTGCCCTGCTTTCCAGACCTTTTGACACAAGCTCAGGGAGGGGACGGCTTCTTGCCCAAGGCCATCCAGACAGCACACGGCTCAGCCTGGCCTGAAGCCTGGCCATGTCCGTCCAGGCTCGGCATGCATAGCCTCTGTTCAGTAGCGGGTCTCCTGCATCGTGTCTTTTTGGAGTGGACGGAAATGTTTGAAGAAGGGCCAGGGCCTGGGCTGAATCACTGAAGGGAAGGGTAGGGCTACAATGCCTCTAGGCTCTCCTTCACAGGGGACCACGGGTTGGGGACACCATGCTTAGAGACCCTCGAGCTCACCTTCGATTATGTGCTTCCGGGAAAGGCCTCTCTCGGTCTCCGCTCTGAAAAACATACGCTTCAGTCGGTTGGGGGATAATGTTTGTGATCGCAATGGAAAAACGTAGATCGGAACACAAGACGTCTGCGGGTAACAGCCACAGGCGGAGGAGTACCCTTCACGGCTCGGGGTGGGCACCTGGATGCTGACCCCAGGGTGGCAGCGGGGCACAAGGGCACTAGGTTTCAATATCACCTCGCTGCCCAGCTTCGATATGTTATTTATTTATTTATGCTTTTTTTTTTTCGAGACACAGTTTCTCTGTATTGTTTTGGAGGCTGTCCTGGAACTCGCTCTGTAGACCAGGCTGGCCTCGAACTCACAGAGATCCACCTGCCTCTGCCTCCCGAGTGCTGGGATTAAAGGTGTGCGTCACCAACGCCCGGACGTATTTATGCTTTTTGAGACAGGTTTTCCCTACGTAGCCCAGGGTGGCCTCAAACTCAAGATCCTCCTGCCTCAGCCTCCCAAGTATTGGGGTTAAAGGATGTTTTTAAAAAGTTACGAATGAGGTTTTTTTTTTTTTTTTTTTGCAATTTGTTTTGAGACAGGGTTTCATGTGTCCCAGGCTAGCTTCAAATTTGTCACTCAGCTACGGATGACCTTCAACTTCTGAGTCCTCGGCCTCCGAAGTGCTGCAATTACAAGCATGAACCACCAGGGTTTATAGGGTATAAGGAGGAACACAGGGCTTCATGCATGCCTGGCAAGCACTCTCCCGACCGGGCCTCGTTCTCAGCCTATAAATCATTTAACTCCTATGAGATGAACTGTGTCTAGCCCTGTGGGGAATATAGAGCCAGACACCTGGAAACTGACAGAGTGATAGGTGGGCCCCGGAGACTTTAAGCTGGCTTCGATAATTCATAATTCTGCTTTCTAGAATTTTTATAATGTCACCATGTTAAGTAAAAATAATAAAAATTAAACAAGGTTTGAGTAAAAGACAAACTCAGCCAAAGCTCCTTGTGGCTTGGGGATATACCGGACGGGCGTGAGGTCCCCAGCCTGCAGATAGCTGTGAGAGGCCAACGTCCCCTCCTTCCTCAAGATCAACAGTGACCCTTGCCCTCGACTTGCAAGTGGTGTCTCCGCAGGGACGGGGGCTGCAGTGGCTAGCTACCACTGGGGGGCGTTGCAAACTGCGGTACTTACTTTCCACCCCAGAAGATCTTGGTGGTGATGACGAGGCTGGACCGTCTGCAGAGTAGAAGAGAGGGGTTACTGGACCTGGCAGGCCCTTGAGGTCTTCCCTCAGCCTTCACCTAGCGGTCCTACAGCTGTCCTGCCAACCCCCCCCCCCCAGCTCGGTGTGAAATGGGCGTTTCTGAATCGTGACGTTCTTGCCAGGTGCTGAGCTCAGGTTCTGGGTCTCCCCACGAACAGATGCAACCAAGCAACTCAGCGTGGCAGCCCGGCTGGGTACTGGGGTCCCACAGCGGAGATGCAGAGCGAGAGCGAGGGTTCTAGGAGTCCGTGACAGTGGCTTCCCCATCCCTACGTGTGCTCCTCAGCCCCATGAGGGCCCGCTGAGGCAGGAGAGCCTCAAGCTGGGCTCTCGATGCTCGCTCTGCTAGCATTGGTATGGGCAGTGCCAGCTTATGCCAAAGGAATGGTGGTCCAGTGTGAGCCTCTCCATGCACACGGCCAGGGGCTTTAACCTTGGATTACTGAATTGGGAGAATCTGTCTGGGACTGATCAGAGCCAAGGGGAAAACAAACGGGCTTGTGTGAGAGGAGAGAGGGAGTGAGGGTATCAGGGACCCTGTGGCGTGAGGTCTGGTCACTGAGATTCTAAGCCACCATCAGGAGGGTCAGGGATGAGGGACGGTCCAGCTTTACCTGAGGCCTGGAGTATAGAGCAGGACTCGGCCTAGACTGATAAAGGCAGGATGTACTAAACCCCCGAAACTGTGAGCAAACCTCCCATTAAACGCTTCCCCTTACAGGCTGTCCCCTCACAGCAACAGCACAGTGACCGGACCAGGCTCCCACTCTGCTGCCTTTGAGCTCCGTCACCGCCCAAGCCCGAGGGACACGATGTGTCTGGGTGCTGGGCTGAAGTCACTCTGCCCCCAGCTCCAGCAGGGCCTGACCAGGCTAGACTGGTGATTTACAGACCTAGACAGCTTGCTTCCCTGCTCACTGGCCTCTTTTACAGATGCAGTGAGCTCCTGAAGGCTGAACTACCTCTGAGGTCCTTGGGTGGGGCAGAGGATGGAGTTCAGCTGAGAGGTAAAAGGTTTTCACATGTGGACCTCTGTGCGGTGCCCGTCACACCCAGGTCACCTGGGGTGGGGGGGGACACTCATCTGCAGTTCATTTTGGCTCAAGACTCTGTTCAGTAACCCCATCCCGCGGAATCTCTGTGAGATGTGTGTGGAGGGGAGGGGGGCCTAGGGCAAACAGTGTCACTTCTGCCTCAAAGAACCGAATTGTGCATCCGTTTGGGGGACATGGCGGACTCTGGCACCCTGGCCTTAGCGGCTGGCAGGGCGCCCCCTGTGGTGTGGGGGCTCACTCCCTCTGGAGTGGGCAGAAGCTGCTTCTGTTCCGAGAGGTCCCCCCTTTTCAGCAGGAAATACCGGGCGACTGGAGGTTTCAGCAAGATTGCGCAGGGAGGCCACAGGCAGGGCTTTCCGTGTGCACAGCAGGGTTGCGCCTGACTGAGAACGCCCTCGAGTGCAGGCTGCTGCTTCCTGACAGGCGTGTACCGCTCTGCCTCTTTTTATGCACTGCTGGGAACTGAACCCAGGCCTGGCAAGCACTTAAGCAACATTCCCAGCCCTCACAATTCTCTTGCTATTGCCTAGCCTACTGGCCCTTGCAGGGTACTGGATTACCTTTTCTCTGGGGGGGAGGGAGGGGGAAAAAGAGGGGGGAGAGAGAGAAGGGGGGCTGGTGAGCTGGGCCAGTGGATAAGATGTGTGCTGTCAAGCTAGAAACCCCGAGCTCCATTCCCTGAATTCACATGGTAGAGGCAGAGAAACAACTTCCACGGGCTTTCATCTGACCCCAGATAAACGTGATGATATAAAAAAACGATAAAGAAAAGATCGCACAAGCAGCTGTTGGGCCACTCCTTTGGTGACTGGCAAAGACCAATCCCCAAATGCTCATGGCCCCCACTGCGGTGCCACCCAAGTCCGGGCTTGCCCCAGGCAGATGGCCTGCCTACCCTAGCCAGGAGAGAGACCCAGGATGCTTTTGCCTTTTCCTTAGTTGCGTGCTGTCCCCCTCCCCCGCCCCCAGCCTTCCTTGTGAGCCCTGGAGACAGACCACAGAGAGCCGGGTAATTACCTCCATCCCTTCTTCTTAATGATGTTTCCTAATACCACTTCAGCCCTGCAAAGGGAAGAGAAGGAGAGAGGCAGACATGGGGATTTCGTCTATGCGTAACGGAAAAAAAGAAAATCAAACCCAGCCCCACCATGACAATGAGCCGCCAGGTCCCCTCTGTGAAAATACCACTGGGGTTGGAATGCCAGGCGCCTACGCGGCCTTGGCTCAGCAGCCCATTCCAGGACGGGTTAAGGACTGCAAACGTCCAGGACTGGCAGCAGGGGTGGGGGGTGGCGGTGCCAGTCCTCTGATGAAAAGGCCTGGTCCCTGCAGCTGCACCTCTGGACTTGTTGGGGAAGGACAGGTCCCCACAACTGGCTTCCTCACCCAGCTAACAGATACCCTGGGGGGAAAACACTCAGGCTGGGTACATGAGTAAGATGTACAGCAAACTTATCTTTAAAAGGCAAGCACACAGTGGCCTAGGTGCTCTCTGCACACATCATCTCTGTATGCAGAGACAATGCACCTCCTGGGGCCGACGTGGGGCTTCCAACCAAGCCTGTGCGTGCCTGTCTGCTTTGTGTGTGTGTGTGTGTGCATGTGTGTGCATGTGTGTGCGCGCGTGCATGCGCACATATGTGTGTGTGTGAGCGTGTTTGCGTGCGGCTCGTTTCTCTCTTTAAACAACAGAGAGCCACCCAGCCCACTGCCTGTTCTTGGCACGCATTAGGGTCCCGCTTCAAGCCGGGGCCAGCTGGGGTCACAAGCTGGCTGTTCAGCTTCCCTTTGGCACAGTGGTGCGGATTAACTTTTAAGAACTTTCTGCTTGTAGCAAAATGTTTCTGAGCAAAAACAACAGACGGAAAATGATCCAAACCCAGCGCCACATTCCAATTATAAAAGCGCCTGAGTCATCCACTCAGAAATAATGGGCTCTAATTTGCAAGCTGTTTAGCATATATTCTGAATGCCCCTCATTTATGGTCAGGACGCACTGAAAATTCAATCAGCTCTGGCCTCCTTTCATTCCTTGGTTCCCCCAATTTGTCAGACAAAAAGAGCAGGAGAGGAGGGAGGTGACGGCGTGGCTGCCTGAGTCGCTAACCCAAGTCTTGCTTGCAGTCTTGGCACAGAAATATTGCAGGTCGCCGAGGAGCACACAGATTACCGTCAGCAAGATATGTGTGCGCTCACCCCCGGTCAGTGACGGGGTGGCTCTGGCTGACTGCTTGCTGGAGCTATGGCTTAGCCTCTTGGTCAGAGGAGCTTGGCCTGCCCCCAAGATACAGTGCTCAGCTTCCCAGTCACACAGGCGGCGTTAAGGTATCTCTGCCTTGTGAGTAGGCTGGCCTAGCTACAGGCTGGACTGTGGAGCCACAGCAGCTGGTTGAAGAGCGGAGGGCATGGGGCTCCGGAAGCAATGCCATTCGGAGCAGAGAGCTTCTGCTGAAGGCCATGGCTTCTAGCAGGAGGCTTCCCGAGAGGCCCCCAGGATGCCCAGTGTCTGGAGTGGCTGTCCTGGCATGCCAGCTCTGAGTGTCCAGTTCACTAGAAGCGAAGGCAGTGACAGGGCAGAGTTTGGTAACTGCTCAGTGGAGGGGCCACCTGGAGACGAAGGAGGTGGCATCAATCTATGATTGCTCTCCTGGGCAGCAAGGCTCGGGCAGGAGCTGGGCCGGGGAAGAGGAGACTGCGGGATGCCTCTGGGCTGGGCATCTGCATCAGGCTCTCCGACCTCTGGCTGTTCTGCCTAGCTTGGCTGTCTGGGAAGTATCTTGCTGTGATTGGAAGCTGCTGTCTGTTTGGAGAAGGCGGGGTTGTGGGTTGGGGTGGTGTAGGAAAGATAGAAGCCCTGCTGATGGAGGCTGAAGGGGGTGGGGGAACAGCTGTCGGCTCCCCAGGCCCTTGGTAGGGACTGGATAGTTGTCCAGCTGGGTTCCCTGATGCTTGGCGCGATGGGTCCCACTCGAGGCAGCAGGTAACATCCCAAGGCCCAGGAAGCAGATGCTGGCCCCGTGGCCATGGCGCACAGCAGATCAGGGCTGCAGCCAGCCCAGCTGATGGGAACTTGGCTGGCTCCAAGCAGGAGCGGGCTGAAGGGAGGACAGAAAGAGAGCCAGGGAATGATTTCACCCAGGAAAACCTACTTTTGGGAAATGTGATGCAGGAGCCTGGATGATCTGATCCCAGCCCGTCTTTAAGCCTGAAGCCAACGGCTTTGGCTGAAGAGCGCCGAGCTTTACATAATCGAGTTGGAAAGTTCATCATCCGTCAAGATGGAAAGCGCTCCCTTCGCGCTGAGGTCTGCCGGCGCCTGCGCACTCCGGCTCAGAAAGGCTGTGTGTCCTACATAGCGTCTATGGCACCATTAAGACCTGAATAGGCCAGGCTCACGGGGTTGGCTGAACCTCACCAGTGTGTCCACATAGCCAGGGACAACATCAGGTCTCGGTTCTAGTCCAGCACCGTGTCTTGGTTGGTGGCTGGGCACACCGGGGGGTTTAGAAAGCAGCCGGGGTGCCTGAGTGTTCTGAGTCTGGCCGCATCTAAATATCTCCCAAGATCATTCAGGGTTTTAAAAAGAGGACAGAGTGGTAGACACCATTGTGGGTGCCTGGGAAGGAGAGATGGTAGCTGGAGATGTGACTCCCTGAAGGTGTCCCGTGCCACCTTCTCTCGTGAGGAAGGTACATACTTGCCAGCAGCGTAGACCTCTGCTGTATCGAACAGGTTGATGCCATTGTCATAGGCCAGGGTCATGAGGTGCTCTGCCATCTGAAACGATAAAACCAGAGCTGTCGCAGCCAGCACTGTTTTTTTCCAGCTCCAGGGAGGCTCTGAACCAGTGGTTCTCAACCTTCCTAATTGCTGCTGCCCTTTAACACAGTTCCCCAACGCTGTGGTGACCCCGACCGACTGTTAACATCTTCATTGCTACTTCAGAACTGTAATTTTGCTACTGTTACGGATCGCAATGTAAAATCTGTGCTTCCCTGTGGTCTTAGGCAAACCCTGTGAAAGGGTGGGTCAATCCCAAAGGCTGGCCGGATGGCCAAGTTCCTACCCAAGTGTCTTGTCAGAGAAACACCAGCAAGGTCCACGAGACTCTCAGCCCCACTGTGGAGCGGCTGTGGGAGCCTCCTCCCCAGAGCCGCCCACCCAAGGAACCTCTCTGCTCATGCTGGGCTTGTTCTGCGATGCCAATGCACGGGCAAGTGTGGCCTGCTCACCGGTGCCGTATTGCTCTCACCATGACCCTCCCCAGGTGTGTCCCACCAGCCAGCCTGAGTCACGCTTGGAGGGGGGTCACTGCATGGTGCATCCCCGCTGGATAGGGTGCCCCGTGACGGCTCTAGAGGGCCTGGACCTCTGAGAAGAGAGGGCTCATGGCTTGCATTTTTATCTTTTGGGGACTTTTTTTTATTAGATAGGCATGTACTTCTTTCTGTACTGCTCCATCTGCCCGACCCCAAAGGAGGCTGCAGCTCCTCTGCCTGCTGTCTTTAGCAGTTTAGAGTGGTTCACGGAGAGCTTCATTCCTTCCCTCTCTCTTTAGACAGACACTTACTGGAGCTGGGATGTGGCTCAGTGGGCAGAGCATCGGGCCCAGCACGCTGGAAGCCCTGGGTTTAGTTACCAGCGACACACAAAAGCAGGAGTACTCTCACCCACCTGTAACCCCAGCACTCAGCGGGTGGAGGCAGGAGAATCAGTTCAAGGTCATTCTTGGTTACATATCAAGATCAAGGATAGCTGGGAATACACGAGACCGTCTTAAAAAATGTGTGTACTAAAATCTATATGGAAAAACTTCTCATATTAACCCTAAAACATTTTTTCTTTTTGGAGGGGGACAGAGACGGCTCAGGGGTTAACAGCGTTCGCTCTTACAGAGGGACCAGGTTTGGCTCCCAGCACCCACATGCTGGCTCATAAACATCTGTGGTTCTAGTTCTAGGGTATGTGACACCCTTTTCTGGCCTCCGCAGGCACTATACGCATGTGGTGCATGTACATATACGCAGGCAAAACACTCAGCACACATAAATATAACTAAAAAAAAAAGATAACTCTTAGCCAGGTGGTGGTGGCGGCGGCGCACGCCTTTAAGCCCAGCACTCGGGAGGCAGAGGCAGGCGGATCTCTGTGAGTTCGAGACCAGCCTGGTCTATAGAGAGAGTTCTGGGACAGCCTCCAAAGCCACACAGAGAAACCCTGTCTCGAAAAACCAAAAAAGAAGGAAAAAAGAAAGATAACTCTTTTGAGACAGGGTCTCACTATGTAGTCCAAACGCTCCTCCAACCCACGTTCTCCTTGCTTAGCCTCCTGAGTGCTGAGACACTGGCAGCTGTCACCGGGTCCACAGTCCTGGCGCACGCTCACCACTGTGCGGCCGTCACCACCGTCTTCCCTGGGGCTCTCTTGTGCACAGCGGCTCCCCTGGTGGGCAGCCGCTGTGATGTCACAGCACAGGAGCCGTCAAACCTCCCCCCTCCCCACCCCCGCGCCGGGCCAGGTATCTAACGACTCAAGCATCTTGGGCTAGACGACCCGTCAAGTACTCAGCTTTTGTCCTTGCGGCAGAAGCAGCCACAGGCGTGCCAACCAGTGAGTGTGGCTATGCGTCAATGAGACTTCACTCACAAAGACGGACTGCGGGCTCAACAGCGACAGGAGGTGGACTAGAGGTGAGCAGGGACCGGGAGAGTTACTGCTTGACGGTGTGGCACTCCCGTTTGCAAACGGAAGCTGTGTTTGCATGGCAATGTGGAGACACCCCATGGACTACGCCCTGGTGATGATTAAAGTGGTCGTTTTTCTGTCTGCGTGTGCGTGTGTGCACTTATGCGTAGGGCTAGAGGTCAACCTTGGGTATCATCCCTTAGGGTGCTGGCCAACTGTCCACCTTGACCCACTGGAACCTCTCATCTGTCCTGCAGATTCCACCAGGCTGGCCAGCCAGCGGTCCTTCCGTGCCTACGGCCTCGGTGCTGGGATTTCAAGTACACACCGCCATGCCCCACTTTTTATGACTTCTGGGGATTCAACTTGCGGGTAAGCATTTTGTTCGCTGAGTTACCTCTCCAGCCCTAACACGGTGAAGTTTATGCTTCACACCTTTAACCAAAAGTCAACCAAAAGTCCTCAAAGTGGGGTGGAAATCAGCCCATAGCCAGCCTTGGCTTTCTGACCGGCTCTTACCAAACAGTCAGAGAGTAAACATCTCTGCCCTCTTCTCCTGGCACAGCTAGGGGCCCCTGACATTCGGCATATTGATTTCTTTCTTTACGTGAACCGCGGGATCTAATACAAAAATGTTTCTTCTTCCTTCACTATGTCATTTCTGTCTGCCGCACCCTCCCAGGACCCCGGCTCTGTCATCTATCCCTCCTCTCCTCCGCTGGCCTGATGTCATTGAGGTGTGACCCCCCCCAGCGTCGTTATCCTCGTCACCCTCTCCGTGACTGAGACACAGTGAGGGGCAGAGCCGTCTAAGATTCATCCATCAATACTCTACAGTGGCACAGATCTGCTGGGGACAGAGTCACTGGTCCACAAGGACGTCACGCCCTGCAGCTAGTGTCAGAACAGTTCGCTCTCTTTATGCCCTCCACGGCTCCTCCATCTCCTGTGTCACCCTGTAAGGGGGGTGGGGTGAGGCTGAGTCGGACCTGACTTATTGGAGACAAACCATACAGGTCCCCCCGGCTCCGATTTCTACTCTGAGTTCTGGGGACCAGAGCTCCCCCTTGGAAGCTTATCTCCAGCAGCCTCCGAGCACAGGGCAAATGGTAATGACCCGGCTACTGCTATAAAAATCAAGAACGAAACCACACACTGCATTTAAATCTCTGTGGGAGCCAAGTTTCCCCTAAAAACGGAGCGATCGCCGCTAACAAGGTCTCAAATGGACCCGCTCATTAATTTTTTAAACACAATCCTTTCTACGGCAGATTGGGCAAACACAATGGCTGAGATGCCACAGATGCAGAGAGCTCTCCTCTCTGACCTCCCGCCGTCCGCATGTGCGTCCCCCTCCCTTCTGACAGGCCCTGAGATCAGCTGGTTCTTAGTGTCACCTTGTGCCCCAGCAGCAGGTAAGCCCCAGGAGACTCAGTTCCCGGTAGTTAGAGGTAGTTAGTAGGTCAGAGCACAGTGGCCCGACAGACAGCCTGTTCAGGCTGACATCCATATGGATGGTCCTCTAGTGTGGCATACCCAGCTCAGATCCCCTATCCAGCTTTGTCACTTGGAAAACATGGACCTTCGACGCTCAGGTTAGCTGAGGCTTCTTGTGTCACGTACCTGACAATCCTGGATTCCTGGGAGCTGAGAGACTTTGCTGAGAAATGGCAGGTCTCAGCTGACTGGTGCCACCAGGTGCAACAACATCTTTCTGGGCCAGCACCCCTCGGCCTGCCTGGCCACCAAACAAAGGCAAAGAGGCTTCCACGGTGGCGTCCATGAGCATACACAGTCCCTGGCTCACACAGGGGGACTTAGCCACACACCTTGGGGCTGAGGGCTCCATCTTACCTCATCCGTGATCTGTCCCCCGAAGGTCACCCATGTTCCTGGAGAGGAGACATACATATAGGCTCAGGTTAGATCATCTGACAGTGGACCAGAACTGCCTTGTAGGCACTCAGACCTCGACGTGTAGGGCACAGAGTCAGGGACAGCTGCGTGCTACCCACTGCTCTGTGTTGAGCGTGCCCTGTATATGCGGACACCTGGACTCCAGGCTGAGTCTGGCGGACGGGGAGCTGGGTAAGCCGAGGACGGCTGTGGCCTCTGAAATGCCCACCTGGAGACAGGTGTGGAGGCTCACACCTGTAACCTAAGCACCTGGAAGGCTGAGACAGGAGGACTGCCCCGAGTGTGAGGCCAGCGTGGGCTACGGTGTGACACCCTCTGAGGCCAGGGCTGCTGTGGTACCGTCCCAGAGAGTGAATGAGGGTGCTTCCCTGATGTCAGGCTCTGCTTGGAGAAGGTCTGTTAGGTATGGCTGTTGGGGCTGGAGGGGTAAAAACTGTGTTTGCCTTGAAGGCGCAAGACAGTAGGTTCTGAGGACTGAGCTCACGTCTGGAGAAAGGAACAGGGCAAGCCCAGATGGTCTCTCCTGGGGATGGTGTCTCTCCGAAGTGAGGCTTAGAAGCCAGGGAGAAGGCTTCCTGGTTCAGCGAGAGTCACGGGCTGCTCTGATTTCTGGGTAGGGGTGAAGAGCTGTGTGGCAATGGGACTCCCAGGGTTCCCCTGGCCTCTCCCCAGCTAAAGCTGTATGTAGTTTTGTCCCTTCCTTCTTCCTAGCCCCCGGTTGCCGTGGCAACCTAATCTCCCAGAATATAGGCTCTCGGTGTAGCTCTCCATGGGGGTGGAGCCAGCGTGCTTGAAGCCCCCACATCCTTGTTCATGAGGGGTTCCCGTACTTACCAAGTCCCAGGCAGGAGACCCGAAGGCCAGATTTGCCCAGGTTCCTGAAAAAAAAAAAAAAAAAAAAAAAGACCGAGTCAGACCTTGGCCCAGGCAGGGTGCAGCCAGCCAGGTAATCATCAGGTAATCACCAGTGCCGCTGGCCCGTTGCCTGCTTCCACCCAGTGAAAACGTTTTCTGAAGGGCGCAGAGAACCATCTGGGGAGGCCTCTGTTAGCCTGATGTGCGGTGACGTGCCAGCTGTTCCCCGGGTCCACTCTGGGCTCACACAGGCCTGCGGAGGGTTGCAGCCTGCCTCAAGGTCAGGTGCCGGTAATGATTAGGGCTGCTGTTTTCACGGACAGGCTGCGAGGCAACTCTGACTCAGGTCTGTGTGTGGCCGTAGGGTTAAGTTCTCTCTAGAGGGCACATTTGTGATCTCTGTTACGGGTTGTTTGTCCCTCTCTTTGAGAGCAGAGACATTCGGTGAGCCCTGCTTCTTCTGGGCCACAGAGCTGGCCCTTCGGCCGCCGATGTCTCAGAGGCTGGCGGTTTGGGTGGCACTGCGGTTCCCCAGCAGGGTGGCTCTCCCTCTGTCACAGCCAGGCCTGGCAGCCCATGAAATAACCTCCCATGGCCCACCGAGGCTCCTACCTGGCAAGGACGCACATTAGCGTACGGACGGGCCGTGTCACGATTCCCCAAACGCAGAGGACATACTGAGGTCACCCTAGGAAGTGGGGAATGTGGTTCCCTGGGCAGCCAGCCCAAGCTATCCACTCTCCTCGGGCGCTCACTCCTGGGGCCTGTGTGTGTGTGTGTGTGTGTGTGACAGGGATGTGACGAGTGTCCGGGTGTCACAGCTCTGCCTGGGCCCTGACCCTTCTAGGGCTGCGCCCTGCTTCCTTCGTGGGGTCCTGCACTATGCTCCCCAAGGGACGGTCACTCCCAGAGCCCGCTGTGCACGTCCAGCAAGGATGCTGGCCGTTGTGACGGTGGACCACACAGTTCACAGGCCTGGTGCCTGGTCACGGGGCCTTGACTTATTATGTATTTTGCTTCCCAAAGAGGCAGCTGCTCAAGGCAGATTGCTTGACATACGAGAGGCCTTTTATGTATATAAAACCATCAGTGGACACATCAAACAGGCTCCGATGAACTACGCACGGTGGCATACACCCGTGGTCCCAGCACTTTCTTTCTTTCTTCTTTTTGTTTTTGAGACAGGGGTTTCTCTAATACGTATTTCTGGCTGTCCCGGAAATCACTAAGTAGACCAGGTTGGCCTCCAACTCACAGAGCTCCACATGCCTCTAGCTCCCAAGTGCTGGGATTTAAAGACATGTGCCACTATGCCCGGCCCGGCCCGGCTCTGATATTTGGAAATCTGAAGCATGGGGACTGCTGAGAGTTTGAGGCCATCCTGGGCCACATAGTAAGATCCTGTCTCAAAAACCCCAAACAAAACAGAACAGACAAAAGACCCCGAAATAACAAACCCTCCCCCCCAAACTGAAGAGACGTTACTATTTCTGCATTAAAAAGAGAAATGACGTTCCTGGGCTCCTCCTTATAAATCAGTGAATTCATCCAACGGTATAGACCCAGGCGTCTGGAGCTAGCCTGAAAGGCATGGTTACATCATGTATACGTCTGCAGGGCCAGATCTGGGCAGAGCATAACTGTAATGGGATGTGACCAAAGTGTCCAGAAGGGGCACAGTGGGCACGGAGACTGAAGGTTTGACAGCTGCCATAGTTAGGTTTCTACTGCTGCGATAAAAGCAACTTGGTGAGGATTTTTTTTTTTTTTTTTGGTTTCTTTATCACCGCTCACAGTCCACTGAGAGGAGCCAAGGCAGGAACCTGGAGGTGTGGGAATTCAAGTCGAAGCCATGGCGGGGCGCTGCTTACTGGCTCGCTCAGCCTGCTTTCCTATAGAACCCAGGACCAGCTGTCCAGGAGTGGCGCTGTCCACGGTGAGCCTGGTCCTCCCCCCATTAGTCTCTAATCAAGAAAGCGCCCTACAGAATGCCCACAGGCCAGACTGAGGGGAGCGTTTTTTCTCAACTGAGGCTCCTTCTTCCCAGATGACCCTGTCCTGTGTCAGCCAGCGCAGCAGCTGTTGGGTCACAGAACACTTGGAGGAGTGGACAGAGGCGACTGATCTCTTCCCTGGGAGTACAGTCGCACATACTCTAAGGGTCCTGTTTGTACCACTGCCGGGGGGGGGGTGTGGAGCTTGCAGAACCCTGGACCCTCCTGGGCACCTGGCCTGGATAAAATCAGGCATCTCTGGAGAACATCTTCACGCGGGACCACAGGCGGCAACCTCCTGACCAGTCTAGGTTAAGAGGCAAGTTTTTGCCCTGTCACCCCCTGAAAACCTTTACCAGCCCAGTAGTGCTGGGTCTGCGATTTGAGCTCAGGTCTCTTACATGCTGGAACACACTGCATGCTCTGGGAGAAAGACCAGCCGTAGGATCAGGCAGGTGAAGACTCAAAGCAAGAGGCTGGGCAACACCTGTGCCCGTGGCTGAAGAGCGGGGCGCCCTCTGCCTGCCAGTTTGGGGCAGTGCATCGGGAAGCCGTGCACTCTTTTTAAGTCTGGCAAAGAAACGGATGGACTTCCCAAAAGGGCCCCACTCTTCTCCTGTGCCTGGGTGGGTGGGGGGACAGGGAGTGTGGCTCCGGGTGGTGTCCTCATTTGCTGTCCCTAGGGGTTCTTTAACGAAAGTGGGACACTGCTCCATGCTGTGATTACCCTGCTCAACTTGTCTCTCGGTAAATGACGGTATTGGTCCTGTCACCTGCTGCCAGGCCTCGGGAGGGGGCGGTCACCTCCAGGCTGAAAGCTGCATGTTCAGGGCTGCAGAGAGAGGGCAGGGAGCACCCCGGAGCCAGGCCTGCATGGTGGCTGTTACCACGCTCCCGGCCCAAACGGCAGAATGGAAGAATGATCTTCATATTCCCTTTCTTTAATTAAAACTTGATGTGATTATCAGATAATTGGTCAAAGTCCCTAAGTCTTTCTCACTGGCTTTTGGTCTCTCTCCCGAGGTTCCGGAAGAAGGCTACTGAGGCCTCTCAGGCACCACCTGGGCCGGAGGCAACACAGACTCCTGGCTAGCAGTCTCCTGCCCCAGTGGCCGTGCCTCAGGCTTCAGGAAGGGTCTGAGAGGCAAGGCCCTAGGAAGCAGTCTTTGAAAAGAGTTCTGGGATTTTCATTTCGGCCACCTGGGAGGAGGGCAAAGCCTGGCTCGGGTATGGGCCAGCCGCTCTACCTTCTCTGTGGCTAAGGGGTGGGAGGGACAGGGGTTCTGGCGGCATCTTTCTCCTGACAGCTTGGCCCCCTGCGCTGCGTGTGGGATACCAGCTACGCACAGGTCATCCCTGCTCCCAGACTCTAGATGTCCAAGGACAGGCCTGAGCCTTCCTGTCTTGGTCTTCTGCCTAGAACGGAGCCCCAAGGGAGTGCTACCCGAGGGACGACGGTGCTGGTGCCACCTGGAGATGAGCAGGAACACCTGCAAGATCAGACCCTCGGGGCAGAGTGTTCTTCCCACCTCCCCAGGCAAGGCAAGAGCAGTGTCCTCGGCTCTGGGCACCTCTGTCTCCCTTTACTCCCACGGGCTGTGGCGCTTCCATGGACAAGTATGCCCGGAGTGTGTGTGGGGAAGGGGAGGTGGACGTGCCAGGGTCTGGACCCGTCCTTGGTCCCCACAGCCCCAACTGACACGTTGGATGCGACCTTGGGGCAGTCGCTGTGTGGCCACTGGTGAGGCCTGGCAGCAGAGCGGCTCCTTGAAGGGACCCGCTGGTCACACAGTAGGACGCCCGTTGTCCTTCACCCTCTAGGAAACTGCACATCATTTACAGGCGTCTGGTCCCCCCCTCCCTCCAGACGACATCAAGAACAGACAACCAGGCCCTGCGTTGGAGACAGCTCTCCTCTGCCGTCACACAGGTGGGGGCACCGCGTGTCTATGAAGATCCGGGGCCAGGGTTTGAACCCAGGTCCCCAGACTGAAAGCCTTTCGCTGCCGGGTCTCACCCTCCCTGACTTCAGTGTATGCGTGTATACTCGGACAGATGCACACGCAGGGACACACGGGCACACGGACACAAGCGCCGCGAAGCCACAGATACACGGCATATGTGTACACAGGCGCACATGGGTGTAACCACAGACGTGTGCACCTGGACATACAGGCGCGCACGCACAGACACACGTGGATGAACAGACACAGACACAGACACGCACACACGCACGAGCGGCCGTTGGTAGCCCTTGGGCTCTTCAAGATCCACGTTTCCCTCCACTGGGAGCGCTACCCACGTGGAAACGGCTACACTATAATGTTCGGTCCTGGCAAACCTCTGACTTCAAGGTCATACCAGCTAACAAGAATCCAAGCAAATACATGCACACGTACACATACGCATATACACAAACACATCCTCGTATACACACACACACACACACACACACACACACACACACACTTCTGTTTAGCCCTAGCTTTTAATGGCTGCCGAAACAGAGACACATACCACAGAGAGTCTAGCACAGAGAATCCCATTCCGATTGTCCCCACCAAGCTCATAGGACAGAAGGAGTTCTTTACCCAAGATGTCTGCTGAAGAACGCATAACATCCCGAGGATCTGGGGGGAGGCCAGGGTGTGAGGGCAAGTGCAGGACCCTAGCCTCACGCCAGCAAGGCTTACCATGATGCAGCCTCAGGGACGTGACTCCTTTACGTCTGCTCTACCTTCTGGGTGCTGGTGCCGGGGAGGTTTAAGCCCGTCGTGATGCCAGCCGGGAACTCAGAGGCCCCTCCTGCAATCCGCGGGGACCACCCGTGCTTGAACTGTCTGAGGTCCCCGGGGAAGTAACTGCTTCCACTCCAGCTTCAGGAAGCCCTTCCCAACAGGCTTCCTGGGTGCCAGAGCCCTCCCTTGACCTGTTCAGCCTGTGCAAACCTAAGTAAGGTCCCTTTCCCTGGAGACTCTACATGGAGAGGCCCCAGCCCCTTTTCCTCCGAGCATATTCTTCAGGTACCC